TTTATCATATTTCCCCATCTTCAGGCTACGACTTTGCTAATCCGATTTCTTTTTCTAGGATTGCCGCTCGCAAATATGCAAAGCCCTGTGACTCACGGAAAAATCTACATCTCCTGGCACCAGTATGAAACCCATTCTATAAAAAAAGGCGCTTGCAAATATTTTCGCCTACTAACAATCCATAGCTTCAACGGTGAAACCAAACATCGAGCCGACTGTGTCCCCTGTTCCTCCTCGAAATATGGGCAATAACCCGACGGAAGACTCGAACCGTCCCGCTAGCACGAATCCACCGAGTCAAGGCGCTGGAGCCACGCTTTCCACGCCTGGGTGGCTTTCACTTGCATTACTGATCTCAACCGGTTACTCTTGGTACCTATCAAGCTCTCGGATTTTTTGATCGCATTGCACCCTAAAACCCGAGTCTTACACAAAATTTGTTATCCGGAGCTCAAATTTAGAGCAACTCTACCTTGCCCATTGCGAATAGCATTTGTCGGTTTTCTCTCCAAAGCGCAGCATATCAGGCTAACATTTCAAACATGATCTTATCACGGAATGTGGCCGTCTTTTCCCTTTTGTTGTCGTCCCCAACCGGTGCGTTGAATTTATTCATATATCATTGCAAGGTGTTGGTTTGATCCCTGATATTTTTCATTCTATCTATTTTGCCATTTCTTTTCAATACAATCCCTGTTCCTGTTTACTCCTTTTTGTTATCCTTAAACATATTCCGCATTCTCATAGCCGGCTCACTTTGCTGCTTTTGTTATATTCTCGCATGTGGCACTTTGCATTTTACCTGGAATCCACGTGGAACCGTTGAGGGCATATTTTGGATACAACCTTGGTTTTAGATCATGTCATTTTACTGAGATATCCCATTTTTGGACAATAGCTGTAACTTTTGGGTTAACTGAACCAATCTTAAGATGGATTGTTTATCCAACAACTTTGGTTCCTTGCTCGTCCGTCTAGAACACCAACTTGGGTGAGATGGTAGAGAACAATAATAATCCTGGCTATATTTACAGGGTCGCAACAGCCCTATCATCTATAATCCAGGAGTTTTTCGCTGACTACATCCTCCTTACGTCATTTCAAGGAGAAAAAAAAAAATGTGGACTTCGACAGGACAGCAATTTATGTCGATTGTAGTTGGTGGAGCCGACCGCAACTACATTTAGCCCGGGATAAGTCTCAACCGCCAGAAACACCATCAAATTTACGACTTCATCCATTATACCCCCAGGCAACTGATCCAGATTCATTGGAACCACATGGGCGTGGTCTGTTAATCGAAGGAAAACAGAGACCCTTCAGTATGCCAATGCCTCACCACCCCACTCTCTCTGCCATGCGGCAATTTCTATCGCCGTCGCCTCCGCTATCGTTGCTCAATGTTTGTTACCGAACTTCAAAAGCAGGCACTTTAATTGAAATTCCATCTCTCGCAGAGCGCCAATGGCAGCCTTCCGCTCTTCATCAGAAGAGGTATTTTCATCAGACATGCACCCGGGCTACGTTTCGCCCGGTATGGACGGAGCGCAGGGTGAAAGTGCCTTGGGTCGAAGCTTTGGCGAAAAAGCGGGCAGAAGAATCGCAGCTCAATAAGGCGAAAGAGAAGGCGGAGGGAGTGGTGTCATCTGGAAAGGCGGATATGACGCCAAAACGAATGAGTGATAGTTATTTTCGGACGGTACGGTGATGGCGACATTCTCAATGATACCCTCTTTTCGGCCCTTTTATGTTTTGATGTTGAGCTTTGCCTGTGACGCTTGGAACCCGGTGGCGCTGTGAGGACCGAAGATTTAATTGACGAATGCTTGGAATAGATATTGCCTCTGGCACAAGATCCCTGGCTTCTGGATACATACCTCAATGCCACCGGCCATATCAGGTGAGAAACTATTCCCATCTACCGATAGTTCATTGCCCATGCTGATCGCATCTTTGCAGGCTGGGCTCTCTCCTCATGGACCTGGACGCTCTTGCTGGTGTCGTAGGCTACAAACACACAGGAGACAATGTTACCATGGTCACGGCCGCCGTGGATAGGATCGTGATTGAGAACCCACTCAAGGAGATCTGTGATCTTGAGCTAAGCGGCCAAGTGACGTACGCAACTGGAAGATCCAGTGTGGAAGTATCATTACAGGTTGCGAGAGCACCAGCAAATGAAAGCCAGGAGATCAAGAAGGAGGATGTTTTGATTACCTGTGCTTTCACCATGGTATCGCTGGGATCCGGGCAACGAAGAAGTAAGTTTGGAAGCCTCCCCAATAATGCACACTTTAAGATTGGTCGGGTTGTGATTTACTGATGATGCAAAATAGGCCTGTGAATGTTGCGCCGCCTGTTGATAGAAACGCCAGAGGAACGCCGATTGTTTGAAAAGGGCGAACAAAATTATACTGCGAAGAAATCCTTACGATCGAGAAGCTTACGCCTGGAGACACCGAATGATGAGGAGAGCGACCTCATCCATGCCATGTGGATTAGAGAATTAGCCTACAAAGGTAAACCCACCCACCGTGATACCGGCATCCTCGAGCCCCAAACGTCATCTCACACATACTGATAGACCCCGAAAACCCCATCGCTCGCCCCAAGAACGTCATCCCAATGCAAGATACAACCCTCCGCTCCGCCCAAATAATGCAACCCCAATACCGCAACAGACACAACTTCATGATCTTCGGCGGCTTCCTCCTCAAACAAACCTTTGAACTAGCCTTTTGCTGCGCCGCATCCTTCTCCCACAGTCGTCCCACATTCCTCTCCCTGGACCCCAGCACTTTCGACAATCCCGTCCCCGTCGGAAGTGTGCTGTACCTAAAAGCAGTCGTGTCGTATACCGACCCGCCCCTGGCTTCAACCGAGTCCACCGCCGGTGCCAAAGATAGGAAATTCACCAAGGTTCAGGTCCGCGTTGACTCGTCGGTTCGGGACGTTTCTCATGGTGCTAAGAAGCCCACGGGCGTGTTTAACTATACGTTTTTGGTTGAGCAGGATATGCAGGTTATGCCGAGGAGTTATGGGGATTTCATGGTTTGGGTTGATGCGAGGAGGCGGGCGCATGCGACTGATAAGAGTTTACCGGAGTGGGCGGCGCGTATGGCGAATGGGGCGGAGGGATGGGAAGTTCTAGGGGAGCAGGTTAGAGAAGGGGTTACGGAGTGATTTTGGCAAATGGGATTGTGGAGAATTGTCCTTTTTGGTTCATTTGGTGTTATTGTATCTAGTGTAGAATAATGGATGTAAGGATGTCTTGCCAGACCTAGGTTCTTGTAGCATTTCCAGCAGCGACTTCCGAGATGTTGCGCCCTGTGTTAATCTCTGTGTTTTACTTTTCTCTTGGGGGTTAACAGGAATTGAATTAGCCCTTTACACGCAATTACATCCCAGGAGTAGACAGTTGGTATTTGCCTGGATCAGTTCACAACCCAGAGAGGAGATATCCTGATAGCCTTAATCACGCAAGTGTTAGAACTAGTCCGGAGATGCAGAATTCTAGAAGTAACAGTGATCTTGAAGATGACAATCACCACTGTTAATTTCATGTGAACAACACTGTTCGAGTATTATCCCCAACAGGAACTGACTTGTTATCTAATCTGATAGAAAAGATTCAAGCCTCGGATAAACATTGAACCTTTCCGGGCCGAAAAAGGAAATTGCGTCAAGCCGAACCTCCTCAGAGAGCTGATTCTCAAGGCAAATTATTAAAAAGTCTCGAACGCGCAGACGGGCAATCGTCCCCGCAATCCGCTAATCAAGGCGATTCGGCTGAGCTGGAATTCTTCTTGAACATCCCAGCTGACAGCGACCCGGCACCTAGCGGCCAGGCTCGATGCTTGCGCATGGGGAATGACCCACTTCAGCTGAGCATCTAGATCTTGCGATCTCCCTCGTAAATCGGCAGTCAACCCCGCCAAATCGTCATTTTCACAGTACGATCCAACTATGAGGAGCTGTGACGTGCGTCTTCGGCTAACGGGGGGAGAGCTGACAGCCTTTCAGGCATCAGGAGTCCGTAAATTATGGATTTGGTTACCCGCACTCTTCCATAGTTACACGTATTTTGAAATCTGGGGGTTCAAAAGTGCAAACTTCAGCTCAAGCCGCTTCGGAAACGTCGTACTTTTTACAACGGTCCCCTGTTCGGATGAACTGCTGCCCTCTCTGTTGCGTCGCTGTTGAGGAGGCATAAATAACTTGCGCGAATACCACCGCAGAAGCTAAAAATCTCCCTTTGGAGCTGAAGGGAAAAACGATGCGTTTTTCATCCGTTCGCGATTCCTCTTGGCGAGCTCCATGTTACGTATTCTGTCAAGACGCATTTGGTAAAAGTTCCTGGAAGGAAGTGATCAAGTCAGAACACCGAAGAAATCTTGGGTATCAGCTGCTGAGACATACTTGTGGAGTGCATAAATGCGCGGGCCGTCACCATCCGCACTCACCCCGGTACCAACACCTTGTATAGCTTTAATCTGTTTCAACTGTTAGAAACCCAGTGCACAAAAAAAAAAAAAGGGAGAATGTCCGCCTGCAGTAACATGCTCGCTCACCGACCTTTTCATCTTTCTCCTGCTCAGCTTTCTTGTCCTCTGCAGTCTCGGCTTTCTTCTCCTTCTCATCTCCATCACCCTTGTCCTTCTCTTTCCCCTTCCCCTTTTCTTTTTCTTTCTCCTTTTTCCGCTTCATTTTCTCTTCATATTCCTTTTTCACCTTTTCTATCTCCCGTTCCATCTCCTCCTTCCTCTTTCTCGCCGCAACCTCTTCTTCATCGATGATGGCTGAGCAGAACCCCTTGTCTTTCAAATGTAGTGGGCATATATAGAAAAAATCCTGTCATAAAATGGCGGTAAGTATACCATGCCATCCACATATATACCGCCAGAGATATAAAGCAGGGGGAAGGAAAATGCTTGGAATCAGAAGGAGGAAAAGGCAGTCTAATACCTTATTATCTGGTGTGGTCAGCACGCTGGATGAAGGTTTATAGCATATATAGCATGATCGGGCCGCTGTGTCAGCGACCCGGCGTAGATGCCATCTATTAGGGATGGGCGGCTGCGCCATCCTGCTTTGATCCTGTATTCCCAGTAGTTGACACCAGGAGCCTTGATCGTTGTCCAGCGGACGTCTCGAGAGCTCCTGGAGCGGGGGGTTTGTCAGCGGGGAAAATAGAGCTGGTCACATGAACAACCGGGGCCCTTGCCATTGCGACCTTAATAATCACGTCAAATTCAGCCGTTCGAGAGAAGCAGCCATTCGGAATCCTGAGCACGCCTCTATTCTCTAATTTTGATAGGAGCAACAGCAGAAATATCTACGGGCACCTTTATTTCGAGAGAAAAAGAAACACATCCATTCCCAAGAAACTTCCCAATCGTTCCCCCCCAGATTTAGTCTGTCTTTTGGCCGTCACATATGTTTCAAGTATATGTATCAAAATAGAAACGAAGTCGGGGAGAGTATATCTTGTATGTAACCAGGAAAAAGAGGATTTCCGTCCCAAAAGAAGAACATGATTAAATGCTCCAAGAGCTCTCTAAACGCGAGACTAGCGGGTTTGCTTGATCAGAGGGGAATGGGGATTAACCATCTCTTAAGTCTTTCGGTAGTGACATCACTAAAGAAGGACTTAGGCATATGTATCCCCATCAAGTTTTTAAAAAGAAAAGCAGCAATAGAAGCTCATAAAGAGCTAGAGAGCAAAAATAGAATCCAAGAAAAAGCAAAGAAAAGAGAAGAATAAAACCCCGCCGTCGCGATTTAGAGAGAGCAATGTTGAAAAAAAAGGCGGCCAAGGGAAATTCTTTAGGGTTAGGATTAAAATACCTCCAGACAATGCTCAAACAAGAGGTGAAAAAAGTATTCCCTCCGAGTTAAGACACTAATCAAACAAATGTCAAGAACTGGTCATCACTTCGTCAATGGTGTGGACGGTAGCTCTGCCCGTCGCCGATCGCATTCCAATGCTCCCATTATCCCCTTCCGCATTATCCCCCGGTTGCTCCCCGATACTTGGGAGGCCTTCATGGGGTGGCTCTTCCTTCATGCAGGCGCTTTCTAACGTATTGGTCCATTTCCCACTCGATCCATTATGACTGTGTTTCAAATGCTGCCGAAAGTGGTCTGCGCGGTAAAACTTTTTTGCTTGATTACATTCTCCAAACTTGTGGATGTTGATCAGGTGGTCCATCCGCCGATCCCACTCGGGCTTCGGGAAATTTGTAAATTCCACGCCGCAATATCCACACGTGTCATGCGACACACCGTTGGCGAGCTGACATGTTGGAGAAGCTGAAGGGTGGAAAGCTGACTCTGGGTTTGACAACGCAGCACAAGACCAAGAATGCCGCCGCAAATGGAGGGAATTTTGGTGACGCTCGGCCTCGTTTTTGTTTTTAAATCGTTTATTACAGAATTGACAGGTATATTGCTTTTCCATCTCATGGGCACTAAAATAAGCAAAAAGAGAAACGGTTAGTGCCGAAATTTCCCGGAGAGCTGACGTAACGTACCGTAATTCTTCAAGACTCTCAAGCTTCTTTGGTTTTTTAGGACAGCATTCACAAATATAAAGCCTTCCTATCCTTGGCGCAGTAGGCTTTGATAAGCTGATACCATTCTGTCCTGAGCCCTTTCGTGTTGCCGAGCCTTTGATTTCCGCCAGGTCCGAGTACTGTGACCGGTGTGAGGTCGGCGGCAAATATGATTTTTCGTAGCAAGCGTCCAGATCAGACGTGGGAGAAATCCTTCCCGGCGATGGCCCACCGAAAGAGGAAATACTACTCGCCGCAATGGAGAGCCCGGCAGAAGAAGCATAGGATTCTGTTCGTAAACTCGAAGAAATAGAAGACACGGACCCGTGACTTCCTAGGTAGCGGGTATTGGGTGACGTGCAACTATTGGAGCGAAGTCCTAGCGGCCGTCTATCTCTTTCAGGCTCATTGAACGTATATATTGAATCGCCAACTGCACCACGGGGAGGAGACGAAGCTCTTCGCTTCATGCTATTACGCGATACGGACGAAAACCCTTCCGTAAAAGACAGACGTCCAGGTAGGCTGTGTTGAGGAGCTGGCCCCGCATCATCCATTGCAAAATCGGTATCTTGGTCGGGAAACATCCCCTGGTCATAGCTCGCTTTTCCAGGTCTCTCTGCTATGCTGGGCCTTTCCTCTGTCGCATGACGTCCGGAAGCACAGCTGCTATATGGGTCTCGCGTCTGATTAAAACCATCGATTTCCATTGGCGAATGCACAGCGCTATCGGCTGTCGGGCTCTGGTATCCCACATAGTCCTGCCAACCGCCCATCTTCGTTCCAGGAGAGATTGCTGCCGACGGAGGTCCACTGCCCCATCGGGAAGGTATATCTCTCGGACTCAGCGACCCGTCTCCAATAGACAGGGTGGAGAGTGTCCTGCTCTTCGAGTGGAACGGCAAACTGGTGTTGTTTATTGAAGTGCCCAAACTCGCAGCAAGTCGCGGAGGCGAACCCGGCTTTCCGATTTTAGAGAGTAGGTGTTGGTCGTAGGCATTTGAAGAGCGTTCAACACTCTTCTCTGATAGAGGCTTTTCTCCCTGTAAACTGTATCCCATCCTGTTTCCAGACGGCGTAGGCCACAATCAGTGTCAAATTCCCAACAAATTCCAGATGCAAAATGGGCCAACTGGCTTCATGTCCTTTCATGAAGCAAGAGGGAGGATATCCTCTCACAGCGGTTTATCTTATATGGCTAATGAAAACCGGGAAAAAGTGCGAAAAACGATTCTTTCTTTTTGTTTTTTTCGGGTCGGGCATGATCTTCGTCCAGGGGCAAAAACGGAAAAAGGGCAATAAAAAGACAACTAACCGTGAAGCGGAGGTACTCGACCCCAGTGAGCCTGACCGTGGCGCATCTGAAATCGTAGACACTGGCCCAACCGAGTTTACCTCTGACGACGGACTGGTCGCCGCTGACATCGTACCTCCACGCTTGAAATCGTCAGTAAACGAGAATGTCTCGTCTCGTCGAACCAGCGGCGGCCGACTGTGCCCACCAAACAGGCTGGAGGTGGGCTTGATCGGAGCCAGCGTCGGCTTTCCCTCAAACGAATTCCCCCATTTCCAACCCGAGTCGTGGCCCTGCGCCAGGTCCTCGATAAATCGGGGCGGAGGCAAAGGCGGCGGCGCGAGCGGCTCGTTCGACTTTCGAATGGCCATTGGTCGCCCATAGGACGAGGCCGAGGAGGACGACGGGGACCGATCAGAATTTTTCGAATACGAAGGAGACCGCGAGGGCAGACGACGACTGTGCTCACTGCTGTTGCTGCTGCTGGTGAACTCTGTGTGGCTGGAATGACACACACGGATCGAGGGCGGCGAGGCCAGGGACCGATTGTCCATGCTCAATCATAGGGAAGCCACGCCAACAACGTCCCACATTCGAGCCCAAGAGGTTTTGTCGCAGGGAGAAGAGCGGATCGTGAGAATGGGCGTTCCTGAGAGCGCTGCGAGGTGCGTCAGGAGTGGCAATTGTGGCAAGGGCTGCGGGTCCTGATGGGTTTCAGCTGGGGGAGATCGAGCAGTCGCCAGGGACATCAAGTCGGTTGACAAACAGCGACGAGAGAAGAAAAGGGCGGTGGGAGAGGCAAACGCAGGATGGGAGTCAATGGGGAGCGGAAACGACAGCGTGGACAGCAAGGTCGATGGGAGGAAATATAAGCAGGGTCGGACGGGAGAGGACGTCGATGAAATAAAGTGGAGGGGAAAAGGGTCGTATAAACGAACTAACGAGATCACTAACCAAAGGTCCCTGGGCCTATTAACTATGCTTCCCTCGCTGCTGGTGCTGCGGTTCCTTGTCCGTGCCTGTGCGGGTAGACGGTCGCTCTCGCGCGGTGCTGTCTGCTGTCTGCTGGGCTCCCTGGCATCTGCCGTGCGGCATTGACGAGCGTGTCTCTGCTGCCCATTTATCGACTCCTTCGTCTTGACCTGAACGGCGCGCTCGTCAAAGAAAATCGATAGGGCTGAAATAATACGCAACTCCTGGTTTGGTAATTTCGTTTCCGGTTCGGGTTTCGTATTGCGCGTTACGGGTTACATTTCGGACGCCAGCCCTAGGAGAACGCAGAGTCGAACAGCAAGAACCGAGACGGACCGGCCCTGGCGGATTTCTGTGCTTTCTGGATGATTTCATGTCTCAAACCCCTTCATCTCCCATGGACCGACCAATTTACTTCATGTCGATCCGGGGAATTGAAACCGGCTTCACTACCAGGCCAGAAAGGGGGCCCTGGAAATTGCTCTGGTGAGCCCTGGCCTAGGATCCCCAGCTGCAATGCCGAAGCGCCTTCAAGTCAAGCTTGCGCGCCCAGACAATGTTGAAATCAGCAACATTCAGGATGCCATTTACACTGTGCCCGTTTTTTTGAAACAAAGTAGATTCCCCCGAGACATGAAACGGCGCGGCAACCCAGACAGTTAGAATTGAGGACCTTTTGCATCCAGCAATCTACCAGTCGAGATGGCACGTTGAAGAGCGTTTCGGCCCCAACCCAACCGTGGCACAGACTGATCTTCGGTATCGATCAATACGGTCCCGGCCACCGAAATACCAGAACGAAACGCGTATCCGGGTACTTCGGCCCTACCAGACAATTGCCTACAATCAGCCCTCACGCTCCAGCGCAGACGATGGTTTCTCCCATTTTCTATCTTAACTAAATCGAAAGCGACAAATGCGCATCAGATGGTTGTTGGCAGTCGAGATGGGCAAGGCGCAACACCACGGCATCCCGTCAAAAGGAGAACAATGAAACCGTAAACTAAATAATGGATGATACAACAACCTGCAGCCATCTCCCCTTCACCAAAAAAAGTTTTTCGCCCTTGAGATGATCCCAAAAATTCGTGCACCGTTCTCTAGGGCGGGCTTGCGGGAGGCGGGTGATGCGACTAAAAAGAAAACACAAAATGGCCCATACTATGCCATTTGCGGACAAGCCGTGGCGGTTCGAGTTGCTCCATCTGCGAGGAGAGCGGCAAGGATGGGTGGAGAGAGCTCTGCAAACTTCAAAATAATAATAATAATGCAAACGCTGTGCTGCGGTTCTCAAATATCATGTCGTGGGCGGCGCTAGAAAAAGCGTCAGGGTGCCGAACCTTGTAGGGCGGCTCCTGATGTTGGCGCCGGTGTCACGATGCCAATCTTCCCCATGAAGCGAGAGTAACTCGACGACTTCGTTATGTTAGTTAGGTGGGGAGTGATGCTCGGGGTGAACTCATGCCTTCCGTCAGCGATCAGCTTCAGGGGACAGATGGACAACGTTCAGAATAATGGTGACAGAGTGAGGTGACAAGGAGCAAGCGGTTGACATCACCGCATGCACCCCCCAAGCACGAAGACCCGAAATTAGCACCACATTGAAACGGTGCTTTCACATCGTATCCAGGGATGGGCTCCTCGTGGGCGGTGTAGGGCGTAACATGCACGTATTTCTTGTGCCGATTCCCAAGGACAGAAAAGCGATTGAATTCTGGTTCCTGTTGAAGCAGAGGATTCGTTCAGTGAGCATAAAAACACTCGGTTATCGTCGACTCTCATAGATGAGCGAGAGCTCTTGTATGGCGAACGCCCTGATGAATTAACTTCACCACAGCGGGTCGACAATAGATTACAGGCATTCTGACCCAGCTGTAAAAGCAGCTTGGCGTTATGAAACGGTTCATTTACGGAGTATTACTCCTCCGTCCAGAGAACTCCATCCAAGTGAAAGTTGAGTTGGCCCTCCAGGTTTTCCAGAAAGCCTTGAGAAATCAGCCCTCGACACGGAACTGCTTGTGCAAGACGCCGTCGTCCAGACGCCTGGGCTTGATTGGCCCATTCCACAGGGTTGCTCACCAGGGAAGCAGGGGATGGCCACCCTGCACCCCACCCCCATCTGGTCTTGTTTGCACTGCCACAATATGACCACAAGCTCATGATCATTGAATGACAGAGTACTGCAAGGAGTATGTGCTTCCTAAATTATTTTTCTTTGTTTTATCCACGCGTTCCAGCCGTTCAGTTCGCACGCGCCAACACACCAATTGAGAAGCGAGTCACCAAAGCCAGAGGCAGCGAATTTCTCACCTCCATGGCCGGCGGTTCTCTCAGCTGACGCTTTTAGGGCTGGCCAAGGGAGCTTAAATCCCCCCTGCTGGAAGGGAGGTCAGCCAGTCAAGAAAAGTGCCAGGTTCTCAGGGCACAAGCCGCATGCGCCAAGCCCTTCAAAGTCATTCAGGATGGCTGTTGACAAGTTCCCCGCAGGGCTATCTCACCTGTTGTGTTCAGCCAAGCTCTTGCAGTTGAGAGCTTCGGAGGCTTGATTGTAAGTACGGAGTACGAATCCGGTAATCAACTCCGTACCGCCCTCAATGTGAAGAGATGCAATTCTTCGATTGTAAATTGTCCTCCGGCTTGCTCTTGTTTTTGGTGCAGTGGAGCACAACTGCCAAGAGAGACGCAGGCGAAAAGCTGAGAGAAGGGTGTCCTCAACGTTGGTTTTGATGTCGGCCCGAGCCAGCCACCACCAGAAAAGAGAGTTTGCATGATGAGTTGGCTGTTGGAGGTTTTTGGAATTGTTCTGCTGAACGTGCAATCGTTCTGATGAGGATGGAAGTCGTCGTTTCGTCGTCCCCGACAATTCAAGAAACACTCCAAACCAATAAGGTCAACATATTCCCAAGCAAGAACTTCTCAATGCTTTGGCATGATGGCAGTTTTGGAACAGGCAGAAAGAAAGAATCCTCCCTGTGAGAGCGGTGAAGAGGGACTAAACCTTCCAATCGCCTGTCAGTCGACCTGCATCTATGAGGCATTTTGTCCCCGACTCTGCAGTGAGTCTTCTGCAGGTTAAGATGGCTATTAAGCCTCTGCGCTTGGAGGGAAGAGAGGAGAATTCGGGGATTGGGGTGCAGTTGACTTTAGGTCGTTCCTGCATCTTCCTGTCATGTAACTCCATGTTGAACCAAACACATTTCGATGTTTCTGATAGCATATTCTCCCGGCATAGCTGACGAAGGTGTTCTTCTGTCGGCTCCATCTTCACCTGAACATGTACGGAGTAGTAGTGTCTCTATTAATCTCCGCATGAGTCGCATCACAACCGTTCCCGTTGACCCAGATACAACGGCAACGCAGCTTCCATCCAATTACATACCTGGAGACCACACTGCCAAAATCCATTTTCAGCCCATCTACCCCGTACTCTGGAATCGAATGACGAGCCAAGATTAGGCCAAGTCCGGTTCATACCCTAATGGTTGCTGATGTTGTGGAAGCACTGGTGTCCATCCTCCTCTTCAAGAATGGAGATTTAAAACTTCTCAGGAAGCGACGCTATCCTCGTCCTTTTCCCGGCATTCAGGAATATTAAGATTCAGGATCCGACTTGCTCGGCTGGAGCGTGTCTTCCCAGCAGCCGCCGACCAATGATGCTCCAAGTCAGTTCCTTTTGCTGACCACTCTTGACATCCACCTACGTCAGATTCCATTTCAAGCACAGGCGCAATTTGAGCAGTGAGGCTAGCTGTCAGACTTTTCCAGGTCTCTGTCCACTGACCACCAACGTGATTTCGGTGAGCTTTCATTCGTAGCCTCGTAGGGATGAGTCGTGCACGCACCGATGAACCATGTTCTCTCTGTCTGACAGGATTCTCGAGCTGACCTGGGTTTCTGGCAATCGTTCCCTTGGATATCAAGCAAGGAAGCAAGATTAAGATCATCCGCAACTGCAATTCTCGATTCCTTACCCCGCATTGAATGACGGCTCACGAAGCCAATTTTAGGAACAGCTGTGGCACAATGGTGGTCTCGACCATTGAATGAAACATCGTCCTTGCGAAATTGTTAATCAAAACCGTCCTCTTCTGGTCCAGTCGCCCTCAAATTCCTCCGACAGGGCTCGTTTCCCGAAAACCTGGAGAGGAACCAGAGTCCCGGTGGAGCATCACCACACGTTGTTTCTTGTCGAATTGCTGTCCAAAGATCCCACCCGTTGTCTGCATCACGAAAGCAGCAAGACGCTGCTCGCCTCTCCTCGGAGATGTTCGTTGTTTTGCGGTTGCCCACATGCAAGAAACAGACGGCAAGCAGCGCGGGTTACTCAGCAGCGTGGCTTGAACCCTAAACTGCCAAACGCGGGGACCACCGCACACCGCCTCCTGTCTCCTGCGGTCCCATTGGCCACATGCCTTGCCCTGGAAAACAGTTCTGCCATCGAGCCCTCGCATCGTGCATCTTGTCGCTTCGTGTTACAGCCAGCCTTCGAGAGCAAGAATAATCTGGATTGACGAGGAACGCTTGCTCTTCGCCTCCATCTCGACTCTGATACCACTCGGCGCTGCACGTCCAGGGTCATTGGTTATCTGGAGTCTCGCGCTTTGCCCCTTGGAAATCACATTGGACTGCTTGATGGCGATTAGCAAAATCGGGAATGATAATCTCTACGTTGGCGGGTATGTTACCCTTTGGTTATCAGCACGTCGAGTTGCCCGCAGCTCTGTGGCGGCTCAACGCTTGACGAGTGAAGCTAAAGGCCACATCTAGCTTCATGTCCCTGAGCAACTCGCTCGCCCTCAAAAATGCAAACATCACTCATGTGGTGACTGTGATGCGGGGTGGTGCGGACAAGGACCGTTTCAAAACCTTCAAGCATCACCTCCACATTGCTGTTGACGACATGAGCGATGAGGACCTTTTACAGCATTTCCCCATTACCAATGCTTTCGTCCGGTCAGGCCTCGAGGAAGGAGGCGGCGTGCTTATCCACTGGTTAGTTCTTTTCTTTCTTTGTCTATGTTTTCATTTTTTTGCGGAATGCCCTTACCCTTGATATTTTCTGTGATACCCATTTTCTTTTGTGTGAGCCTGTGATAGAAGCTGTCCAGGCTACGTTGATTCGCCTGGCTGGATACAACTCTTCTTGTGTTCCCATCAAGATTTCCTTTGGCCCTGCGACCCGTGTTACCTTGGGAGCTGCAGTGGCGTCTGACGGCACCGTCCCAATGAAAGGTCCTCTGAACGTCACCTTCAGCCCAGAGGACCAGAAAGGCTCCCCTTGCTTTTCTTTGTGACACTCGAGACCAACGCCAATATGCATGGACTAACGCTTTGCGTAGTGCGATGGGAAAATCCCGATCTGCGGCTGTCTGTATAGCCTTTTTGCTGCATCGAGACCCCACGGCCATGGATCCACATGGAGTGCTAGCCATTCTCCGCCAATCTAGACAAATGTGCGAACCGAACCCTGGTTTCATGGAGCAGTTACTCCTTTACCATCAGATGGGATGTCCTGAAAATGTGACTGATCATCCACTGTATCAACGCTGGTTATATCAGCGGGCTGTGGAGGAGAGTGTAGCATGCGGACGTGGTCCCGAGCTCGATGAGATTCGGTTCGAGGATCAGGCTGCTGATGGGACTGAAGAAAATGACAAGGCAACGGAAGTGAGGTGCCGGAAGTGCCGGTGAGTTAGCCCCTTGAGTATAGAGGGAATGAAGGTGTTTTTCATTCACTTCTTCCGCACTATCTGACACTTTCTCTCTAGGCGTCAGTTAGCAAACTTACCTTTTATCATTCCCCATCTCACTCCCGAACAGGAACGTAAAACTAACCCCCAATTTAAAACTAACCAATCCTCAAGCACTTGCGCACATATCTTTCTTCACCCTCTCACCTGGATGCGTGCCTCCCTTTTCCCATCGTCCGATGACCAAGGCTCCCAGGGAATTCCACTTGAACCCCCTCTTGCTGGCCGCCTCGTCTGCCCTAATACTACCTGTGGTGCGAATATAGGGAAATTCGCCTGGCCCGGTATGCGATGTAGCTGTGGCGTATGGATTGTACCTGCTATTGCTTTGGCAAGGGCTAGGGTTGATGTTGTTGATGTGGGAGTTAGGAGATTAGGGGCAATGGGAAATGGTGCAGGGATAAGAATGCCTCCGGGGATGAGGCGGAATGAACTCACAGAAGCGGAGAAGGGACTATTATGAGAGTTTGTGTTGATTATAGATGGAAACGGTCATATCCCTTCGGCTCGGCGTCAGGACAGGGTTCCCAAGGTGCATAAACAAGGCAAATAGATCTATAGTTAATACATGAGCATTTTGTATTTGCAACAGGACTGCTCCCTTCTTGACCGCCCGTAGTAGTAGCGATTTGTCTTGCAATTCAACCGCAAACTAAAGAGCGGAGTTGGGAAAAGATAACTAGTGGTTGAGATCATCCAGACTGAGAAGCCCATAGAATGGTACACCGTTACTCGCATTGATGTTGAATATGTATAGTCTAGTATGTGGATGCGCTCTTACAGTCAAAGTGAGTGCAAGTCCCGTAGAGAAACTTTTGAGGACTTCTATACCACCCTGCCCCTCCATCCCACTTACAAGCGGAGCCATGTCCCAACTCACTTTCCGCCCGCACCAGAAACAATGTTCCGCTCCGCCCTAACCCCACCCGCCCCCTTCAGAGCCCACTCTATAATCCTTCCATCCTCCTCCCTACTCATCTTTCCCACCGCCTCTTCCGCACCCATCCAACGCACCTCATAATCCTCCCACGCCTCCCTCGCCCCCTCAACAGGCATCTGCTCCGAGTCCACCTCCGCCAAATACCAAAAGATGATCTTGTACGAGTTCTCGTATGTCCGCTGCTGCACCGCGATGGGCTCTACATGCCGCTGGTCGGCGGAGGAAGGTTGTTGCTGCCCGCCGGTTTCGAGTGGAAGAGCAGCTGGTGCACGCTGATCGCTGCGCACAGGAGAATTATTATTCCGATCAGAGAGAACACCAGCAGGAGCGGGCCCAGGAGGAGGAGCGGAAGAGCGAGGAGGGAGGCGAGAAGTCCCATCGTGGGGTCCCGGGGGGGTTTCCGCTTTGGCGGTGTTTGGATTTGGTTCCGCTTCGGGCCACGAGTTGGCGTGTGTTGCGTTGGTGGGGAGATTGTGTGCGAGGAGTTGAACGTGGTAGCCTGATTCTTCGAGTGTCTCGCGGATGGCGGCGTCATGCAAGGATTCGTGAATGTCTTTTCGGCCTTTTGGTAGGAAATATTTGCTGATGCGAGGGGAGTAGAGGACAAGCACAAGGTCTTTCGATAGATCAATGGCCACAGTGCCGGCGGAGAGCACAAAGGTATCGGAGAGATGTAGCATTGTGACGTATGATATTTATCGATGTCTTATCTAAATATTTTTTGATTCGCCGTGTAGCTGAAATATACATACATACTCCGTATCTCGGGTCCAAATATTCCATCTGGGCTCCCTGATGGAATGAGATGGAGGCCAAGCTAGGTTGGCCACATACAAGAGGACAAAATCGAGGTTTACAGGGATGAATCTGCGTTCCCTCGTATCGTTTTATGCAAAATTCCTCCTCGATAATTAATCAATCTGGGGAATTAGGAGTTCACTCATTGACACCTCCAGCCTCCAGGTACCACTCTTGATCAGTTGCCTGGAGGTTCCATTTCTGCCTGACTCCCAACTGATGTTCTCTGAAGTCTTGGCAACCAGACAGAAGTATCTCAACCTGGACATGGGATTGTCTGGATGCGCATTGTACTCCATATTCTGGTGACTCACAAGAGTTCTCTTTTGCAAAGCCAAGTACAAATTTGACTGAAGCGGGCTTCACCACCTCATGAATTCGCAATGGGTTTTGCAATGCCGGTACTCAGGTCGTTCTAACAAACTAGATATTGCATTCATATCAGTACCAAAATTGGCATTCCCATACAATAATTGCGAGCTAATATTGCATTTCAGAAAAAGGTATCACTTACTTTTCAACCTATTAACCATTGAAACTATCTACCAAACGCCCGCTATCTTGTCAAAGTAGCCGTTCCATGGAATGAGGTGGAACAAAGTGACATCAATCAGTCCATAGCCGACATACCAGCAGCCTGCTTAGCCAATTGAAGATCCTTTCCCACGACACCGACCTCTCGAAGGTAAAGTCGAAAAGCCGTCAAGAGTTCTGATAATCCGGTTCTTAACGTACACAGCACAAGTTCCACTTCTTCCACTCTCCGTGCATTTTTTCTGGCCGCTTCACTAGCATTAATCGGAAATTCAACATCAGTCCAATGGATGTTGAGACCCTTTTCACTGACAAATGATTCAAGCGTGAGAATAGTCTCCGTAAACAGCCTAACTACTGTAGGAACATCATTTTGCACCTTCCCAAACTGATCTTCAGTTAAGCTTGCAATGAAGAGCTTTGTGAGGGCCTCAGTAGCATCAACTAAAGGTGCCGTTTGTTCAAATGGCGATCCTAGAACGATTTGACGAAGGCGCCGAGCATAAGGTTTTCGGAACGGTGCACCTAAACGGCTGCGGAACGCCCATTGAAGAAGAGGATGAATGGTTGGAGCAGAGTTTCCAGCTTGGGCAGTACTCGCGGTTGGGGATGTGAGTAATTTCAATTCTTGAGCCGACTCAGTGATTCTGCGTTTTTGCGCTGGGCTTAGCATTATCGACGAAGCTCGGTCAAAAAGCTGACGTGCCTTGGCTTTGGCGGAAGGAGTCCAATCCGGACTGTGGCCGTAGCTTTTGGCTACGGATCCAAACGCTGCCTCAAACTTCTCCGGCCGGGTATTTCCCCTTGGCATAGTGAGAAAGATATTATCTTCTTTGGGGGGGAGAGTGAGGCGCGGTAACGTTTGAATTGATCCGGTATCGCTCGCTGCTTGCTTCACTTCCTTGGTTTCTGTGGTAGGAACAGTTGTGCCGGCAGGCGTGGGCGACTGAAACTGAGTGATCCGGCTGTTAATCCCCTTGATGACGTCCGATGTTGCAGCAAATACTTGACTCCATGCAGAACCACCTGCACGATCGATATCGTTGAAAATCCCTTTCCGACGATCAGGGAATTGCTGGCTGATAAGACACAACTCCCACAATGCAAACGTAAGGACTGGTGCCTTTTTGGCTTTTAAACCGTTTATAAGACTCCCGTTTGGGTCTTTGGCTGTATTTGTTAATGGTAGGCCCTTTTTTAATGGTGCCCGACCTAGAAAAACAGAGAACAAAAGGTTGGATGTCTGCCACAACATGATCAACAGCGTTCCGGAGCACGCCGATCGGAGTAATAATGTGATATGTATTGGTGGTATGATACCTGGTGGATCCTCAGCCGATTTCGAGAAGTGCCAGAATAATCTTGCAAAATACAACGTGAAATTCCAAGCTTTTCTCCTTAGTAGCATCGTGTAGACGAGAGGCCCCACGACTGCTGTTATTCCACTCTGAACGACGGCATGGACAAACATTTTGGGCACCGATTTGGTAAAACGGGGTAACGGTGGCTCGAGCGGGTGAGTTCGCAGGTCGTCGGATTTCTCGGAGCGTTTAGCGATCGGGATAACAAGCTGGTCCCAATCATAATACAGGTGGAAGGTTGCCTGAGTAAGTGCGAGAAGGAAGTAGAAGCAGTGGAGGTATATCGGTTTCTCGTTGAGCCGCGCTCGTTCATAGGGCCTACACTATGTCAAAATTACCCCAATTGACAAAAATCAATAGAAAATTACTAACTTTCCCGGGTACACCCAGTTCAAATCCGCACCTGCTGATGCTGACCAAATATACACTTCGCTAAACCACCACGCGGAAAAGATATACCAGCCAAAGGTTTGAATGAGGTTGACGGAGAACGTTGTTTGGCGCCATGTCTGAAAGGGTGAAACAGTCGTATAGGCGCCAACGTGTAGCTGCCCTACCCGAAGTACAAAGACTGATAGACTCGAGATGAATAAAAGTAGTGTTCGGAATCCGCACGCCCCAAGGGGGAACCATGACCAGAAAACTAAGGCTCGTGTTAGCAAAGGGAGCACTCACAACTCCAAGAAAGAAGTAGACATACGGGATGTTTTGGTGCTAATAAGGAAAGAGATAACGTAGGATACAAGGAGAGCAAACGCGGAAGCATGGACGAATCTCCGATGGAGAGCTGAGGTAAGAATTCGCCGATATGGCCTTGCGGGAACAGCGGGAGCTGGTGCCATGGTGAGATGAAAGAGCGGACGGGTGACTCGAAATGTGCGCAGGTAGACTATCTCATCCTCAAAGCAAAATAAGAAAAGGGCTGGGCCCAATGCGATCACTTTGACTAGCCAGCCAGCTCAATTGAAGCTGTTGAAGCTGCTTCACTTCGTCGCCAAACAACAAAAACAAAGATCCAAGCATCAGCCACAGAAGGTTTGGTGGGCAAGCCACATGGAAGTGTGGCGCAGCAGGCACTTGGCTGATGACATAATCTAGATACCTGACATCATGTGGTTTCAAGGCGTCCATCATTGTTCCGGGAGGGACAACATCAAGACTCAGACCTGCTCTCCGTTCGTTCATCTTCTAGTTTATAGCTGAGCTTGAGTGAGCGCGTATTTGTTTCCGCTCGAGGACTCCGATTCACTCACTGTCATGTCCTTCGACCGTCTTACGTCGCTAGAATCGCAGACCGAACCTGCCGGACGAAGCGGTGGTTCATCATACCATGACGATCCCGACTTCCAGCGTTTAACGGAGTCTCTGTCAAATCAGTTATTCACATTAACGTCAAATATATCCCGCCTATCGAATCAAATTGGCCTCCTTGGAACAAAGCGCGATACTGAGCGGGTACGAGAGCGGATACATAACCTATTAGAAGAAACCAGAGATGGCTTTCGGGAGGTCGGGGAGGGCGTTAAGAAGGTCCAGATGTGGGAGGATATAACTGTAAGGACATCCCTTAACCATTCACGAGAACTGGGTTGAAATCATCTCTAAAACTTACCGTTTGATGGGTGCAGCCCGCCCAAAAATGGACCCAACAAAAACTATCCTCGGAGTTTAAATCCACACTGGAAGAGTTCCAATCGGTTCAACGTCGCGCGCTCGAAAAGCAACGCGCTTCCGCAGCTGCCGCACGCTCAGCTCTCGAGGATAGTGCCGGCGCCGAGGCGCCCCAGGAAGGCCAGTCCCTCCAGCAATTACAAGAACAACAACCCCGACTTGCATCCCAAGCGGAAGTGGATTTCCAGGATGGATTGATTATCGAGCGCGAAGCCGAGATCAGGAATATTGAACAAAGCGTGGGTGAACTGAACGAGCTATTCCGTGACGTCGCCCACATTGTCCGCGAACAGGGTGGAAAGTTAGACCTCGTTAGCGAGAACGTTGAACGGACCCGAGACGACACCCGTGGCGCCGACAGAGAATTGCGAAGCGCAAGCAGGTATCAGAAAAACGCGAGAAATAAAGCTTGCTGTCTTTTGCTTATCCTAGCGATTGTGCTGGTCATTATCGTCTTAGCCGTAGCTCTCGGATGATACGTTAGATTATCCCCGACTATTTCCCCTATATTCTCCCTATTGTATGGCTTTATCGGTGTTCGCATACGATTCCCTCTAAATTAATCTCTTTCCTTCCTGGCCGTCTTATTTCTTCCCAGTGCTGGTAGATGAATGTATGTACTCTTATGTCCCTTAACTTTTCTATATCCATCATTTGCGACTTATCGTACAAGACTATTCCTAGCTCTAATGATCATAATACATATTTGAGAACTTAGTAGGGTTTCAAGCCCATGACGACTTGATCCTTCATCACAATCCGAAAATGTGGCTAATCCTCATCTTCCACCCCTCGAACGAATTCAATTTGGGACGCACGTCGAGGTAGAAGCTGAGCTTTCCGTCCGGACCGCCAGCACCCAACCCTGAACGGCCTCCAGTTTTTCCCTGGTAAAAATCAATCACGTACTCAACCTTTTCACCGCCGCATCTCTCCACGACCCAGTCGTGACGGTCAAAAGGAAGCTGATAGCCCAACAAGCCATTGAGTCTCGCCCTTGGGCTCAAGAATTGGCTATCAGTGCCTAATCCTCGGAACGAATATAGCTTTGGTCCACCGCATTTTCGACTCCCTGGATCCGAAGGCGGTACGCGAGATTCCCAGGATAGGATCTCCGACCAAGCCCGCTCGTTTACCGCATTGTGGATCGGTATGATGGATGCTACTGATGTGGCAAGTTCTTTGGCGGAGCCTGTAGACGTGGGTGTCCCTTTGCGCATTAAAGCTTCAAAGAACTGGCGTTCGGATGGGTAGACCCAATTACCCGTGCCTTCGTCATGGCCTGTTTCGGTTTCGGAATTCGAGGGAGAAGCGTGTGATGCGGCGGACGAAGGCAGTTGGGCGTACGGGGACGAGGGCTGGGATGGCGTTTTGTTTTCAGAATGACTGGGTAAAGCTCGTGGTATGGTGCTGACTTCTCGCTCTGTCGATAGCGGTCTGAAGAGCTTCGCTGGAGGTGTGTTTGCGCCAGAGGGCGATTCGGGTGCAGAGTTTGTAGGTTTATTCGAGGCCGAGAGCCAGGCCTCCCTGGATTTGTGATCAACAGGGCATGCGGAAGGCTCCTCGAGCTTTGAGGGCGGAAGAGGATGAGGAGGCGCGTTTTGGTTTTGCGAGAGCCAGACTTCGCGGGCCTTGTGGTCTACAGGACAGGACGCCGCGGAAGGAGTAGCATTGCTCTCGGCAGAAGACTGTGTACTCCCACCAGCTCCCATAGCGGTCGATAAGCTGTCAGAATCTCGTTCAATCCATCAACGAAGCAAAGAGAAAAGCTTCAGTGGAAGAGTCGGCGAAGGTAAAGTGCCGCAGCCAATGATGGCTAGAACTCAGCATGACATAATCCGTTGAATATCCGCCTGTCTTTCGCTGTTGTGACCAGCATATCACGATGTGATCTGAGGATGTGATCTGAGGACAGCAGAATGTGGGCCGAATACTTCGCGAAGAGATCATGAATCACTACCACAGCGCTCGAAAAGTCCAGATTGGAAGAGCTGTGAGAATCAGAACTACCGGGATGAAATGCATGACTTACTCGGTCCTCTTTGCCCCCCGCGAAACTTGCGGAGATTCTCCCATGCTCCCTGCGGCTCGATTTCGATCCGTACTCGGGTTTCCGACTCTGTGGCGCATGCTTGGGAAAGCTATCCCGCTCAAAGATAAACAGCTACCAATGCGTTGATACCCAAGTCACACAACTGACAGCGAAGTCAGCATCATGCGCGATAACCGTGCCCAGTCACCGAGAAACCCATGCTCCAAATGGATAATAGTCGCACTCTCAGTTTAAAATTGAGCGTTCGCACTACGAGGAACCAACCTTTTAGGCCGTATAACTAATCCGGTGCGAAAGCAGTCGAAGATTCTTTTTGCACTCCCGCGCACAATCACCTGAAGCCTTGCTCTTGCAATGGAGCCGAATTCGGATGCCGGTCTGACAATTGAAGTAGGACGCATATATGGCGATTTGGCAGGGGTGATGGCCCCGGATATGCCAGTGACATGCTATTCAATAGCATCGTTCATGAACAACGGGCCTGTGGTACCATTTTCAACTGCATTTTATGTTACATGCAAGACCTATATTGGACTTGCGCTATGGCCCTGCTATAAAGGTGATTTGGATCTATCAAGGCTTTGAGCAAAGCCGAAGACTACTATAAAGGTACCGCCAACTCCCGTTGCTTCCCTATGATTCCAGGTTATTTCTCTGCTTTAAAACACCTGGGATTATATAAAAAGGTAGAACCCCATTCCAGAAAGCATGACCATCGCATAGCTAACAATTCACATTACACAGAACACCAGACCAAGTTCAGACACATGATGCAGTTTGCTCTTGTTGCAAGTCTCCTCTCCCTCGCCAGTGTTGCTGCTGGTGCTGTCTCTTGCAACAAGGTAGGCACCTATGGCTGTGCCTTTCGGGACGATCGCTGGTTTGTTACGATCTGCAACCATGACCTAAAATGGGAACTTCAGGCAAAATGCGGTGGAGGGCAGCGCTGTGTGAGAAAGGGTGAAGCTGGATACTGTGTTGGATGAGAACAAGGCAAGATTACAACCTTCAAGCCAGCTTGACAGCAGTGGCAAGCTAGCTAACGGGCAAATAGCAATTCTATACCGATGGCCGATAGAGCGAACCTAGCTGTGTTGTGATGTCCTTGGAAGACGGTGATGGGAGGCTGGCAGATTGGAACAGGCTCATGTTTCTGGTCTCTGTTATGCGGACGGATAAATCGCACATATTTCCGATAATCATTATAGCAAGGCCAATTGCCAATTGATTGTAAACAAAAAGCTGCCCGAGATTGAATATGTTGAAAGTGTTGGGTAGTCAGTGACCGTTTGGCCCAACTAAACTTTAGCTACGAGGCTCTTTGCTCACCCCACCATCTGGCATCAGTTATCAACCACCCTCCCCATCTCCCTCCAGAACCCTGAACAACCCTCAATTCTCAACTGAAAAGGCCCACGAACCGTCATCACCATGGCAGGCCATGATTCCACAATCTATCGCTCCAGCACAACTGCCCCGGTGAATATTGCTGTCATTAAGTATCCAAGGACCCCGCCTTGAGCTCTTTGTTTCGGGAGCGGACAACTAATCGCTGGTGCGTAGGTACTGGGGAAAGCGAGATGAGACTCTCAATCTCCCAACAAACTCCTCGCTCTCGGTGACCCTTTCTCAGGCCGATCTGCGCGCACACACGACGGCTTCATGCTCAGATAGCTACCCCCACGCGCAAGGAGACACCCTGACCCTCAATGGTACACCGCAAGACATCCGCGCCTCCAAACGCACTTTAGCATGCCTCTCCGATCTACGCATCCTCCGGCGGGCTTTGGAGGACGCAAACCCGTCTCTCCCCAGGTTGTCTGCGTTCCCTCTCCGCATCGTTTCGGAGAACAATTTCCCAACCGCTGCCGGCCTCGCAAGTTCTGCTGCTGGGTTCGCAGCCCTGGTTCGTGCTGTTGCGGATTTATACGAGCTGCCACAATCGCCCAGTGAATTGAGCCGGATCGCCCGCCAGGGATCGGGCTCCGCTTGTCGCTCGTTGATGGGTGGTTATGTTGCTTGGAGAGCCGGCTCCAAAGGAGACGGTAGCGATAGTATTGCTGAGCAAGTGGCTCCTGCAGGCCACTGGCCCGAGATGCGTGCATTGATCCTCGTCGTAAGCGCTGCGAAAAAGGATGTTCCTAGCACCAAAGGCATGCAGTCCACCTTCACTACTTCGACGTTATTTCCAACCCGTGCTAAATCGATCGTCCCCGAGCGGATGGCGGCAATGGAAACTGCTATTCGGAACTGGGACTTCAAATCCTTCGCGGAGATCACTATGCGTGACAGTAACAATTTCCATGCGACGTGCCTGGACACTTGGCCACCGATCTTTTATATCAATGATGTCTCTCGCGCAGCCATCAATCTTGTGCACGAGGTCAATCGGATTGCGGGAAAGGCAATTTGCGCCTATACCTTCGATGCTGGTCCGAATGCTGTTATTTATTATCTTGAGAAGGACTCTATGCAGGTGCTGGGTACATTTAGGCAGATATTGAAACCTGAAACGGAAGGCTGGGGTGGAGTTGAACCAGTCCGCGATTTGATGGATGGCTTGATGGCCACTAGCACAGGGTCAATGGAGAAGCTTGCTGCTGGTGTTAACCGTGTGATTTTGACCGGTGTTGGTGAAGGCCCTGAGAAGGTGAAGAACCACCTTGTTAGCGAAACTGGCGAGATTTTGATCGGCTCTGGCAATTAAGGGACTGTTTAATGATTTTCCTTCATGATACCCAAATATCTGTGAAAAGTTGCTTTTATATGCGACAAGAAATGCCCGTGATCCAACAAAGATACCACCATGCTAGACCAAACTATTTACAGTGATAAATAATTCCCTTAAACTTTTGTTTTGAGCTCTCCTTTCTTTAACGCTTCTCTGGATCTTCAATCTCCCAACCACGGTCAACCACCCAGCAACGCCAGCTTCTTGAATTCCTTGATAGCGGGAGGCTCCTTCGGCTTAGCGTTTGCATCCAAACTGTCCCAAAATACGCCCTCTGCACCAGTAGTTACTCTTTGACCGGGGCCTCCATTTGCTTCAATATCCTCGGATCCTTCAGCAGCCGGAGCGGCTTGGGGCCTAACTTCAAATACCTCATCCACGCAGCCTCTGCACATATTCAACACTTCATCAAGGTTCTTTTCTACCACGACAGCCCTCTCTCGCATACCCCTTCTTAGCATAGCCTGTACGAGGACCTCTACTTCTTCAATTGCCGTATTAACCCTCTCGATCAACCTACGGACACTGTTCACCAGATACTCCTCCTCGTAAACAGTTCCCTTTTTGCCTCGGGCGCGCTTTCGTTCTTCCCGACGACGCGTCTTGCTAGTTTTCCTCGACACCGATGTAGAACCGGTATATCTCGTGAACATGCTCCGACCCGCAATCGTGCTGGCATCAGTAGGCGCGATGGAGATGTTATCTGGGATGTCAAGGCCCTCGGCTCCACCGGCTGGCTCCCCGCCGAAGAAACCCAGCGGATCTGCTGCGCGGCGAACACGTAGCTCTGCTATTCTGGGAACTTGGGCGAGCAACTGGGACCTGCAGTCCGCGAGCAGTTCGATCAGCGTTCCCATGGTTTCACCCAAGGAGCTATCCACAATGTCCGTAACGAGTGACTGGTGACCATGTAGTGCAAGAATGCGGCACGCATCGCCGAATTTTGAGCCACGGCAAAGAAGGCGTGCCGCGGCGGGTATATCATTTAGATGATCACGGCAGATACTCGCGGCTGAAACATAGTCTTTAATCTCAGTGAGGGCGCTCACCAGCGAGTGAGCCAGGTCTGTCATTTGAGATTCAGGCAGTGGAACAAGACTTGCACAATAAAGGCACTCTTGCCACATGTTGGCGATCTTGTATGCTTCATAGGCTGATTGGTACAAGGCAAGCGATTCATATGCTTCAACCATGCTGTTAGCAATTGCTGCGGGAAAATGAGCGATACAAAAGGAGTCCCACCTATTGCTGCTTCCTTGTGTTTGGACTGGTCATACAAATAGTCGGCATATAGCTGGGTCATATCGCGAAGAAGATCGGGCTGGTATTTGTACAGTTCCAACGCTTCACGGTATAACGCATGTTTGATCGTGTAAAGTTTCAACTCATCGTACTCGTGAAGGGCATGCAAACTTTTCAGGGCTTTTGGGTATCTGCCCAAGTGGTTATCGATTTCGTATCGTCGACGAAGCTCGGTTAGTCCTTGTAACTTTTGGAGAAACGGGAGATATTCTCTTGGATCCTGTATGTGCCGTCAGACTAAGTTCAAATATGCAGTATCATGTTCGATTCTCACTCTTTGTGCTTGTTGAGCCACTAGCAAGGTAAGTTCTAGGTCGTATAGTCCCAAAGCATTGTTGAATAGCCTAGCTGCATCCGTGAGAAAACACATATGCTCAATTGCTTCTTCTGCCTGTTCTGCATTTTGATCTGTAGTCGGACATTAATAGAGCGGTTCAGTTCAACAAGAGATAGCATATGATCTACGTACCCCGTAATTTTGCGACAAGCTGAAGACCTGCATCTAGATCCGGAGGAGATTTACAAACATGAGCAGTGACAAGATTTTGAAGATTGGTCTCAACACGATTCGCAAGTACCGATAGAAAGGCATCACAGATCTTGTTGACTTTGTTCTCTTTGTTGGGGTTGGGCATGGGTAGGAGGCCAGTTGTCTGCTCAGAACCGATAGTATGGTCTCGTGCCTCAGTATGTGCGATCTTAAGCGTGTCCTTGTATAGAGTTTCGGAAACATCTTCATTTCTAATCGCGGCAGTCAGTGTAAGTGAGCTGAGTATTGGGGAGGGCCATGCAGTATACTTCAAGCGGGATAAGAATTCATCAATAAAATCAATCCGTTTTACTTGGTCAATGAATAGTTGTATGCTAGCCATAAATTGCTCTGGCATGTAGTCATGTAAAATATTCATGTCTACCATATGGCTCCTGCATGCCAGGTATGCGGATCGATACTTTTTGCTCTCAATGTATTTACGTATGCCTGCGAGCACCAATGCGCGAGGGTAAATAGTTTCGATATTCCCACGAGGCATTTGCAGGGTGAGAGCGAAGATTGAAGACATCGCTGCCACTAACCTCGCACCTCGCTCAATACTTCTGCAGCGCTCGTCAACTTCAGGAGTATCACCAGGTATTTCAAGGCCTGGAAGGATGGGTTAGCTGCGTCTTAGTTGATGGGAGGATACAATTCGCACCATCAACGTTTGTTATATGAACAAACTTCAGCAGATGCTGGGTGGTAGTGAAGATAAGATGGGCTGAAGTAATTAAAAACGATGTGCAATTCTTTACCAGTAGCCGTTTATTAGCATAGAGAGAGCCGGACCGTGAAAGCGAGAACAATATGTGCTTCAGCAGATTAGAATAGATCATCAGGCAGTATTATATGCAATGTAACTCACCCCTTTTTCTGCAGATGCAGTCGCACTGGCCCAGCTTGTTTCCTGAACCGGGCTTTCGAGCCAATTAATGCAAGGGGCATTATTGTCTTCACCAGTTAGCATATAGGAATATAAGAGATGTTTCTGATTTGGGCTTGCTCGAGCAACCCATAGTGCATCTTGTTCCAAGTTAGAGAAGATAAATGAGAGTCGATCCGACTCAGTAGACGCCAGAACAGCTGTTGTGTTTTTCGTGTCGAGGTTGATTTTTTGCACTTCTGCAAATGACATATCAGTCTCCATTAGAACGTACACGTCCGTTTCACCTTGGATCGCGATGTTTCTCGGTCGCTTTACTGTCTGGGGAAAAGCGAAGAATGAATCGAGCTCCGGGTCTGGTGGTGGGACGGTTTTGAGTTGCCATGAATAAACGGCAATGCCTTCATTTGTCAGTACCACGATTCTTGTCCCTGACTTGCTAAATGCGACGTCGATTGCGTTGTATTGTAATTGGACCTCGCAAAGAGCCATTGGGGGAGGGACCGCGGCGACTTTTAATGGAGAAAGCTTCAAATTCCCTATGAAGAAGTCAACCCTGCGGCGTTAACAGGTAGCCTGCAGGAAAGGCACTTACTCCCGTCAATCACGCCAATGGCGCCAAAATCATTCGGCAGTATACAGGAGCCTCTCGAAACGTCGAAGACCCAGTCCAAATCCATGAGAGAGCCTGCGAAGGTAGTTAGACGATAAAATCCATGTCGACTGGAGCTAAGACGTACTCGAAGAACTTGCTGCAAATCGGATTGGCTTTTCATGATGCCAACGGAACGTGCGCAAGAGTTCAGTTTGGTTAGTCTCAAAACTGAGAGGAACTTCCTGCTTCAGGTAGTAATGATAATTGCCCATCGTCCAGAGTTGGATCCTATCTCTGAATAGAACGGCCAGCACGGTCGAATCTAGATTCCAAGCCAGGTCGATCGACGATGCCCAGGTGTCTCTATCTTCCTTTTCCAAGCGAAGCGTGAATTGGCCGTGCCGAAGACCATTGCGTTCAAAAAAGGCCACATCGATGCGATCCTCAAGCCGCTGTATGCCGGCAACTAAATTTCCAGAAGGACGCCAGCTTAAAGCACCTTCCAGCCCATCCACAGGCTCACTGACACTGTCTAGGACGCCCTCCCGGGAATACACCCGAATCACACGCCGGGATCCGGGTTCAATGCTGTTCACAGCGACAAAAGCACCGTCTCCTCTCCAACTAATACAAGTCTTTCCATCATCTAAATCACTCAGAACCCCCTCGTCTACCTTTTCTGGCATTGTCGGGTCGCGGAGCGCTTTGGCTCTTTTGCCTTGGAACTGGGTTTCCTTTTTGCCCCATCCAACAGAGACATGTTTCGAGATCTTCAGGTCATCGCCGGAAAAGGCAATGCTTGCAATGCTGTCAAAGTCGCGAGTCATATAAAGCAAGGTATTGGACCTAGTGGTAATCGCCAGGAGCTCCTCATCAGGCGCCCACGCCGCGGCAGTGATACCAACATCCACGGAGCCAACGATTTCAATTTTGTCTTCTCCGGGTTGCGGGGCCTCTCGCACAATGATGATATCTCCTCCCTCGAGAACCAAGCATGTAACCAGAGTGTCTGGAAAGAATTGCATTGACAATATACGATCGCATTTTAACTCCGGGAGCGGACATGGCGCATCCCAAGAGGCAACAAGTGGGAGTTCCTGGTTGGGACTGATGTCTGCATCCTCCTCTTTTCGTCTCAGCTCAATGATTGCGCTGGTTTCAGTTGGACCAAAAGCGCAAAGGACAGAATCCGTTGCTGGGTCCCATGCCGTTGCAGTTAGCGGCAGCCCCTTGGGAAGTGGAATCTCCGCGAAACGGATATTTTTTAGGTTGCGCATCTTTCTTATGTTTGGAGCTCGAGGAAGATCTCATGAAGAGGCCAAACAAAAATTCATAGACAAGCCATGGGCTCGACCGAATCACAGATGTTGTACTTTAACTTCTTTCGCTTGGTGCGTTGTGTTGCTCGGCTTGTCGATGACTTTTTATGAGATTTTCTCATTTTGGGGTTGGCATCCAACCAATGATCTCATCTGGGTTCACAGCTTACCAGACGCCTACGAAACAGAACCAAAACACATCACGACTACAGATGGTGACAATTCATAGAAATACAGATGAGTGTAGCTTTCTCATATTTGAATTTTGTACATTTTGCAATCTCAAAAGCTGCGTTATGTCAATCCCACAACCGGTGCCCTTGAATCTTAAGTAGTGCATGTGGGCGAAAAAACGAATTGCTCAGCGAGTCTTCATGGTTTGCCAGACTACGTACGAGAAAACGAATTAGCAACGGGATTGTGACGTGGATGAAGGTGAGAGTGTCAAGCATACCGGCAATTCCGAAGGGCATGAAGAATCCGACACCTAGCCAATGTATTAGCAACTCGTGAATGTGTACCCGGTAGAACGCAGGAGTGTACCCATAAATGCCCAGTATCTCCAGAAGAAGTGCTTTGTGAGAGGATTGAATGGAAGATTGCTTCGTGGACCTTCGGGATAATGGAATGGACTGCTGAACTGAGGGCGGGTGGCATGGAAGCCACGGCGGGTGACAAGAGAAGTGGCCGTTTTGGCCCGGAGCGTAGATCGCGCAAACATCTGACCAAGTTAGCTACAGAGTAGCCAGCGCCGTCCTTGCAGGGTTACTTGCCTTGGAGAACAGAGGTAGAGACGGGTGGAATTGAGAGCGTTGTTCGGCCAAGTCAGAAGTGCATTCTCGCCTTTCGATCGTCTGGATATCCGAAGGGTAACGTGATTGCCCTTCGCGTGATTAGTAAGCCTTCATGTTTGTCCGGTGGAATGTTTATCCGACCGGCGGTTTTGAACCTCCAGAAATTATTTTGATAGCGATTGAAGCACGACGCACAGCGAGCTCACACCGAAGGATCCCGTGGGAGCCTAACTCTGCAATCAGCAGTCGCACGCCATGGACGAGCTATTCGACGTCTTTGAGGCGGCTCCGGCGTCGGGAGCTACGCCTAGCCAACCTGCGAAGCCTCGCCCGAAGAAAGATAAGAGCAAGAAGCGACAAGCAAACGGCGATGTCAAGGAAGATGCGGTCATAACAGATGTGAATGGGGCCGACCAGATCTCGGCGCAAAGCGAAACCGAGCCTGTCCTCGAGGTGCAGACTGAACAGCCCGAGCCGAAACGGCCCCGAATCGAGCCAGAGCCCATTGTCGCGGATACCTTTGAAACAGAGCAGTCCCGTGAAATTGCAGCTTCAGCGGGATTGCAAACCACTCAAGAAGGCACTGCCGTGGTTCTTTCACATCAAGTTCGACATCAGGTTGCGCTGCCGCCGAACTACCCTTACGTTCCTATCTCTGCACACAAACCGCCTGAAAAACCAGCCAGGACGTGGCCATTCACGCTAGATCCCTTCCAGCAAGTTTCCATTGCCTCGATTGAACGAGATGAAAGTGTCCTTGTCTCTGCTCATACTAGTGCCGGCAAAACTGTGGTCGCCGAATACGCTATTGCCCATTGCTTAAAGAACAACCAAAGGGTCATCTACACAAGTCCCATAAAAGCGTTAAGTAACCAAAAATATCGAGAATTTGCAGCCGAATTTGGTGACGTCGGATTGATGACGGGCGATGTGACAATCAATCCCACGGCTACGTGTCTTGTCATGACCACAGAGGTGAGATGATTATACTGTTTTCATGCTGACTCCTGGCTGACCCTGATATAGATTCTGCGATCCATGTTATACCGTGGCTCCGAAATAATGCGTGAAGTCGCTTGGGTGGTTTTCGATGAAATTCACTACATGCGAGACAAAAGTAAGGCTTATAGCCTCCCTGGTTCCTGAAATAAGCCACTAAATCCTTTTCATAGCACGGGGTGTTGTCTGGGAGGAAACTATTATCCTTCTTCCTGACAAAGTCCGCTACGTCTTCCTTTCCGCGACGATTCCTAACGCCATGCAGTTCGCGGAATGGATTACGAAAACCCATGGCCAGCCGTGTCACGTAGTATACACTGATTTTCGACCCACTCCCCTTCAACATTACCTTTTCCCCGCGGGTGGTGAAGGCATTCGCCTCGTGGTTGACGAAAAAGGGGGCTTTAGGGAGGAGAATTTCCAAAAAGCCATGGGTGAAATCGCCGATAAAAAAGGCGACGACCCCGCAGACACCAATGCTCGTGGGAAGGGAAAAGGAAAGAATAAGAAGACGAATAAAGGAGGCGAGAAGGGACCATCTGATGTTTTCAAGATTGTGAGAATGATCATGATGAAGAGTTATAACCCAGTTATCGTATTCAGCTTCAGCAAACGAGAATGCGAGGCACACGCCTTAACCTTGAAAAACCTAACTTTCAATGACGACTCCGAGAAGGACATGGTTTCAAAGGTTTTTAATAGCGCTATTGAAATGCTTTCCGACGAAGACAAAAAATTGCCGCAGATCGTGAATCTCCTTCCACTTCTCCGACGTGGAATCGGTGTGCATCACTCCGGCCTGCTGCCCATTCTTAAAGAAACCATCGAAATTTTGTTTCAAGAAAACTTGATCAAAGTTTTGTTCGCTACGGAAACGTTCTCTATCGGATTGAACATGCCAGCCAAGACGGTGGTTTTCACGAACGTCAGGAAATTCGACGGCACAAGTCAACGATGGCTAACACCGTCGGAATTCGTGCAAATGTCTGGCCGTGCCGGCCGTAGAGGCCTTGATGACCGGGGAATCGTCATCATGATGGTCAACGAAGAGATGGACCCTACTGTTGTGAAGGAAATCGTCCGTGGTGAACAAGACAAGCTCAACTCGGCATTCTACCTGGGTTATAACATGATTCTCAATTTGCTTAGAGTGGAAGGGGTGTCTCCGGAGTTCATGTTGGAGCGGTGCTTCGCCCAATTCCAGAGTGCATCGAGTGTTGGGACATTAGAAAAAGGTGAGTCGCCATAGCTGACTGGTAAATAGGACTATTCTAACCGGTAATAGAGCTTGAGGAACTGGAATCCCAGCGAAAGAACATCATTATTCCTGATGAAGGGACGATTCGAGAATACTATGATTCACGACAACTGTTGGCTACGTACAACGAAGAAATGCGCTTAACGATATGTAAACCAGACTATTGTCAGCGCTTCCTCGACTCAGGACGCCTTGTTAACGTTCAGCACGAAAAGCATGATTTCGGCTGGGGTCTGGTTGTCAACTTTCAACAGCGCAAGGCTCCTCGCAGTATGCAGGAGGAGTATCCTCCCCATGAGAGCATTATAGTGGACGTTCTTTTAAATGTTGCCGAGAACGCCCATTTCTCCTATAAGTCCGACCAAATGTTGCCCCCTGGTGTCCGTCCTGCCAAGAAGGGGGAAAATTCCACGATGGCTGTGGTTCCTATGGTGCTTAGTTGCATCAAGGCGTTTTCCACGATGCGAATCACGCTTCCAAAAGAATTAAAATCTGATGACTCTAAGAAATATACGGCAAAGGTACTCGCTGAAGTACAGCGGCGATTTCCAGACGGCATTCCGGTTCTTGATCCCATTAATGAGATGGGGATCAAGGAGGAAGGATTCAAGCGAACTTTGAGGGTATGCGAAGCCGTGTTGATTGCTTTTGGAGTTCGTCCTAACATGTTTTATACAGAAAGTCGAAGTTGTTGAGGCACGTTTATTAGCAAATCCTCTTCATAACTCACCCCGACTACCGGAATTATACGATCAGTATGCAACGAAAGTGGAATTGGGCAATAAAATTAAAGATACGAAACGGCAAATTTCTGTTGCCATGTCTATCATTCAGCTTGATGAGCTGAAGTGTCGGAAACGTGTGCTGCGTCGCTTCCAGTTCATCAACGAATCAGAGGTTGTGCAGCTAAAAGCGCGAGTGGCTTGCGAGATTAGCAGCGGTGACGAGCTCATGTTGAGTGAGCTATTATTCAATGGTTTCTTCAACACTCTCACGCCTGAGCAGTGCGCGGCGGTACTGAGCGTTTTTGTTTTCGAGGAAAAATCAAAGGAGACTCCGCCGATAACGAACGAGGAGCTGGCGAAACCACTCCGCGACATTCAGGCTCAGGCAAGGATTATTGCAAAAGTCGGGCAGGAATCGAAACTTGCGATTAACGAACAGGAGTATGTGGAGAGTTTCCGATGGGAATTGATGGAAGTTATCTACCAATGGGCCAAGGGAGGGTCGTTTGCAGAAATATGGTATGTTGATCCGTGTCCTTGTGGCACAAGGAAAGCAGAGCTAATCGGATATGCAGCAAAATGACGGATGTCTACGAGGGAAGTTTAATTCGAACGTTCCGACGCCTGGAAGAGTGCATGAGACAGATGGCACAAGCTGCAAAAGTGATGGGGAGTAGCGACCTGGAGTCGAAATTCGAGGCGTCGTTGTCGATGGTGAAACGAGACATTGTCGCCGCCCAATCACTCTATCTCTAAGGGAGGGTTTGTTTCAGACGTGTTAGCAGCATTTGTACGAGTTTGGTTAAGGGCATGGCGTATCATCTTCCATTAGCAGGGTCCTTTGATTATGGCGTATCTTTCGAATAGAGGGCAGAGTACTCCTTGTAGGACTAGTTTACCAGTTTGATATACCAAAAGCAAGCGATCCTCCCGCAAAAAGAAGGTGTTTTCTGGATTACGGTTATTTTGTTGCCGGCGCAACCACACAGCTGCAGCGGTGTATCGTACGGTACGCCTTCGTTACTAGCGGCGGCGTGACCACCTCAAGAAATGTTTCCTGCTCGCTCGCTCCAGCACCTCCGCCTCAACATCTCCCGCTGCCAGCTCTGCTGCTCCAAAGGGCGACTCCTGTGGCCGGTAGCTCCCACGCTCTCTTACCGCTGTCGGCATCATGAACAGCTTGGTGGCAACCCCACCTGTCCCTCCACATTTCTACGAGAACAACCGATTCAACTCCCCGTCTCGATTTGGTGAGAGAGTTCCTGACGCCAAGAGCAGAGCCGCTGGTGATACAATGGCTTATCGTGCTGACTGGGCTTTTGATAGCAGCCTCAATGAACTCAAGCGGAAGCCGGAAGCGTAAAGCAGAAGATGACAACAGCTCGAGTGATCACGACACCCGAATGTCTGCCTCGCCGACAGCCTCACCGGCATTCCTTACCAAACCCCTCGCAACTCGTCAGATAAAACGCACAAGACCGAACCTTTCTGGGCGAGCCTTGTCGCTTGGTCGGCTGCTGGAGACTCTAGGCAGTGATGATCTTCGATCAGTGCTGCGAACCCTGTGCGATCGGCACCCTGAACTTGGCCAGGAAGTCGTCGATGCGGCGCCTCGGCCCAATATCACCTCTGCCCTCCAAGTGCTGACCAACTATCAATCTACGCTGCAATCATCTTTTCCTCTCGGTGGCAACCCTTCCTCGGATTACGCATTTAACCGTGTCAAACCGCATGTGACAAGCCTACTCGATGCCCTCAATGACTTCACTCCCCATTTCCTTCCTCCAAACGAAACGCACACTTCTACCTCGTTGAACTACCTCGACGGTGCAACCGAGATCATTCACCGTCTCCCAAGATGGGACACCCCACATTACAATTTACATAAAGAAACTGCCTATGAAGAAATAGCGAAAGCTTGGGTGTTGGTAATCCGCGAGGCTAGCAAGCGTGGCGGTGGCATCCAACTGCAGTATGGGGAATGGGACCAGAAGTTAGCCAAACACAACCAGACCTCGGGGGGGAAACTTCAAGAGGCTGTTAGTGAGCTGAGCTCTAGCCTTGGCTGGATGGCTGGCCACTCTGGTCACCCTGCGGCTTCTGGTTACCCTACAGAGACTGCCTCTATCCGGCAGCAATTGCTCTCCGGCACGTATGGCGCTGGCCTACCGCTCAAGGTTGGTCCGTGGTGATTTATTTCAGCTTTCTTCACAGTCTTCCCCTCTTGCATACACCAACTGCCATGTCTCCTCATTACTCCACTTCGGGGCAAACCATTTTGACACACGACATCTTTCCCTTAACCAAACCTCTTGAAACGATTACGATACCTGTTCGATAGCAATAGATGCGGGATTTTGCGACCGGAGTTTAATCTGCTCTTCCCTTCATTATACCGTATTTCCTTGTCGGGTTTTGGTGTTGGCGCTCCCTTCTAAACTCTTTGTTATCATTCTGTTCTTTCTTATGGTCCTATCTTATCTGTGCTTTCCCTTTATCAGCAGATATAGTGGTGATCCTCTTCCACCTGTTACTATTTTCTTCTGTCATCCTGAGATACAAATCTGTCCCGATACTGGTGATTGATCATGGACGTTGTGCCATTCTCGCCAGTATTGCGCCATTGCTGCTAACTACACATACATTTATTATGGTTTTTCATATGTATTTTGCTCATTTGTATGCAACGGAGGGTGGGGAAACATTAGTACAGTGGAAGGTGGCAGCTAGTTTCTTTCCCTTCCATACAGAACAAATAGATTTGAAAACTTCTGCCGACTAAAAGCGAGTGATTGGCCGGTGGTATTTTGACGAGAGACTGGCGGTGAAAGTAAGAAAGCTCTGGTTGGAGGAGCACACCTCCCAATCGAACAAAGTGCAAGCACACACTCCATCCTTATGTGACCTCGCCATACAAGCGGGGGATCCAGTATTATGCATGCTCTTCGCTCTCCGCCTCCAACCCTGACTCAAGCTTCGTCGGGATGCCGCGTGCCAAGGCATTCTATTCTTAGCTCTGGCCCAAGCAACCCCGGCATGCCGAGCCATCTTGACCGGATAAGCTGATTATCCGTAATATACCCGACGGGCGCGCGTCTGCGATTTCATCAACGAAGCTCGTAATTGAGACGCGGGACTTTCATTGAAGTTGAAAAGAGGTGAGCTGCAGCGTTGAATTGAGTTGAAAGTGAATCGCGGCAGTCGCGATATAGGATATTCAGAGGGAAAGGAGAAAGCTTGGAGAGACAATGGTATCTTTTTGAACTCATCAACGAGCCTGATGCAATGGAGCAATCAGGGGCCCCTTCAAAGGGGCCTCTTGAATTTGTCCAGATTCTAATAAAATTGATCATCAACGCCAATCGCCGGTCCAACCTCCACGCATGTCCATATACACTGTAATCAACAGGACTTATCATCAATGTAGGATGGCCTGCAATCTATCTGTCCATCCTTGTATATATTTCCGTCTCGTAGCACTCAATTCTCAGGTATTATGTGCTCAAATTTCTTTCAATCGTATTGGCAACGAAAAGTATGAACACGAAGAACAATGGTTCTCTTATGGTTTTTTAAACGGCATGAAATGTTCATCTGGATAGACAGGCTTGCTCAAGCGCCAAAGCTCGATATCGAGCGAGTAAATCCGTCTGCGCAACATCAGGCTGATGTTGAAAATTGAAATGGGCGGCGAGCGCGGTGCCAATAACATTGACCGCTATAACTTCAATCAGCAATTACACGTCAAGGAGCATAAAACAGACTTACGTCTCAGATACTTCTTTGGTAGCTCCATGACTATCATCTCCTCATCACTCCTCTCCTTTGGCCAACTGTCAATATCGCTATCCAAGATATCATCTGCCATAACGGCCAGCACATTAATCCTTATGCGTTCGTTGTCCATATTCCAAGGACGATTGAACTTGTAAACATCCAAATTGTCTGACTCCAGATTCTCAAGGAACGAGTAATGCTGTTGGGCAGCAATAGCCCAGCTGGTATACGTATCACCCCACACTTCGTATTTCAGCTTTGATACCGGTGTGCGAGCAATGGCCTTGTCATCCTCAACACGAAGCCAGCGATGGCCTTTTGCTGGCGGTTTTGCATCCATTGCCCATGTGAAACTAGGAGGCCCGTCCCAATGCGGATGCTCTGAGGGTCTCCAGGCTTTGTTTGAGCTAACCTTCTTGGTTGCGTTTCCATTCTCATCTAACTCAGGGAAGTAAGGGTGCAATGCACCGAAATGATAGTGCATGAAAGACAGGGGGGGATTGTTGATTATATTCGCAGATACGGCAAAATCATCGGGATTTCTGATTTTGCGGTCCACTATTATAGGAATCGCATCGTCGGCTAGCCAAACCTGCATATAGGCTGTTAGCTGAGGCGCTCTCCAGGGTATCTAATAAGCTAGGAAAGACTTACAACATCGTCATCAACTTTGACGTACATTTTGCCCTTGTCTAAATGTTTCCAAATCTGCCGAAATTCTGGACCCTTCACTTTTCTCCCAAGGTCCAGTTTCTTATATCGCTGCGGCGAACTGGAAAGTATTTTATTCAAGTATGCAAGATCGTTCTTATTTTCCGTATTCACAACCCAGAGTACTTCGTCTAGCCACCCGCCGTTATCCACCATGTTCCTCTATAATGTCGAAAAGTCAACTAACAGCATGCGCGTGAGAGGTAAGGGAGTTGGCACAGACCTCCAGATAGCAATGCATCGACTCCACCCTATCTTTCCGTCCGAAGAACACAAGACCAGATATAGTTATATTCTCCGGTTTAACCAAGCTCGTGTGAATGGGGTTCCTGTCTTCCGCATGGCGCATGGGACCTCTATTATGTGATATTCCAACCGCCGCATTTCGCTGGTAGAGCACATTCATAAAGATGAGCACGTTCAAGAGGGTCAGAACGATTAGTCCCAACAAGGTTCGTTGTCCTCTGAGAGCCGTGAGGAAGAGTTCTCGATAGGTTTGCTTCGGCTCTGCGAGGATGCCATTGCTGCTCGACATGGCGGAGAAAGGAGGAGTGATGCCACCGAAGTGGTTGAAGGTAGGGGGGAAACGGGCGTCGTCACCATGCGTCAGCCCAGGGTTCAGGCCCGATAACGTGACATATAGAGGGACGTCACACGGATAAGTTATAGTCAAACGAGAGAACCATGGAGAAAGAGAATTCTGCAGAGAGACGATGCTTTGACTGAACACCACCCTAGAGTGTTTTGTGTCGCGTGCGAGCGATCGAAGCTGAGAAGCAAGCCGGCTCGCGCCTAGCCCGTAGTGCTTATTGGCTCCGCACGCCCCTGCTAGCCGCCTGCACCGCAGGGATGCAGCCCTGGATCTTTATGGAGCACGAGAGATTCTATGGAGTACAGAGTGCATATATTGGAAAATAGCTGTATGCCTACGTAGATTCACTCTATTTCAGATAGTACGCAAAATCAGCCCCTTCATCCCTTTCCCAGTCCAACTCACCATTGCCCATGAACCGGAAAGGATTGGACGTGTTGTATCTGATGTCAAAGTCCTCGCCGCGTATTGATTTCAAAACGGCTACATACACGGCGTTATCAGCGATACGATCATGCCAAATATGCGGGTTCTCATCTTACCCATAAAGTGGACGATGCTGCCAGGATACATCGCAGTGACGATACTACTGTCGCCTTTGGCACTCTTGTACCAAGCATGGCAGTTCTTGGACCAGACCGCCCGCTTCAGGATCTGCTGCGCATAGCGGTTATAGTCTTGCACAACAGAGCCCTTCACTGCGGTTGACCTATGACGCGGACTCGTTAGTGCACATTCCCGAGAGAAACTAACTCATATGACGAGCCCGAAACATACTTGATGTCCTCCGTTGCGATTTTTTTCATCCAATCCAACATGTAGTCGGCGCTCCATCCCAGAGTTGGAGGTATGGAACTATGGCCAGACGGAAAATTCGGCCCTCCAAACATAAAATAATTAGGCATCTCAGCGGCGCAAATGGAAAGATATGCTTCTGGCTTGTCCTTCCAGGCAACTTCTGGTGTCTGGCCATTGCGACCGACGAGCTTCCAGGACGGTATAAAAGAGTTGTTGAATCCTGTCGCGCACACGATCAGATCAAACTCTTCCTCGCCTTCTTCTGTCTCAATGCCGTCTGCTGTAAAACGCTTGATGCCACTAAAAGAGCATCTGGCATTTTCCGCCTGCAAGGCTTCCAAATATCCTTCGCCAGGGCTGATACGACGGCACCCGAGCTCATACTTGGGTATTAGTTTTTCGATCAATTCAGGGTTCTTTGCCAATCGTTCTCTCATCAATTGATCGCAGAGACCAGTTAAGAATTTATTCTCCTCGGACCCGGAGACCATTACCTTGAACACGCTGTTGACACTGCGCTTCCCATTAGGCATGGTTTCAGGCAACAAAATGGAGAGACATACGCCGACTCAACTTTCTTTCGGTATTTAAGGAACTCATCCGGATTGTCCCGAAAGTTTTGCTTCTCCTCTTCTGTAAACGCGAAATTTTTTCCGTCCTCGATCAAGAAGCCGCAGATATTCGTCGTGACCCAAGTTGCGTGTCGTATGTAATTCACGAGCTTTGCTGCTTTCGGTTGCAGAGCCGGTACCACTTGAATCCCTGAGGACCCGTTGCCAATGACGGCAATCCTCTTTCCTGTCCAATCGTAGGTTGGATCCCTTGCGCCAATATCAGCTATGAAGTACACCCTCTGTATGCAGCAAGCACTCACCATTGGGCGGTATGTAGAATCTTTCCCTTGAACGATTGGAAACCCTCAATTTCCGGCCATTTCCACTGCCTAGTATACTGCCTCAGTACTGTGGCAGGAATTTATATAAAGGGCAGAATGACCCACTGCAGCTGTCCGCTCGCGTTGATCAGGATATCAGCCTTATCCCGGAAGAGGCGCCCCTTGTTATCTAATGTGAGCTCCCATTTCCCCTGGCCTTCGTCCCAGATAGACTCGACGAGAGCCGTGTTGAAGATAATTTTCTCCTTTAGGCCATATTTCTCCGTGGTGTCCAGTATGTATTGTTGGATCTCTGGCCCACTAGTGTAGAACTTGGACCACGACGGGTTGGGTTCGAATGGAAATACATAGCTATCTGCTTCGATAAGAATCAATTCCTATCAGTCTCAGACAATGTAACTCACGGGCCGGTATATCACTTTTCACGATCAAGGTCAGCAATGGCCAAACAAAGCATCTGTGACAAAAGACCACATACCATCCAACCCCAGGGTATGTATTCACCAGCCAAGTGCCTCCAACTTCATGATGTTTCTCATAAATGGTAAAGTCCACAAAATCAAGTGGCCGCTCATGCTTGAGCTTATGGGCCAATATCAAGCCCGCGAAACCTGCGCCAATACACACGACTCTGAGCCGTTTTGGAGTGAACGCAAACCGGTCAGGATCAACGGCCCAGTCGCCTGCCGCCGCTGAGGCAATAGGCTCATCAAACCCGTTCGAAACCATGGTCACGCCAAACAAAGCTGCATGGGATTTTGTGGGCAGATTGAACGGGGGGGTTTGTAGGACAAGGCCGTCCCGATCATCCTCCAATCACGCAGATGCGAGAACCGTGGTTGTTGGAGGGGTTGGAATCCATGCGGCTTCGGGTATCGCAATACGAGCATCAACGGCGGACAAGGATCTCAGCGGTTTGCGCACCCTGCGGGGGAGAGGGTCATGGAGTTAGTTAGCTCTCCTCCCCCAGCACGCGGAATCCAGAATCAGCTCACCATGTTCGCCGTGCTTGAAATAGCAGTCAGCTAATAAGACGTTAGGATGAGGGAATCCATCCTGCTCGGCTCCTCCACGATCATCTTGCAATATCCAATGCCTGTTCCTCCATCCGCTTCGAACCCTTGACCAACGGCATTCAAGCGGCCCATTCGAACCCACACATCATTCAGCACGCCTGCTATTTCTCGTGATGCAGGGCACATACCGAGCCGTCCTATAAATATCCCCCAAAGAACAAGGGAAGGTCAACCAGGCGGCAAGCAATTGTTTTGAAGGCCGACGGCCAAGACCCGTCGATGCAGGGCCAAAACCAACAATTGCCCGCAAAAGCAATCAAGCGGAGGCCCAAGTTGAGATTTTCTTTTTTTCTTCCCACGGTGCAGAATCAGGCCCTGCCGCCCTGCGCTGCTTGGCGAAATGAGGGCGCAGTTCAGAGATCAACGCATTTCAACATGCACCCTGACTCGATACCCTGCATTGCATGAGTTAGGACCATCAGGAGTTGAGTCTCCAAGGGACTGAACGCCAAATCGCGGGCCTGGGTCTTCCATGTCCAACTTCAGCTCTGCTCTGCCCGCAGGATTTGTGGATCATGTGAGGGGATGAGAATCACACTGCACAGATACTGGATGAGATCGAAAGAGATACTGAAGCCAATATTATGACCTAGGGATCTTTTAGCAGTTATGTCAATTTATTTTCTGGTATCCTAAATAATGTTTACAAAGAACCTCAAAAGAGCTAATGGGATATATGTCAGTCCAAGATCAAAGACAGAGCCCCTTCCAAAACAACAGTAGGGTAATATAGTGAACAGGAATCAAAACTGAGAACGGGAATCAGGATCCAGAACAGGAACGCATCCTAGAGCAAAAGGGTAGTGAGAAAAAAAACCAGTCCTCCCATGTCCATCCATTTCCATGCAAACCAAGAAGCAACAACAGCAAATGTGGAGGTCTAGCGCTTGCGTGCTTCTTCGACCTGTCCCACTGTAAGAAAAGCCCTTGGTATCCTCTTCCATGTAAACGCAAGATGTATCCCATAATCCTATTCCCATTTTTTCTTTTCCGGAAAGAGCAAATAGCCACCGCCGTTGGACCTACAGAATGGAGAAAAAAAAGAATCACAAACAATTACCTCCAAGACAAGCATGGGCTTACAAGCGAGAGGGATATCAAGAAGCAGAGCGCGCACAAGCAAAATGTGATGTAAAACACACAGCGGGTTGAAAAGTACATGCAAGTCATCAAGTCATTAAAACATCGAAACAGGCTGCAAAGAAGTTAAAAGCAAACTAGGGTATATGAGCGGATGTGCTATCGAATAAAAACACGTAGGACTAGCTGGTGGCGGCAGCTGCTGCTGCAGCAGCTTTTGTTTTTGCACTCTGCGTCCAGGCTAGGAAATCGAATTTCTCCTTTGCGTTTTCGCGCGAAAAGATGGAGAAAGCGTTCGCGTCTCCGGGCGAGTTGCGCTGCGTCGATCGTTCTCGAGGCTCAAGGATCAGAGACCGTCGGTAGTAGTTCTGGAACCCCTTCTCGCCGGCCGAACGCACGCGAACCAGCTGATCCTGGATCCAAGTCTGTAGTTCAGGAACTTCTGTCAGTCGATATGGGATCTGGAACCGTTGAAGCTCGCTGATAATTTTGGCGGTTTTCATGTGCTTATCGTAGTTGATGACTTCAATCGAGCCACCATCCGCTGTAAGTGTTCGAGTGTCTTGGTTGCCATGGTCAACAAATGTCAGGTCCGTCAAGTATGTTCCCACAAATGGCAAGCATGGAGGCACATGGTTCTGGATACGGTGTCGCAGAACAGCGTAGTTTCGGGACACATCGACGATTTCCCGAAGGGTTTCTAGAGTGTTCTTCGTTTTCTGTGAGACCAGTTCCCAGGTTCGCTTGAGGCGCGAAATAGTCGACGAATTCAATGAGCAAATGATTGCCATCAAGCTGTCATAGTTATTCAGTTCGAGGCACTTTGATGCAATCTTAACCCATTGCTTGATCACAAGAGCTCGTTTCTTCGGCTCTTCCAATTGCAGAATGCAATCAGCAACTAGATTCGCAAGATCAGTTGACAGTGTCGACATCGCACGGACATTGACGGCCAAGGAGCCAGTCTTCTTCATCCACTCAGTACCAAGGAGTTCTTCGGGGAGGATGGCACAGAATATGCTCGACTCTTTCAGAGTGAGCTGCCGAGCCAACTCCATCGGATCAAAGTCCAAAATGGTGATAGTCTGACTGCCATTCCTCCATTGCTTAAGCAAGTTCATTTGGCTCTTCGAAAGGATTGGAGACGGCAGGGGTTGATCGGGATTTACATATTGAGCAATCGAAGTATTTGTCTTGCCCATTGATGAAACCAATCGTGGCACGAGGGGACCGTGAGAATTGACACTTCTTCCACGAGTTCAATGAGTCGTTGTCCGGCAGTCGGCAACGTATCCATGAGCTTTGAGCGTGCGAAGCTCAAGATGCATGGCAAGGCGCTATCGTCACAGTCATGGCGCCAATGGGCTTCCAACCACCCCTTGAAGATGTTTGACACGCGAAGCCGAACTGGGCCGCCAGCTTTGGCGTTGTCGCCAATATAATCGTACCGATCGATCAAGGCTTCCGCAAACTCAACTGGAGTTGCAAAGTGGCGGAAAGTGAGGTAAAACGTCGAGACAAACATGGCATCCGGCGTGGATTCGTGAGCAGTGAGTTTCTCAATAAGGGCTCGAAGACTCCCACCAATAACCTGGCCATCCTTAAACATTAGTTCATGTGCAAAGGTCTTTTCAAGAATGCACTCTTCGCTATCCTCTCCTTGCTCCCCGTCGCTATGGTGAATCGAAGCCACATCATCCTTCAACGGGGGCGGCGGTGGTTGACTATCATCAACAGCCGTAGATGGGCGGCTGGAAATGGTAACCTGAGAATCATCGATCGTATCCACGCAAGTTCGTTCGGTTTCAACACTCGTGACGCCTCGAGTTCCCTCTCCCTGCGATTCGGCCTTTTCCTCTTTGTTTTTAGCGTGAATATAGATAGGAGGGTCCTGGGTCTCTCCAAGGTCGGTGGCGCCAAGAAGGGAGTCATCCAGATCAGTGAATGAAGAGAAAGCCGCGGTGAATGGTTCATCCAGTGTAGATGTTGGGGTATCGATGGCGGTAGTAATAAAGCTCGGTGAAGGGGTTGTGCCTCCATCCGTTGTCAGTGAAGGTGTCAACGAGGATGTTGACAACGAACAGCTAGGAATTTGTAACGGTGGTGGTAGCCGTGTAGAGCGTTCATTTGTGTCCGATTTGTGGGAGTCTCCATTAGCGGACAGTATTTTCGGTGTCTCTGTATCCAAGGCTCCTCCAAAATCATCCGGGGAGGAATCGCTTTTGTCGCTATCCGCAGTCGAGATGCCTAGGCCAACAGCTTCAATATTTTCAATCTCAAAATCTCCAACTTGTTCCAACACTTGTCGAGCTTTGGCAACGCAGTCACCTGCTCCGCGCACACAAACAGTCGCAGCATCAACCAGACGTTTTCCCTCGTCCGGCATGAATATTGTTTCATCGTCGCTGCCATTTGCAGGTCGGAAGGCGTCACGCGCAGCATGAACAAGTTCTGTTATTCGCTCGTACATTGTGTCTTTGGCTTGCTCCAGAGCCTCGGAGCGGTGTAAATCATGCTCCCAGACTTCTTCAACAACAGAAAGTAGGACACGGCACGATTGGACGGCTTGTTGGGTCGTTACTATGAGCTCCGTTGAAGAACGAGAGTGGAGATGAAGACCAATGAACGAGCCTAGGACACCGAGGAAATCGTCAATGGCAGCGTTCAAACGTTCGCTAGCAAAGTTAGGGTTCCGAACGGTGGAGGAGGTGGCAGTATAAGATATTCGATGTGAAACCGAAACTCGTTTAGCTTGAATTAACGATCGGCGGTGCTGGTTAGAGTCATTGTAGGAGAGCTGCGAAGGAGCACGGGAGCCAAAGGACCGGTTACTTCGGGCTCGACTTTCTACCCGTGAAGCAGCACTGACGGACGATTCCGGAGTCGATCCCCAAGCACTGTCTGATATTCTAAACGATGAATCAACGGGTGGGGTGAGTGGTTCATCATACATGCGAGTAATAGAACCGCCGGGACTCATTTCTTCCATGACTCGGGACAGACCAACTTCCTCATTCCAGACATCCATAAAACGTACGCCACGTGTGACTATTCGAAAGGCCTTGAGGAGCATTTGGTCAAAAACATTATCAAGTGAGTCGTCCAATGGTGCACCATTTGCGATATCTCGTAGATTCTTGGCCATTTTCGCCAGCGACGAGAGATCGGAGAGTAAAGCTTTCCGGTTTCGCCGGAGCCCAACGAGTCTCTGTACCAGCTCATCTTCCCGTTTTAAACACTCCGATTTTTCCTAGTCTGAATTAGCTTCCACCATGTCGGATGCTTCGCTTGGACTACATACTAGAAGGAAGCGCACACCAGCGATAATGCCTTTCATATAATCCTGATTTCCAAATTGATGTAGAGTCGCGCATGATCCCGCACGGATAACATCCCAGAAGTCCATCAAGGCCTTCAACAGCGGACGCATGAGTTGCTGGTCATACGCTTCGCAGTAATTGGTAGGGAGCCATCCTCGAGCACCAGTGTCGAGAAGCGTGCCATCAGCCCAGCCGTTGGTGTGAACGGAATGTACAAGCACGAGATCACCCTGGTCTAGCGGGAGAGTGACGGTAGCAGACGAAATTGGAGCGCCAGGGTGGAAGGGATAGAACGCCCGCAGGTAGTTTGGAAAAGCCGATCTCTCTGAGTTGCTTCGATCCACCATGTCTTCTCTTGAACTATGGGGTGTCAATGGCGGTGTCATCCGTAATTGGGTTTTCAAAGCTGAAAACAAGCGTTGATTGGAAATCGTGCGGGTAGAGAAGGATCCATGTCGTAACTGTGACGGAGCCTTGCCATGGGATAGATTCAAAGGGGCGATATATTCGTCCATTATCTGGAGTGCGAAGCCTCTCACAGACTGCCGTGCCGTCCCAACTTCAATTGGCCCTTAGCCTAGGAGCATGGTAATGGAGTTTTGCAAGCCTAAAAGCGTTGGAATCACAAAAAGCTATCATATCGCTCGATGTTAGCATATATTAGGCTGTGCCAGGTATTGCTGGTCACTCGTACCTTTGCCAGTGAAGCCTCGAGGCGGAGTTATCAAAACTGTACACAAGCCACACCAGTGGTCGACAGTTGTCAAAGGCCTGGATACTCAAGCAATGCAGGTAAAGGGCTGATCTGAGGATACAGGGAGGAGCGTAGTCAGCAGTGCCGGCACCAGCGACCAGGCGTATAGTTGCAGGGCTGCCGAATCTGCAAGGCAAATCGGATGCAGGTCAACTTGCTCTAAACAAAAAGGATGCTCCGACAGCACTGGGACAATGGCACCAGCAGCATTGGAGGACGAGAATCGAAGACGCGAACTGCAATAACAGGCACCGAGAGCTGTCAACAGGCGAGTCCTCGCGGAGGTGTGAGGAGGAACAGGAGGAGAGTGACGCAGCGAACAGCAAGAAACACTTCGACGGAGGAGCAGGACGGCACTGGGGAGATTTCCCAGGACAACGGCACAGAGGCAGTGGAGACGTGCTTGTAGTCTAGCAGCAAGACGAGTTGGTTAGCCCGGCAGACAAGAGGAGTGGGATGTTGTGTCTAGCGTGCCTCTCTGGTCTGGATGCCCGTTGAAAGTCCCTGGACTCCCTGCTCATCACCAGCAAAAGGAAAAACGCAGCCGCCTCCTTGCTGCCGGCGTCGCCATGCCAATGAGAGTTGCTGTGGCGGGCCAGACGAGTGCCAGCCGGTCTGTGATAGATTGCATTCGAACGGTTAAGGTTTCTGGACGGTCACATCAAACTGCAACTGATCCAGGCCTCTGCCCTCGCCGGCTCCTGATATTATGCTGGATATCCTCTACGATTACTTTACGCGAGAACAGGTGATGAGACGGCTGTTCGCCATTTCCGCTGCCAAGCTGTTGTTCCGTGTGGGTTTGAATCGCCTCCAACAGTCCATCTGTTCGTCGTCGTTCATTTCTTGTGCTGATCGTGATCTCGTCCCAGGTTTCCATCCTCGACCCGCTGGCTAAGGCTTTTAGGCGCAGTCGCTCTGGGGCCTCGGGGACCAAACAGTCTTGCCATCGTGCTCCATCGTGCTCCATCGTGCTCCATCGTTCCCCATCGCAACCAGAGTTTTTACCGGGGAGAAAAGGGGCCCAGGAAGAGGCAAATCATAATAGGATTTTAACCCTCGAAAGTGATACCATGTCGGTTTGGAAAACAGCCGATATGACATAGGCATCGGGTGCCAGTCTCCGTGACTGATTATTATTTGCCTCCCTTTCCTCTGCTTTCCGCGCTCAATCGAGATCACCTTTTCAGCCGCGCTCGTCTCTCCCAGGTTCCCGTCTCGACTCCACTTGGAACAGAGACCGTTTGTCGACTACTTGAGTCCGCGCTCGAGTCCAAGAGCGACCTCCAGGTCGGGTTCAAGATTGAATTTTCCCTGCAACAGGGGTCTCCCCTGTCATGTCAACCGCGCGTTCAGTGGAAAGAATACGCCACCTCTCCACTTTCCGATCACCTTCCGGTCGTTGCTCTTGAGCTCCTGTCGACAGGGGAGGTTTCACCTCGGGCGTCTTGGGGAGGGCAGTTTATGCATCATCGTGCATGAGAAAAATGCCTGTGAAAAACTGGATGGCCTGTCCAACCGCCAAACGGTTTGCATTCCGCGCTCACCTTGCTTTTTTTTTCTTTTGCCCTTTTCTCCCTGGTTCTGCATCCTTCCTGTTTCCCTGCGAGAATCCCAGCCAACAGCTCGTTTTGTGCGCACGTGTCTGATTTCTTCATTATCCCTTGCTCTTCTTCCTAGGGAGAGTCGTTGCAGAAGAAGCTACGGTGTGATAAGCAATAAAGGCTGCACATCCTGCATAGCCGAACTCGAGCTACCCATGCATTTGACTGCAGATGAAGGACAGAGACGAACCCAGATTGTGCAAAAGCAGCAAAGAATCAGACCAATCCACGGCCCTCGCTGCAGGAGGCCCAGGTGCTGGCTGCCGACTCCGGTGAGAAGCTCTGGCCGCTGTTCGCCCAATGACTAGGAGGCAAAAGACGGTCATGGCTCTGGTTAAACCTTCGTAACGCTTAGCGCATCGCACAAGTGTTGGAGCTGTCACTTTTCTCAGGGAGATATATCGCCAGTAAGACAAATAAGTACATTGTTGTTTCTCCCGCAATCAATCCATTTTCTCATTATTGAATTGGGATGAACAATGAAAACAGTCTGCCGGAGCCCTTGGATATCAACCTGAATGGGACCCTTGCTGTCGTCCACTGTCTTCCTTTGAACAGCGCGTTGCTCCACAGGGACGGTTCCAAATCAATAGTAACAGAGCGTCCTGAATATTTCCAGGAAAAGTAAATCCTCTCGGAGTTTTGATCGACGACCTTTTTTTTCTTTCTTTCGCGAAATTAGGCCCAGAACCTCATCCCCAAAGCAACAACCCCGTATCGAAAGTTCAACGGCCTGGCAGCTCATCCTTTTCCCCTCCCTGGCGCGGGAGTGTTCCCTCGGCAGTCCCACAGCTTCAGGGACTATCTAGCTGTTCTGATCAAAGCAGTTCGTTCTCAAACTATCGTTTTCGCCATCACGCAGATAAGCAAAATCTTAATATGTCTTCACCCGGAACTTGAAGTGCCACTGATGCGGGGGACGATCTCAGCACGCCTCGCCCGTCGATCATCCTCGTCCCCATCCCAACCAGCAGGAACCTTTTTCCCTTGTTGATGGACAATCATCATCTTTGAGAGGTCCTCGTGGATGATGCCGCTCGTCCACCATGTCCCCAATGCGGTTGCTCCAGCACCTGCGTATACGAGAAAAGGACAATTGATTGTTGAGAGAAAGTATTGACAACGTGGGCCTGAAGTCCCTTTTCTCTGAGCGGAAAACGTGGGACTCTGTGTATACGACTACAGAGAGAATCCTTTGGAATAGGGTATGGGCACGTTTTGGCCGCAGGAAATACTGTGTCTGCTCCCTGCCGCCGGTCTGATAACGGCTGTCAAACCGGATTGTCATTCGAGAATGGCGTGTCGGGTTCTGGTCTCGTTACTATTATTAATGCTGCTGTCCCCCATCGCCGTGGTGCAGACATCTGGACTGTTCATCCTGCTTCCGGATATACCTGTCACAGTGTCACCGTCATCCAGAGTTTGGTGCAGAGCTTCTCGATGATCGGAACAGCTTCCCCTGGTTTTGTACGACCTTGGGACGGGGCCTGAATCGATAGTGGACGCTGGAACGTTCCGAACCGAGTTTACAAATCGAGTCTTTGCCTGTTCCTGAATTCGATGTCCAATAACAGCTCCCCCACAATATCAACTTGATCTTGACATGCACAATGGATATGGCCCTGGAAGGCTTTGCCCTTGCAGAGTGAATTTCAACTACTCCGTTTGGAAAATCCTTCAATTCACTCCGCTGCTCATCAATGCAGCGAGAAGCTATCTCTGAAAGCATATGTAAGATGGTTCCAGGCGATAGCTTCCGCTTTCTGCTATTCGATACAGTGACTTGGAACAATATGAAAGTCAAGTGATCGTGTGCTTGAGCCTTCACTTGAAAGCTATATAAGGCCTCAACTCAGCCTCTTTCTTTTCATTCTCCTTCCATTATAAGAAGGCCTTTACTGGCCGTTCTAGATCATATTTATTAGCAAAGTTCACCTATCAAAGATAATAACATGTCTATATGGCAATTGATCCCTTTGGTAGAAGAATTCTACTTCTTCGGCACTACTTCATTTCGCTCCTAGTGCGTGATATATTGAATCCTAGATGACCGAGGACAGTCATCACGGAGCACACCGCAAAATCCCACGAGGACGCCATATATTAGGGGCTGAGTGATTTAGAGAAAGAAATCAAATGTCCTAACTATACTATTGAATTGGGAATATGATAATACAGGCAATCGGCGATGAGAAATAACTGGACATGAAATTAGGTGGGTGTGAAGCATCTGCAAACTAGCACCAACCGATCATTTCTGGGGCTCAAAGTGAGGTCTTCTGCTCCAGACCCAGGTTATCAAGAGATTGACGACGTCTCAGATGTCTACAAAACAGCTTCGATTTTCCAACTTGCGCGATGATGATTAAAACCGGGGCACCCGGGAACCCAAGTCACCCTATGACATATCCAGTTCTACGGAGTACATAAGACATATACGGAGTGCCCACCGCCTCTCCTGCCTACCGGCCCTCAAAAGCTTCATTTGACTACTCTTCCTGAACAGTCGGCCGAGAAAGTCTCTTGGAAGAAGCTCCTCAGCGTATGATGGTATGTCCTCTTAGGTAGGTCACGACATCCTCCCTTCGAAATTTGTGGAATCTCCGTGTTGACACAAAATACCATCCTAGACAATTAACGCCGATCTTAGCGGAGAGCGAGATAAAAATCCCGTACAACTGGCCCTTGACAATACAAGCGAATCGGCGAAAACGAAGTCTCATTATAAAGAAATGAGAGCCAGTGGACAGCTCTGAAATCTGAAGCCGCGTATGAGGAGTTGTCGGGAACACTATCCGGCGGTGAAGTCGAGCGGCATAATAATCATTCTGTAACCAACCAGGCCAAGCATATCAACTAGTGGATATCGGAGATGGCTCAACAGTAGGTTGGGCCATGTCGCTCAAGGTGACCGTGATGAGCTCCAACCGCTCATTGCCGAGAGCAACTGGCCTACGGCCCTGGTGCGCAGCCAGAGAGCTAGGGCAGCGGCTCTCAGTAGTGTCGCGAGGCGTCAAGCGCAGCAGGCTACCCACTCTGGTGAGAGTGTCGGTGATGCAAGTGGTCGACGGTCCATCATTCCCTCAAAACCCGAGAAACGAGATCGAAATTCGCAACACGGTTCTACTCAGCGTTAAGGGAAAGAAATCCGTCGCACACAACATTATAAACAACAAGAACCGCAAGGCAAAGCATGCGTTCTTCGTACGTAAAATGCCATATTGATTCAGTCTCGTGGGCGTACAAAGATGCATCCCTGTGTTGCTTGTCGCGGTGGCCCAGGGCTCCGTCCATTCCCAGAGTGCTGCCAGTTCCCAGGCCACTTTGGTGGAGCATGCGGAAACTGCAAGTGGTGTGACCACACTGCCTGCTGCTCCATACGGGATCCTGACAATATGAGTGGCAATCATTGAGGTAGAGGCAGCTCAGCAACACAGGCCCAGGGTCAAATTGCCGATGGTTCAACACCATCAAATGCAATTGTTATCATTTAGCTTCTCTGGTACATATGAAGCTTTCCTTTTGCAGAAAGAGGAGGATTCCATTCGTATGAGCTTGATAGGTAGATAACCTGAGCAGCAGCTTGCACCTCTATGTGGTGTTCAGGACCAGTAGCCATTATATATGGTGAAGCAAAGCAAGCCTATATAGAATCTACTACTACTACATGGCAGAGCCTAAATCTCCACGAACTCCCTCCGGCAAGCGGGTCAGCCCAACATCCAGCCGCAAAACGAAGTCCAGCCACAAATAGTTATATATTTCTGCCAGTCATCGTGTGGATCTCAGATGAACGCCGTGATTGTGTACACGCGTGGCTCTCTGGAAAGTGAACCTTGTTCCTCTTGCGCAAAAGGCAACGGGCCCTTTTTGCAATGCGTCACGGCCGTGAGTCCATCGGGACTCGAGATAGGAAAGGGGGCATGTGCGTCGTGCATCTGGCCCAACTCGCCACATCTTTGTTCCCTTCACGCCGATACAAAGCGTAACCCTGCTCTCGACGACGAATCCGCGCAGACACCGTCCCGTGTCCTCCCTTGGAACAGGGCGTCATAGAGGGTGAGAAATCCCGTCTTAATACTGAGCTCGCCAAAGCTGTTCAAAAGGTGTAAGATCTGCGAGCCCTAATTTCCTTTGATGATAACTAAATGAGAACACGAAGCTCGGCCTGATCATGATCGCCACGCTCACGCCGGAAGCCAAAGGGTGCGAGTGGGCCGGAGTTCAGTCCTATTCAGACGTTAAGAAACATCAAACACAGCCTTGTCGGGTTTTTAGATTGCCGTGAGACCTGTCATATGGATCTGTGGATCCAAGGTGCCATAGGGACCGACCAGCCGTTCGGATGACCGTTAGGTCAGTTGACCAGCTAACAAATCCAGGGATATGCGCTCTTGGGAGGGAGTTGGATTTGAGGCCCTAGTCCATGGACTTGGGTGTTTTTGGTGAAACCGGAATGGAATTGGGGGACAAAGGAACTCGCTCTCCATGTGTAGTCCGAAATATGGCTGTCTGCGAATAAGCGGGAGAGGACAAGGCAATTTGCCTTGGGAGGACTCTTGTAAAATAAGCCCAAATTTCTTGTCTCTTCATAACCCGGGTGCCATGACAGGATCAGACATCAAATGAACTCCTTGAACATCATGATTAGACCAAGATTCCTTAAGAATGGCCTTGTTTGGCATATACTCCATAAGGCAGACGGCAGCACTCGTTGGATCAGGAACCACGGTGTCAATCATGACATAAGAAGCAGTAGGAAGCTGTCTGTCCGCTCAGGGGTAGCAACCAGGGACCCTTGCTAGAATTCGGCTCCTGACCTCGGCGACAGCAGCATGAAACACTGCCCATCGGACCTAGGCCCAACGTGTTCAGTCCAAGAACTGGAAAATGCCAGCTTGTGAATGGGGCTGTTCTCGGGCCCAAGCTGTAGAGCTTCCATGTGGCAGGAATGAGAGCCGGCTGTATGACTGGATCTGGAAGTTCATGTGCATGATCAACTTCTCCCGTAAGGATCCCTGGTGTCTAACGCGGCAAATAGCTCTGGCGCTGTCTCGAGAGAAAAGAAAGAGTTGATAGCCTGCCGTTGGAAAGGGGCGAAGTGAAATGGCCAAACCCCCAAGTCCGCAATTCTTGGAGTAGTTTCCAAAAGGTGTTGCATGAGCTGCCGTCCCGCCATTATTTATCACCGCTGGCTTTGACCAGTGTTTTCATCCTGTGGCATGTCCAGTAGTTGATGGAAGGCAAGAAGAGAGAAACCATGCGCAGCACAATATTGAAACTTGCCAACAGCCGATGCGTCTGGCTAAGGGAAACAACATCCATGATTTGATACTGACAACCCTATGCGAACGGCCACTGCATCCGCTGCAATAACTCAATTTGAGAGTTGAATCGTTTCTCCTTTTTGCTCTGCTTCTCTCGAGGATGCCCGAATCTTCATGGACACTGAATGGTCTAGCGAAACGGACCGAGCTTAAGAAAGCCTTTCCCAGCCAATCCCTTCTAATCCCGCCTGGATCGCTTCTCGATTCCTCAAAGAGATCCAAGCAACCTCATGTGTCTCGCACGCCGGGCTTGCGCCCAAGGGCGTCATTGGCTTTGCGACCATTTCCTGCCTCGTATTGAGCACCGCAAAAGAAACGGACTCAGCGCATTGTGAAGACACGGCAAGGGCATGAAAAAGTGATGGAGCGATGAGATCTGCAGAGAGATATCGGCTGGCTGGGCTGAAGCCGGGGAGCTCCAAAGCCTTTTCCGCAGGGAGAGAGATGGGAAGAGATTTGAAAGGAGGCCATGTCACAGTGGAATCACATTTATTCGACAGGCTCCTTGATGAAAACACGCGATGAGCGTTGAGAGAAGAGAGAGCTATAGTCTAAGCTAATAGCAACCGTTACTCCATCAGGAGCGTGTCCTTCGCCCCTCCCACTGTTCTTTCATGATACCCAGCTATCCATGGCGCCTGGAATGCCGAGGGAGAACGGGCCCCAGAGCCCGCTGAAACGAATCCTAACTGCCCTGGATCGCGAGGAGAGAGGCCATCCTCCCCATCCCACCACCCAGCCATCACCATCCCAATGACCCGGAGGGGAAGACGAGACAAGACTCCCACACGGTAGCGTCAGCCTCCACGGCGACCTTCCGCGCGATCCCTACGTCCCTACTCCCCACCAGCGACCGACTCGCCGCATTCCGCGTGCTCACGGGAATCGACACCTCCCCGGGCTTCAGCACCTGGGAATACTTCCAGCGCTCAGCGACCAACATTGGGATCTACGCGCGCGTAGTCCGCGCAGAGAAACGTGCGGGGTTCGAGTATCGCCTCTTTTCGATCCTGATCAACTTCTGCTTGGGCCTGCAGATCATCGTGGCCGCGTCCCTGACAGCGCTGGGGGCCGGGAACGGGCCGCGTGGGCTAGTCACGGCGTTTGGGGCAATAAACACTGTCATTGCCGGGTTTCTCACTTACCTGAAGGGATCGGGGTTGCCTAACCGCAAGCGATACTACCACGGGGAGTGGACCAAGGTTCGGCAGTACATTGAGCAGCGAGAGCGGGAGTTTTGTCTTGAAGGATGCGAGTTGGATCTGGAGGAGGAGGTTGCGAAGATTGACAGGATGTACGAGGATGTGCGGGCGGAGATCGAGGCGAATACCCCTGATAACTATGCGAGCGTGCGAGATGCGAGGAACAGAACGAAGCCGGTCGCGCCACGGCCAGAGGATGAGCTACCGTCACGAAGAGAGGAACGGGTAGGGCAAGGGCTGAGAAGAGCATCGGACGTCAAGTCCCTGGGCTAGTAATCCCAGTTTCAACTTGTATAAAAGTCTGCTGCTATGGAGGCATATAGATGATATGCCGTCGAAATCAAAAACTTGATATATACCCTTGCTTCCAAACCACGAATGTCGTGGCCCTTACCTTTCCATGGAGCCGTTTTTGGCGCTTGTATGTCAACTGAATGAAGCAGAGTTTTCATGTCTTTTTTGTTCTGTTGTCCACAAAACCGGCTTTCATCTAGTCTTGCTTGAGTTTGCTGGGCGTGAACCAGAATAATCCACCGGCACGCACTTGTCAGCTAGGAAGTGAAGTTCAGCCAGCTCTAGACAACAACATGGAGTCTGATGCAAGAGCTAACATTGACGGAATCCTTACAGGCATCAACTCAACTCATTGCCTAGACTCAGAAAAGATTGCAGAGCTGAGAGCAACATCAGCTGGCAGATTTTCAACTGAGAGGTTTCCAGTTGGTTTCTGTGATTACATGCAGCTGCAACAGAAGTTACCAGGGAATGGCTACAGGGTATTAGAGATATTCTCAATGGAGCCACGGGCAATGAATTCGAGCATATCGGGACTACAGGTGAGCCAAACCCTCGTTTTAATTTTGATTGGCTTTATGCTGTTGCGGAGAGATTTGCCAATCTGACATATATCACTAGATTCTTGCCTTGATGATGAATTCAATGGTAGTGAGAAGGCTCCCAACAAGGGTCCTTGTCAAGGAGGACAGCAGTTCCCACTAGTTGCTGTGACTGCCACTGCCTCTGAGAGAAGCACAAATGTGATGGCTTCAGGGTTCTGAAGGACATACTAGGCTGGTGATTGTGATTGATATCAATGAAGAAAAGTCAGGAAAGCACACCAAAACAACTGACTGGGGTCTCTCAAGAAATGAACTTGATCAGCTTGATATAAGTTATCTGATCTTGCCAAACATATCCTACAATAGCACAAAGATAATGATATTGTGCTGGTTGGGGAGCTTGAAGCAGTATTTTATCTCTGCTACCATGACCAGCATTCACAGAAAGTGCGGAAATGTGATTCTTCTCTTAATAAACTGGTGCCAGGGTGTTTATTATTGCAAAAGGAACTGGGACACCTTGTGCGTGGACATCATTTCCCATTCCTATTCCAGGAATTATCAGCCAGGATGCAGAGGTCCCTACACACGCACAAGCTCAGAGGAGCATCTCTTAAAGCTAAGGAGAAATGGAGGGAGAAGAAGATCATTTCTGACCCAGAGAAATCAGTGCATGAGACATGAGTTTACCGCCCAATGCTTCATTAATCACCTCTCCAATTGGAATCAAGGACGGTAGACCAGTCATCATATTTGTACCATGGATCAAAGGAACGCCGTTGCGGCACGAGATGTTTAAAGATAATAGATCTCTGGAATGATGTGAGGATTGTTATATTCTTCCATCTCACAATGACTTGTTGATATTAAATTAAAAATAGATTCTTTTCCACTTTTTCCCAAACACGTCTGCCCCGGTCCAGGCTGCACGCCAATCACACATCGGACTAGCCGTGAAATAACGCCTCCAACTAGCTGGTAGATTAGGCCGTTCAAGGGGCGGTTTTTCTCTGCCACCGCAGCCTGCGACGCTGGACTCCTAGTTAGTCTCGTAAAAATGCACTGGATGTGAAGCGGACGTCTTCTTTTGCTCTCTCTCTTTCTCTCTCTTCTCCATCCCCAAGTCGCTCGTTTGCCTGCCTCTCCTTTTTTTCCCATATCATCTCGATCCATCTCACCGACCAGTATCCCCTCCTTTTAAAACAACTTCCAAGTCGTCGATCATGGCCACTCCCCCAGCGCCTCCAGCGCCCTCGCACCAGCCCGCAACTTCCCCTCCGCCAGCCCCAGCGGCGCCCGCAAACCCAGACACCATCACCTTCACCGTCAACCCCCGCACGCTGTCCATGGACGAAAAGGCGCACGGCGTCCCGGTGAGCGCGGTGAATCCCATCAGCGTGCGGCCGGTGCAGAACAAGGTCGTCGCGCCCATCGGCGTCTCCGTCGCCCAGGCCGTCATTCTGGTGTCCAGCTTCGTCGCGACCGTCCTGCTGGGCGTGAGCCATTCAAAAGAGACGAGCAATGAGAATGGGTACTATTCCTATGGATATTCGCTGGTTCCCATCGTGCCGGTATGGCTGTTTTTTTTCTTTTTTTCCCTTTCCTGGCTGGACACTTGGATCTAATCACAAACAGATTGCCCTCGGTGCGCTGTGGTCGCTCATCTCGCTACTGCTCAACCACCCGTGTAAAGTACGCGTCCATCCGGCCTTTTACGTCGCCTTTGACCTGCTTCTGTGGCTCTCAATCCTCGCCATTTCATCATGCGTCATCGTGCTTCTCTCGGATAGACGAAGCTATGCCTGCACCTACCGATCCTACCGTGACAGCGACAGCAGATGCGAAGCGGTCCTGCTGGAGACTTGGGGCCTGCAAGTCGCTGCCAACGCCCTTGGATTATTAAGCGGGTAAGTTGTTCTTCCTTTTTTTTTTTTTGAAGAGTTTCATTTTAATATGGTGGCTAAAATCCGCTTTTTAGGCTTACGCATTTTGGTGTTTTCGTCTGGGGCTGCAGAATGGTTCACAAGACCAACGCCCATGCGAGGTTTGAAGTGTCCATCAACATGAACGGTATCAACAATGGCCAGGGTTCGGCACCGGTTGTCTATGCTTGAAACAGGCGTCTTTTCTTTTCTCAGTGGAACGCACTCTGCAATTTTGTTGCAATACTGATATAGTATCAAGAGCAAGAGAGAGAGACCTATGTTACGATATCATAATGTCTAATCCAACCACAATACCCCTATTTGCACATGATATCAACTCGAGTAGAAAAGGATTAGGTCTAAACTTTCACATTGATCCCATTTCAGGATTGTACCGTAGTTCAGCACCGCACTTGAATTAGGTCTAAGTTATTATTCTAATAAGTGGACACAATTTTGCTCCTGTAGCATAGGAGACTCTCAGCTCACTAGATGGCGGGTATTTGAGAATAGACGGATTCAAAAAAAAAAAGGGCCAGCAATACAATCAACTCGAAATGGAAAAAAACAAGAACCCGCATTCAAGAAAGCCCATCCAGTGATAGTGAGACGATAAAGAGCTGATAACCGGGGAGATCCAACCAGAATAAAACACAACAACAATGACCTGCAATTAATTAGATATTACCATTTTTCCTCCTTTCCCAGATATGGGGGCGTTTGATCCAAGTCCCCGCCCTTTTTGTTTTTTTGATATTTCATCCGGCCCAAATCCCATAAATTAAGTAATGCCTGTGCCGCGAAACCCAAGAAAAAAGAGTACAAGAAAAAGTAGCTTCATCATCGCATCAAGAATGGGGAAAAAAAAAAAGAACACGTCTCGTACAAGCCCCCAAGAAGAGTCAGGTATGTCCAAACCAAAACCAACCAAACCGCAAGGAGAGAATAAGGGCAAAACATATGTTCAGTTCATGCAAACAGAGAAAGGGGGAATATTCTTAGAGAGTTAGGGATCACTTCGGAGTATGCATCACAAAGCAAGGAGGTGGAAAAATTCAGGGTTGAGATTTAGGGAGAGAGATAAACTTGATTTTGGGCTGAAAAGAAATCATAGACCGAAGCGGTCAAGTATTAGAAAGAGATTGTCATGGTGTGTTCAAGATTCGTTGCGGAATTTATTGTCCGTTGGCCATTCGAGAAACGGGCTTTCTTTTGGAGTTGTTGGCAGTTTTTGGTATCCTGGGCACGCCTTGAATCATCCGGGGTTCTTTCATGTAATTCGGGTCGAGTTTGGCAGGCGCTAATACACAGAACATGTCAATTTTGTATCCAGCAATTGGGAACGCTATCACTCTCACCTCTGGTGACAACGCTCTTCCAGTCTCCAGAGACCGACATCTCTCGCCGGCTGCTCGGAGGAAAAGACGAAGCACTTGCCGACCGCCAAAGGTGATTTGAAGTATCCGTCAAGAAGTCGGTGGTCATCCTGCCGGAAAATATGGATGACCTACCGCGATTTCGTTTGGAAAGGATGATTTCGTCGAATAGGATGATTTTCGGGTTTTTCGCCCTGGGGTCAACACTTTCGCGCTCTGCGATAAACTCATTGAAACCTAATACCGCAATGAGCTTAAAAATTTACGACATACCGTGAGATCGAAAAAACTCACCTTGGGTCTGTTGGAGCACAGACATATACTCAGCATGCTCATGTGGAAGGCTCTTGAGGAACGCATCCATCTGAAAACTATACGTCATTCCCGCTTTCTTTTTATCTCCCGTCGCAGGGCGCATGAACTTCTTGTAGGTATAGAGTAGGCTTGCGAAGCATCGAACAAATGCTGCTCGGATCTGATCTGGGTGGAAAGCTACCGGGCACACCAAACATATATGCGACGCACAACGGCCGTGGACAATCAATTTACAGCCAGAGCATCTGTACATTGCATCTTCGGCTTTTTCATCGCATATTGAGCAAATGCACTTGTCATCCATCTGTTGTAGCTGTAAACAATGGCCTTCTACTAGCGTACTGCCCACCGGGTTTCGTAGAGGCTGCTGGAATGCATGTGGCATGATGGTCGAGGCGGCAATTGTGGACTGAGCGTAGACGGACGGTGCATAGACCGAGGGGCTTGTGTCCGTGTGCAAAGTGGTCACCGACAAATTATAGGAGTGACCCAAGAACGGAACGCTTGGCCTCCGCGGAATCCCAGGTCGTCGGTCAACCGCCATCGATGAGCTTCTGCGGGACGCCGCGTCAAAATGGCCGGACCGTTTCTCACGCAGCGACGCTTGAAGAGCAATGCCAGAATCGTTTCTTGAAACCGGAGTGGAAGGCAAAGGAGGGAATTTACTTGAAGTGGGAGAAGTTTTAGGGGAGGGAGGCGTACTCGCTTTCGAGGCGGAGCTCGTAGTCGGTCGATCCTGGTTTCTCGCGAACGACACATCATTTCGAGCGTTAAGGAAGACATTGAAAATGGGAGGCGGAGGGTTGACATAAGGATCCTGACCAAAGGAGCCGGAATTCATATTGACATTCTTTGCAAGTTGAGTCGAGGGTGCCTTCGGGGTGTAGATTGATGCGATTTCAGCGGGAGCCGCATCGAAAGGGTACGTCTCAATGACATAAGCGGGCGGCCCAGGACGCACGCCGAATCGATAGAGCGGCGCTGCAAGCTGAAGTAGAGACTGTAACTTCCGGCGTTGGTGGCGAGGTAGAGGCGTGGGCCTCTGAGTACTTTCAATAACGTCCTGGTCCAGGTCCACCAGCACAAAGTCGTCAGACGGAAGTTCCAGGTTTTCATATCTACGCTCAACACCCACGACGTAGGGGCACGGCGCTTCGAGGGCCTGGAGGAGACGCGCAGGGAGGATAGGGATAAAAACTCCAGTCCATTGAAAAGGGAAAAGAAGCTCCGTGATTGCTCTGCTGACGAGGTTCAGCATAGCTGTATGGGATGAGAGGAGAATAATTCGTGATTCGGCAAGTAGATACTGCATGGCGGTTAGAATATCGTAGTAGATTACCATCACCTTTTCAAACTTACTTCAAAAAGAATGATTATATTAGATATGCATAGAGACGGAAGAGCCACCACAAATCGGTCTGCAAAAGATTATATCAGCTTCAGGAAATTGGGATAATCATCACATACATTTCGTGAGCTTGGTAGTTCATTGTCAGCCTCTTTGCGAGCAAACAGACGCAATTCTCGAACGGCAATTTCCACCTGGGTTTTGGAGGAGAGCGGGCTGAACGCTTCCACGCACAAGTTGACGACATACCTCTCCAGAGGCTGCCATCTCCCTACCCTGGGTGAGGTTGGAGGAACCCTCACAACGGCGCCGTCCATCATGGGAACTGCAATGGATTTCAACCATTCTTTCCAAAAGGTTGTCATTGACGCATCTCGGCCAAGGATTCCGTAGGCACGGGGAATCCAGAAGCCGGTATCGCCATCAGTTAGGCCATCTATTTTAGAGGCGGCACCATGGCGTACTGGGCGTAGTAAATCGGCCATTAGTCCAATCTTCTCCTCCACAGCACTGATTTCATCTTCTAGCTCATCTCTCGCTGCAGAGCCTGAAGGCACGGTTGGAAGCTGGGCAAGTAGTCTCGATAGTTTCGCTCGCTCTAATCCTAACCTTTCGCCTAGGCTGGCTGCAAGCTCCCGTTCTTCCTCCGTCATATTATCCCGTCTCCATTCCTCGCATCGCTTCTCCAACTCGTCAGCTGCTTTATTGCTAAGTGGAATCCAGATGATAATGCAAACGCCGTAGAGTTTGGACCCGTCACCACCAGTCATTGCAAAACCATGCCACGTAGAACGGGGTCGTTGATCTGAAGAGACGATATTGATATCGTTTGGAAATGCGAACATTGGCACGTAGTCAGGAAACTTCCCTCTTCGGTGGCCTTCATCGGGTGCACCTTTTGGCGGGTATCTATCAAGGAGGACCGGTTCGAATCGGCGTTTGAGAGGATGCATATTCGGTGATATTTCGAGGGGTTGGGGGGTTGGTATTACCGAATTGTAGTTGCTCAGTCGCCTTGACGTTCGTATAGATGCTACAGTGCCTCCAGTCAGCTCAAAGAAACGGGGTGTAGATGCGAATTGGCCCTGCGGATAACCCACATTGACGAGCTAGAGACGGTTGTCTTTTCATGCTGCTCATGTCGCGGAATGACATATGCCTTCGCACGCTACCAATTCCCGATTTTAGAGGGTTGGGGCTGATATCCTCCGCCACAATCTTCTGTGTTTTCGGTCGAGGTCTCGTCGGCTTGGGGACGACGGCGCCGGCGGTAAGACTGAGATCGCTGAGAAAGGAATCGCGCTCCGCCGCAAACTTCAATAAAGCTTTATCAAAATCGGCGTCGTTTAGGAACGAAGGCCCGTTGGAAGAGCCCTTGATGGTCAAGCTGCTTCGATTACTCTGGGGCGTGTTGTTCGAATCGCTGAAGTCCACCAATAACGATTGATAAGAGAGCCTCCTGTCGTCTGTGGGTTTAAACGATAGGTGCTGGTACGAGTTTCGATTCGACGGCGGCTGAGACGAGTCTGCCGCCAGGGCATGCTCTTCCTCCTCTGCATCCGCATCTTCTTCAATTGTATCCGTCCTGGGGATCGCCTGGGCGCGAGAGTTGTTGTAGTCCTCGCCCTGCTTCAGGAATATGTCGTATATCTCCGATCCGTCGACGCCAGCAATCCAGAAAAAGTCAGCGAGAGGGGCTGAGTGAGGGTCGACGCCGGACAGGGGCGCCATGATGTGCAATGGTCGAGGTGCCTCAGGCACAGAGTGGAAAAAGGATGTTGGGCGGTTCAGAAGTGCGATCCCCCGCACCCCAAGCTCATAGCACCGAAAGGGCGAGAACGGTCAACTCATCTGGCGGCGTCCGAGCTTCAAGGAGGGAGAGCTCACTAGCCGACGGTGGGACTGAGGAGGATCGCTTGGGGAGAGAAAAACGGCGGGTTGGGAGGACGGACAAGACGACCTGACGAGGTCCAGATAAGGATCGCGGTTGGCGGCCCCTAATAATGATGCTCTTTAGTTCGCTGCAGGAAGCAGAGCGTTGCACGCCCGCATGGAGAGAATAATGCACCTGTTAGGGGGTGGCTGACCCGCTGCGTTGCGCTTGTTGCAATCGGCGTCGAGTTAGCTGCGTGTGTGGGAGCTTGTTGGCGATGCTCCAAGCTGGTTGGTGGCCCCTCTTTCGGCTGCCGTGGATGTTCGCTCTGGCGTCCCAAGACGGATGGCCTCAGCCTGCGATGGACGAGCGCGGAAAGATATTATATCCAGTCGTGATGGGTGTTTGTTACAGTCCAGGTTCACGCCGCACAGATGTTTCACCAGGTCCCCCCAGGCCCGTTTTGTCTCCGTGGGAACAATCATGAGAGCACGCGGATTGTCCCCTGGGCAAAGCACAAACAATCTGATAATCAGACACAGCCCGCTCTCTCCAGCGCTGGCTCGGCTTCAGCTCTACAGAAAGAGTTGCTGTGACCAGGCCTTGGGACTCTACAGTGTACACGCAGGCGGAGACCAGTCGACGGAGGACATGGCTGTCAATGGTCATTAATATCTCGCAATTGTACAGGACCTTCAAGAGGATCTACACAGGACCGTGCCAGTCGCACAGGATCAAGCCGTGCCCTGACCATCACGGCAGACGTTGGCTCACCCCGTCCGTCGATTTCGAATATTGACCTGCTCGCGCGAGAGTCAGCTCAAACATCGGCAGGGATACATGCTTCGTTTATCGAGTTGGGTGGAGACATGGTCGATGATCCCTCCTCCATGGATCATGGATCCACGGCCTTCAGTACAACATCAACACAAAATCACCCATCGCTTCGGCGCAGAGGTCCCGTCGCTGAGAGAGATTTTCACCTGCGCGACACCCAGGAGTCTATCTGGGATGATCATCACTCCGGTAACTCTGCTTCTGAGCAAGACGGGTGGTTCCGGAGTCTACTAGTGAATATCTGCAAAGGATGCTGCTGATGCCATTCACTATTATTCCTTCCGGGATCCTCGTCCTGCGCCATGTGGGCTTTTCAGTTTCACTGTTTCCAGAAAATAAAAAATGTCGCGCATTTCGTACCCCATATCTTGAGTCTTGAGGGCCATCCTGTCGAAATCTCAAAGACGGTCTAAGTAATGATGTCCAGCATTGTGAAACCGTTTGAGAAAAGCCGGCGCGAAAAGGGGATCATGATTGGCATCACAGCGTCCCGGTTGACCTGCATTATTTGCAGCCACGACTGAATAGCGACCCTCGAGCGCTGCAGGGGCCAAATGGCAAAAGGAGTCGAAAAAGCCGGCAGTGTACGACAGGAGCCAAAGGGAACGAAGGCGCCCTCAAGGGATCCCGGGCGTACAGGCAAGCCTAGCCCAAGGCAAAGATCGAAATCACCCAACAACTTCACAACAAGCCGCCGGACGGCTGTGTACCTGCATGATGTTGTCCTGGCTGGATTTGTTAGCTGCGAGATGGGTTGCATTTTGTCTCAGTTGATCTGAAACAAACGACCACTGCCCTACGGAAAGGTTTTTCTAAATACTCTTTAGCTAACTCTCAGGGTTATCTGTAGTAGCCTTTCTCATCTCCAAGAGGTAGTTAATCTCTTCTGTGCCGTTCATTCTATCAGAGTGATGCGCCCAGGTCCTTCACCAAGCTGCTTGACAAATCATCCAAATTAAAAAGCCCGAGGATATTTAGCAAGGAGTGGGATTTCCAAATAATATGCAAGCATATTGCCATCTCTGGTCACTTACTAATTTTTCCCTTATCTCTCATTTCTGGGGAATTGGGCCTGGCCGACTCTATCCACCATCGTCTCGGCTAAGACGAACCGAAGAAATCTGATGCAAACGCAAAAAAGGTGCGAGGGGATCGGATATTTTTTCACTTTTAGACGCATTGATTCTTCCTCGCTCGAAACGCTAAAAGGATCGCCGCCGAGCATGTGAGAAAGAGTCGTTTTTTCGCAAGCTCTCCGTCTTAACATCAGAGTATCTTTTTGATGGACGGTGGAACAAATATGGAGAAGAATGATAGCCTCAATAAGAATATTACTCCGTAATAATAATAGGCAACAGTGCCTCTCGCACAACGCATTATATGGAAGCGCCTTCAATCTCCCCTCTTGAGAGGACTGTGCACGCTCAACCCCGGATGTTTGGATAGAAAAAGGCTGAATCCCTGCTATCAAATCTCTTTGGTGGTTTTGATCCAATGAATTGCCGAATTACCCCTGGGGAAGATTGGAGAAACGACTGAAACAATGGAGAGCCAAAATTCCAGCCCTAAGGACTTGCATAAACGATGTCAGGGACCTTTTTTTTTCCCTACGAGATTGGACCAAGCCTCAAGGACAAATAATCTAAAAGGACGGAGTAGATTGCGATGATACTACTGAGTTTCTACAAAGCCACGTACCCTTCAACCCTTGGGTCCTTTCGTTAGCATATCCAGGTTCCATGAATGAGCTCGCAACGAGCGGCGGTTCGTATTCCCGAATCATCGCCATTATCATATCTTCTCCAGAATACGGAGCACTGCCGTGGTGAAACCCCACTCCGCATTGCATGAATCAGGACATCTGGCCCAGAATTCCTTCATTATTCTTGGGCACACCCGAATTTGCCCCCTTGCTTCTCTCGATACCTTGGCAAGGATACACACGCTGATTCACGTGAATATGAGGTACTCTAACGCTTGAAGAGTTGCCGAATGGAGACGACCTCAAGGACTGGCGAAATTCCTAGCACATCCACCGCGTTATGTTCGGTGATGCGGGGCATGGAAAAGAAGAATCACCTCTTTTTGGTCATCAGGTTACCAGTGGTCAAAAATCCTCGGTCGCCCAAGGCACCGCGCCATTCCAGAGACAGCTGACCGAGAGTAGTACGCCCTTCTCGATTCATATCTTTCTGCAAGTTCTCGAGCCCATCTTGCTGGCCATGTTCCTGTTCAACAAGGAACGCAATCTGTAGAACGTCCCGGGGACTCAGGGTGGGCGAATTTCCCTTTTGAGCTTCGGAAGGGTCAAAGTCCCAATTGAGCGATCGAGACTTGAAAGGCGGCCTTGGATTTAGAGTAATAGTCTGCATCTAGTGTTAGCGAGCCGGCCCCAGCTTCCAAGCCCATGGCCATGAACTGGAAATAACAAACCCCAAGAGTGATGATTCCGTCACCAACGTTCTCAAGCTGCGCCTCGAGCGCGAATCTGTATAGTTTTGTTTTACCATATGGTCCTAAAGTCCGATTATCCACTTCGTGCGGGGGTAGTTCGGTAGCTTTGGTCCGTACATTCAAGCATGGTTGCGCGATGAATTGATACAACTTTCGAAATGTGCGAACCCTCCCCCCGGAAGCTTGGACCACTCCATGGGTATCAAGGCTCTGGGTAGTCATTGTCTCTGTATAGCTGATGTTGACAGCAAGAACATGGTTCCCTTCCTCCTTCAGATCAAAACGAACAATCTTTTGAACAGATTCCACTTGCGTAATTCCCCCAGAGCGAGCATCGTCGGTGTCTGTTGACGGATAAAGCTCAAGCGACACGGCCTGGGATGGTGTTTGCATCTCTGCACCTATTCGTATGGAGCTAACCACGCGAGCAGTTCCTTCGTCTAGAAGTTCATTGTTGGCGGATAATGAGCACGAGAACGTCTCGCCGACATAAGCTGACCCAAACGTGGGAGGGAGCGCAAGCTTCACCCCAGAGTAGATTTAGCGAGATCCTCATAGATGCTCAACTGTGTCCTCGCTCACATTGGGACTTAGGATGAACTGTTTATCTGCTGCTTCTGAAGCATAGCTCAAGGAGGGTTGGACCGGAATTTTGGCAAATTCTTCGGGAAGAGGGTACTGGTATGAGAGCGAGGGCCGGGAAAGGCTACATAGATCGTGGTTAGCCTTGGGGAGCCAGGCAGACAGGCGTAGCATATAACCCACCGCAGGACTAGAATTGATCAGCTCATCGTTCCCCGCGAGGGGCGACTGGGACCCATACCTTTTAGCGAGACGGAATGAGGCTCTTTCGGGCCATCGGCAGCTGAGACAGCTCTCGAACGAGCCATGGATAGTTAACCTATACGAGAATGAATCTCAAAGCAGAGTGTTGTATCACAACGCGAGCAGTTGGATCAAGTCCGTCCAGCAGCACCAAAGGAGTAGATTGGATCAAGATAAGATAAGATCATCACATGACTGCGTGTCGCTCAGGTGACGTCCTCGTTAACAATTCATATCGCGATTGAAGCGGTTAAGAAGGCCCGTTGCGAAATCTGTCCTGGATCCGTATAATATTTGCTCTTTCGGAGGGCTTTGTCGTTTCAAATTGGTATTTCCTAATAGTTACCTCTGTACGCAGCCATCTCACCACTTATCCCCACCATTTCAACCTAAACGAGCACCATTTTCCACAGTATATCCCGAGCTGAGCATCAATCATCTGTTATGCCGCATGGCAACTATTCCTGGCTGGTCACCCGGTCGGCCGCTATGCGTGCTGTGAGCCAGAGCGGGCCTGGGAAAAGAAAGCGGGAAGCAAATGCAGAGACCGCGGAGTCGACCGCAGGTACCACCCCGACAAAGACGAAAAGAGCTCGCACTGCTGGCCGGGGCGAAGCTGCTTCTGATGTCAATGTAACCCCTACGCGCAAGCGAAAGGGCACCCGGTCGACACCACGCAAGCAAGGCGTCGACGATGACATTGAAGTTGTCCAGGAGGAAAAGAGGCTTCGGCCCTTTAGGAAAAAGGCCCCTCAAACATATCTTACAAAACTCGCCAGAGCCACTACACAGAGGTAAGTACCATTTACCCTCGTTTAAGTTCTTCCAAGGCTCAGGCACTGACACTGGTGGTTCAGAATGTTTGTCGTGAAGAGGCAACGGGAGGAGACCACGGACGGCCTGGAGGAAAGCGTGCACATCGTGGGCACCACCGGCAATGTCTATAAAGTTGTGATCGGGAAGGTACCTTCCTGCAGTTGCCCAGACGCGCTCAAGGGTAACCAGTGCAAACACATCGTTTATGTGGGTGGCCGGTTTGGACCAAGTTTATATTCTTATATGGAAAGAAAAATGCCTCTAACAGCACTCGATGGCACAGGTCCTATGTAATGTCCTAAAAGTCAAAGATTACCTACAGTATCAGCTTGCCTTTCTCTCCTCCGTGAGTAGCGGTTACCCCAAGATCGGAAATTGTTTATGTGCTGATTCCATCTAGGAACTGTGCGACATCTTCGACAATGCCCCGCTCAGCCCGGTAGAAAGTGCCTCCAATGATGGCCAGGGAAAGCGAAAGCCTATCGATGGCGATTGTCCTATTTGCTTCATGGAGTTCGATGCTGCCAACGATGAGGTCGTATGGTGCAAAGCCGCGTGTGGGAACAATATACACAAAGCCTGCTTCCAGCAGTGGGTGGCTAGCCAGGCCGGAAAGGAAGTTCGCTGCGTTTATTGGTTAGTTGATCTTTGCATCCCTTTTCAAACGGCGTAAACGGAATCGTACTCACTCTTTATAGTCGGTCGCCCTGGGAGGGTGACAAGCCTGATATACAATCCCTCTTAGAGACCGCCACAGTCAGCGAGGAGGGCTATCTCAATGTCGCAGGCGGCATGGGTTTATCCCAAGAACGGGGTAGGCATACCTCTCTGTATACTCCCTTCCTGTTCTTCTTGCTTTGGCTTTATATCGGCATTTTTTCGTGAAGATGTTTTGACTCATATGCGTGACACAGATTATTCAACATATCATCAACCCTGGGTGCGCCGACGATTGTATCCCTCCTATTAGGTTAGAACGGGCGGATCCATTCTTGGAAGCAATACGGTCGGGTCCGGGTACAACCCAAAACCTTGGGAAATCACATGGGTTTGCATTGGCGTTATCCACCCGGGCATTTTGGGCTTCTTGTTTGGAATGGCTGGATGCACATCAGCCAACAGAGCCGGCAAGCGGGACTGGGCGATGGCGTTATAATGTTGGCATTGCCGAAAGCTTTCATTATTCCTTAGTGACGTTTCTACAGCGAGGGGGAATTTTATTGAGCCTTTCGAACCTCAGTTTGTCCGTTCATGCTTTTTCTCGCCCCTACAAAAGAAGTCGACATCAGGCGTAGCATCCAGATGACTACTCACCCTATGGCAGCCCTGATTTATCCAAAGGCGCCTCGTAGATGAACCGAGGTTAGTAATTTGGAAAAATGGAGCGAAAATGGAACGTTTGTTGGGTATAGCTAAATCACTCATGCCCCAGACCCAACCCGGTCTATAACTCCGTGCTCCAAGTGCATCTCCATTTCTACTCCTGACGATGCAAAACCCTCTTCCCATCCCTGATTACAGCAGAACTTACGCCCTCCTCACCGGTCATCCACGTCGGGATCCTTTCTACATCTACGACGCCCAACTCCGCAAGCTGCTGGAAACCGGATATAACATCGGAGCCAGAGAATGTAAGTGAAATGGTGGGCTCCGTACTGCTTCCAGTTTTGTGGGTTGGGGAGGAGGGCGTAATGGGGTCGAGTAGGCGGATCTCGAGTTTTTCGATTGACGGGTTTTTGGGAGTCGCGGCTATGCTTGGAGTAGGAGAAGTTAAGGGTGGCGTCGTCAGGGGCTGACGACCTGTACTGTTGGTTCCAAAGCGGGTGAGAATGGTTCTCTGTCGCTTCCGTTTCGCTGCGGAATCTGACTGATCGAGTTCGGATTGTGGTCCCCTTTTTGCTGATACTGGTATTTGGGACATATTTGCTTTCTGGCTGGCCGGATCTTCTTTCAAACTTGTAGCGAAATCGTGTACTGGGACCGAACTTGACAGTCTTGGGTCAAGCGGGCTTTGTTCGACAACCGCATCTGCAAAGACAGTAAAAGCGCCGTTGGCAGCATTTGTCCTCCATGGACCGCGAAGAGTCAGGAGTGTGTGAAGGCTTTTGGTCGTTAGTGACGTTGGTTTAAGAGATAGGCGTTGCTGCGGGCGGGACAATGCTTTGGGGATGGCGTCCATAACAATGCGCCTGAGCGTCTGGGTATCTGTCATTAGAAAAGACTGGGATGTTGAGAATGTCGCGGCGCTGCGCACAGCGGGTATTGAAAATAGTGAAGAGTAAATGTAGGGTGAGCTGTCGGGGAACGCGAGATATATGAGCCTCGAGGCGTCAGTGAAGACATGGGCGGATTGCCTTGGGTATTGATACGGTGAATCGATAATGAAGATTCGAACAAAGGTTAACGGGAGACTGTTGGAGCGTGAGAGGTAGTAATGCGCCTTGACGAGCGGTGATATGTTGGTTTGGATGGATTTTAAAAACGTTGCACCGTGAAATTGCGGTAAGGGATTTATCGACTCGGCGCCGTCGTCGTTGTCCTTGCGTCGTGAAGTGTTTTTTGATCTAGCAGGGACAAGCTGTAGCGCAGTCCATCGGTGGCCAGAAGCAGGGTGGTCTTCGATGTATCGAATGTCGGCCATGGCAAGCTGACGGAGCGTTAACCCATGCCGCCAGTCCCCCTCTAGTATGCGATCAACCACCTCTCTTTTACCCCCCTTGCGCTCCAGAAAGCTGGCATAGATGTCTCTCAGTTCGTCAATCGAGGCCGCAGGCTCGTAGGGATTGGCGTCATCGTCCTCGTCTCCCTCAGCAGCCTTCCGTCGCTTTCTGGCATCGTGGAGTAGATATGGGCGACAAGCCGGTGCATTCCTATCATCGAGCCATTGGGAGACGAGGGAGAGCAGAGATGGTCTAGAAAGCCTCCCCAATGATTTGAGGAGGGAGGATGCGGTTGACGGGATGCGGAAGGTATCAGGGAGGCTGGCTGCGGACGGGGCGAGAATAGAGGAACGACGCTCCATGGGTCGATACTATGCTAATAGTTTAACCAAGCACCGTCCTCCTTGGGCTCTGCGACTCGACGCTGATCGAATGCTTCTCACCATCATCATCCCGTCGCGAGTTGCTTCAAAACCGCGCCAAGGTAAACAGTAGATCGGTCACGTGGAGATAAGATTAGATCAGAGCAAACAGCACAACCCAGCCAAACAGGGCAAACACCTGCTAGCTATGAGATTACATAATATATCCAACAGTGAATACCGAAGAGCCGCCTGCTCTGCTTCTTCCATTTTGCTATCGCGAGTCCATCGGGGGGATTTTTACTTGTTTGGGAGTCTATAAAAAGCCAATGATGTCAGAAGACAGTTGACGAGTTAATCCAGCTGGGAATTATTAATCACTGCCAAAAAGTGGTTCCGAGGTTTTCTCGTCTGTCCCCGGTTTCGGCAGCAGAGCGGAACCCGTTATTAATCAACCAGAAAAGCAAGCTGGTTCAGGCCGAGGGAGAAGAGGGGAGACACTCAGGACGATTCATGTCCAATCTCGACTTGTGAAATGGTCTCTGTCCGGAGAGCGCGGATACCAGCACTGCAGGAGCTGGAATCTGGATCTTTCAGTGTAGTTAGTTGGTTAGATATTTAGTCAGCGCAGGGAGGGGAAGACTGAAAGAATGCAAGCAGCTGGCTCATCCCATAGTTATTTGCCGCACTCTGATTAACTTTTACCACCAAACCAACCCACTCTCTCAGTCTCTCTCTTACACTCATCCTCATCTTGACCTGCAGTCGGTTGGCTTCTCTCATTGCCTAAAAGCGCTGTTGGGGTCTCAATTCCCGGCTATCCCGGTCCTTCTGTGTGACAATCTCACCATTGTTGCCTGATAGATACAACTGCCATTGCCCTGTCCACTCACTTGCGGCTTTGGCTGCTCACAAATCCCCCTCTCGTTACCCTCGACAGCCTGGATCCTAGCGGCGGCACTCTCCTACATTGGGAGTGAGGTTCGACTGCGCGGACGCGGTTCCAAATCCATTGCCATGTCCGGCTACAACGGGCGTCGTGCCCCCAACTTTTCTCAGTACTTGAGTGACTTGAACACAGTACCATCGCCCTACGACCAAGCTGTGCAGGAGGACCGAGAGATTTTCGACGTTGATGCTGAATTGGCTCTCTTTACGAATGCCGAGTTTCTCGATTTTGACTCCAAAGGGGATATGTCAGGTCGTGTACCAGTCACCGCCCTAGGGGAGGACCAACACAACCCAGAATCAACCTCGAATCAAGATGTCAAATATCTAGACATGCTGAATGGTATGTTGTGATTATGGTTCTTGAAAATCATCAATGCATTGCTTTCACTCCGTCTTCATTGGATCACGGATGCACTTTATTGCATTGCTCGTTCTTTTGAAGCAAATCGTCAACAATCTTGTGAGCATTCCATGTTCATTCCCTTTGAGGCTCGGCTTTCATCGCATTTATCTTGTTTGCCGGAGCTCCCTTTCGTCGCATCTTTGCAAAACCCCTGGTTGGCTGTAATCTCACATGATTGATATATTGTCCTTTGCGGCAAGACGCCTCACCACCCTATGTGCTTATTCTGTACCCTTTTCTCCAAAAATGTGGCGGTGACTCATTGGCTTCTTTTGCTGTTGAGCTTCTCTGGGACCTGGAGCTGATATCAGGAAGAAACAGATTTCGATCTCCAAAATTTTCAATATTATCCGGCTCCAGTGGCTCCAGTCCAAGCTGCCGCATATTCAACCGTTTCGCAGCAACCCGCAAATCACGGAAATAACGTCACAGCTGCGCCTATTCAACCCGTATTCAACACATCCGCCCCACCACAAGTCCAGCCCAGGATACAGCCCACAACGAGCGCAGGGGCCAAGCGAAAACAAGACACTTCTTCTCTCGACGACGCCGCTCGGCAAGCCCAGGAAGAAGATAAAAGGCGCCGAAACACAGCCGCCAGCGCTCGATTCCGCGTCAAGAAGAAGGAAAGGGAGAAGAACCTTGAACGCACCGTCAAGGACGTCACCACCAAAAATGCCGCTCTCGAAGCTCGCATAAGCCAACTTGAGTTGGAGAACCGGTGGCTCAAAAACCTGATCACCGAGAAAAACGGCTCCGCACTTACTGACGGCGATATTTCGGGCATGTTCACCAAGTTTCAGGAGAGCAAGGAAGGGGCCACCGTTACTCAACAGCAACAGGGAGGTCAAGAAGTAAAAGCCGAAGCTACCACAGCGGAAACCAGAGCTTCGTGATAACTCTGGCTTCTCTCCTTTTCTCCCTTTTCATCCCCTTAATGCTACGAATACGAGTCGATGAATTATGCCGCCTTCCAAAAATAATAATTTCTCCAAACGAATGCCAATCCTCGCCCCTTGTTGCTTGGTACTGGGTTGGGATATCTTTTGGCCTCGTCCTTAGGGTTCCTTGACAGTTAACGATTATCAAGCTTTGGCAGGATTAGGAAACCAAGACGCTTGGACATCAAGCTTATTTGTTTCTGTATCTAATCCATCATCGTTGTCACCTTTTAATTTTCTTCTTTTTACCTGTGTCAATCATACTTGTACTGCTGCGGTGCCTGGAAAACAGCACATACAAAATTAAAGTACCCGCATACCTCTTTCATCTTATCAGCCTTGGGTTAAAGATTTTTCAAATTCTTGCTTTGGCTACTGCCTCTTTAATTATATCTGTAAATACTGGGCTCACAGTTCGGCTCGTAATTGTGCCGTTTCAAGTTCTTGCTGTAGCTGATCGGTTGACCTTATGGGGCGCTGACTGGAGGCCTTTTGCCTGTCCACCACCATTGCCAAGGAATATTTAGACAAAATTCTTCTTTTTTTCTCAACTATTGATTCCATGTGCATCGCGGATGATTGGGTATATCCATTTTTTATATAATTGGGTCTCCTGGAGGCCCGTTGTGAACAAAAAAGAAAAGGAGAGAGAAGAGAAACGCTTCGCGTATATAGCTCTTAACATCCTCAGCACCGAATGCCAAGAAGACAAATACCCTCAGGAACAAACCAACAAAAAAAAAAAAAAAAAGCTCACGAGAACCTCAGCCCATTGGTAGGATCCCATGTTCCTGGGATTGGCCGCCGTTCATTGTCCCCCGAGTCTCCAACCGCGTTCGCATTAGCTGGGAAACCCGGGCCCGAGATCCGCGAATCCAGGTTCATCTGCGTCGGCGCACCGAATTTTATTCCTCTTTCGGGAGTCCACATGCCCGCCATGACGGTCGAGGGTATGTTTGGAAACGCGGGCATCGTGCCTGTTCCCGAGGGCGCGGGCGTCTGAGGAGGCGGAAAGGCGCGGAGTTGGGCTTGGGTTGGTGCGCGGGTGGGCTGTGGTGCCGTGAGTGGTGAACTGGGTTCTTGCTGTTGGGCAGGGAATGGAGATGGACTGGATGGTTGGGGTGCGTTGAGGGGAGGTGATTGGAATTGGATAGGGGCATAAGGTTGAGATAGGTTCAGAGATGCCATAGCCGAGACGTTGGTGATATCACTGCGATCAACTGGTTAGTAAGCGGACATCAATACAAGGATTTAAAGGCAATACTGACGTCTCCATCTGGCTTGCTTCCATCCGTCTCTGCTGCACGAACTTTTTACAGTCTTCCCTAAACCGGCTCACCAGCTTCGCCAAGTCATTGTAGAACTTCCTTCCCCCGTCGATATTGGATATGATCTCTTTATACTTGATATACCCTGTTTCTAGGTCCTGTAGGGCCTTTTCACGCTCCTTAGTTGACGAATCGCCTTTTCTGGCTGTTATGAACGCTTTGTTAGCTTCTCGGAGCTGAGTTTCTATTTGCGTCTGGTTATTTTGTTCCTCAACGAGCATGTCGCGGTCACTGTCGTAGAGGCGCAGATGTTCTTCAAAGAGATCCTCGAACTGGCTGGGCTCGATGGTCTGCATCGGATGTTCTCGTTCTAGTCGGGAAGTTTCCCTAACCAACGCCGAATCTGGGAAAGATGATCAGTGCGCGTCAAAGCGAAATAGTGGAATCGAAGGCATACGAATTTTATCAACCTTTGCCTTTTCTCTCAAGGCTTCAATTTTGCGTCTGCGGCGATTCTCCAGCCTGGCCACTTCATTCAGTGAACCCCTGAGCCGACTCGATTCTCGCTCCACTTGTGGAGTGACCGTAGCCTTTTTGCTGCTAGGAACATACGCTTCCAAATCTCGATTTGTGCCTGTTAAGACACGAAGAACACGCTCAAATTCTCGCAGTTTCTTATGGATCAAGTTGTCACTATTGTGGGCGGACGCCAAATACCCATCGATTTCACGGACACTTGTGTAAAGTTTCTCTGCTGCCTGCTCGGAGGGGCTCCTTGACCATCTGTCTGTGCCATATTTAGACCGTGCTCGCTCGTCTTCTTCTTTTTCCGCCCTTAAAAGTTCAACTCCTTCTGTGTATATGGCCCTATCGTTAGCTTTAAGCTTCGATGTGTCTTCTAATGACCGGTGAAGGCGATTTAGGCCGTCTTGTTGCCGTATTTCTTCCGCATGTGATACTAGAGATGGGGGTAGCCCAAGCGGTTTCTCAAGAGCCTGTAGAGATCCTGGAAGGTTCAACGACTGAAGTAGATCCCGGAGTCTCAGAGTCATTGACTCCAACTCCCCAATTGTCCGATCAACGAGACGATCTCGTCGATCAGCATATATGCTCGCGGCGATGTGCACTGCGTACGGGACCAACTTGGCAAACAACGGCCTACCGAGAGGAGCTCCTTCACCAATCAGGGACAAAGCCTCTGTAACCTCGTTCGGTGCCTTGGCAGCAACCATGGAAGCCCGCTCGAGTAGTTTCAATTCCGACTTTGGAGGCACAAGGTTCAGATATATCTTGTCGTTGTCACGTTCGGCCCTTTTCAAGTCTTCGCTCACTCGGACTTTGAGCGCATTCAAGTCACCGAGGACAATTTTATTGATCCATTTCGATTCTTTGAGTGATTCATTGACACAAGTGAGACTATCACGTAGCCGCGCCACTTCCTCTCCGTATTTCCTCTTCTCCAAACAATCCAGAGACTGCCTATATTGGGCAGCCGCAGCAAAATGATGATGTTTGGCAGTCATATGATGAATCCATTCCGTGCTTATAGCGTCAGATTTCACAGCAGAGTCGCCCGAATTAGCATAAAAATCCGACACTTTAGCAGCGAGTCGGGCGATAGAAGCATCTTTCAGGCCATCTTTTATCGCCTTTTGCCAGAAACATTCTTGGGCCTGTGCCAGCATGAGCTCTTCTAGACTTCGCAATGTCATTTCATCCATATCTTCCGGCCGAGAGCTTCGCAAATCCGGTAGGATATCCATTCGCAGATGTGCAATGACTCCAGCAGACTGGCAAAAGTACTTGCATGCTACCTTTAAGTTACTCGGATCCGACGTATTCAGGGAGATGGCGAGCTGCGAATAAAGTGCGGCGAGGTTGAACAGAACATTTGCTAGTTCGTACCGGATATTGTTCTGGGAGACTGCCGAAAAAAGGTCAACTTCCGAGTTTCAAACGCAGTACACTATCGAGGGACAGTATTTCCAACCTGGTCGTGTAGTATTGAATCCGAAAGCTGGATACCATGAAAAATCCGCGCCAACCTATAGAGAAAAGTCCCGGCCGTATCAGCATTCATTTATCCTTTCAATAGCGATTTCCCTCAACTGAAAAACCCGTCATCGAATTGGTCCAAGACCGTCGAGGCGTTCCCTTCCGCTTTTCAAAAGGCCACTCACATCAATAGGGAACTTTCCACTGATCCACTTCAATTGCGCCGCGTACATAACCAATCTGCTTATCCCGCTCACATGAGGCTCTTGCACGTTGATAGCATCGGTGCGTAATCGGTTGATGATCAGGAGGTCCTCCGAGAACATATCCGGGTGTTGGTCATATTTGGAAGAAATGTATTGCGCCAGGGCATCGGATAGGGAAACGGGATGGGACCGTCGAAACGGAATTTTGAGTATGCTCCTGTATTGTTCATATTGGATTAGCACCTCCGCTTCACTTGGTTGAAATTACTGCCCGCACTTTGAGAGCACTGAATCGAGGGTTTGGAATGCGAGCTTACGAAGCCATGGTTAACAAGTATGCAACTAGGGGTGCATAGGAGAGGTCACATATGTGTCCTTCAAAGGTTCGATGCCACCAGTTTTTGTCATTTCATCCAGTGCTTCAAGTGAGTGAGTTGTTCCATGCAAAAACTCCACCAAACTTCATCACCACAACAACCAAGCCCGCTATGCCAAGACTACGACAATGACGTTGGTATGCGGGAAGTTCATACTACATGACACAGGGCAACCATCCTCTAAAAGGTACCATATAAAGAGCTGCACGCATAATATCTCCATTGGCAATCGTTCCTTAAATACAAAATACCGGAAGGCGGTATTCAAAGGCATGACAATATTCGACAATCATTCAGAGATCCGGCCCAGAGCTCCCCTTTACCAAATTGTTTAAGATCCGTTTGTAGCCGTAAGCTTTCGAGGCGCCGTGATCCCGAGTTTAGAGAATTGCGACAAAAATACAGAGAAGAAGTTAACGCGGCCTGCGTGGCGCCCGTGAAGAACCAAAGAAGTACGACAAAGGTAAAATAGAAAAACTACGCTAGCTCAAGGCTGTTCATCGTAGACTGGAAGAGCGTTGATCTGCGCTTTGAAGTACTCGAAAGACGAGAGCAAAATCATGTTCTGCACCGACGTGCGGAATAGCAGCACAGTCATTCCCCTATAAGTGGATGATCTCGCGGCGGCAACTGTTGCTTCGTTGATTTCGTTGGTTTTTCCGAGCAAGATACTCTGGGCACGGGTTTTCCTTGTATCCAGGCCATAGGTCTACAACGACGGATGTCAGCATGTCTTCAAGATGGCGGCAAGGATTGGTTATGAATAATCGGCTTACACAAATCCAAGGAATGACCCCACAGAGAGCTCCCGCAGCCATTGGTGCAAACGGAGAGCCATGGTCGCCGTGATAGGTAGAAATCAGTTGCTTGGTTGTTTCGTAGATCGCAAAGTACATTCCGGTCCCGATAGTATCGCGTAGCGCATGCAACCGCACCCCGGTGTAGAGCCCAGAAATACCATGGCGAGATATGATCTGCTTGATAGCTTGGGCAGTAGTAAGACGCTTGATATCACGGAGGGGAGAGTTCTCTAGGATCGTGCCCGAGGCCTGAGCCCGATTGGCCATGAGAACCGAGGTTTGCACCACATTTTTGGCAAGTTCAAAGGGACCTTATTCTCAATAAGTCAACATCAGAATGGAATACAATCTCGCGAAAACTTACAGGCAAGGGGAGCCGCAGCTAGGCCTGCCGCCATGCCTCCAATTGTGAAGGTTGCCAGGGTTCCCAGCGTTGGCAGACTGCCTGGAGTATTGTAGTATACCAGAGGGGAAGTTCCTGTGGTGCGCTCAATGGCATCCGAGACCATGTATTTGACCTTTTGATAGACAGTAAAATTGATCACCCGCACGATAGTTACACTCGCGAGTGGTGGAAGAGCACCTGGTCTCGTAAGCATGTCTGGTATTCGCATTTGGCGTGTCTTGCGTTTTCCGCTTCCCACTTACCGGCCGCATATCCTCGAAGACCTTCAGTCCGCCACATGTAGCGCGCACAGTGTCCATAGCCTTTGAAGTCATGGCTGAAGAGCTGGGAGTTAGTCATAGCCCAAACGAAAAGATGGGGCGTCTGGATGCAATAGTGAAATAGACCACCTACGTTTGCATTCGGGTTTTCAAGTTCTCCAAAGGCGTCTATGCCGAAAAAGTGGTCAGTACGGCGTCCAGACGTCAGATGCGCATTTGATATTGTGCAAAGGACTTCCAAAACAGAGCGCCCTGGTTCAACCTACCGAGATGAGAGTTGCAATGATGGTAGACGCTCCTGAAGACACCTGGGTCCGGTATTCCTTGAGAAAGCGGTTCCTCTTGGACGTATCTGTCCACCAAAGGGACGTTGCCATGGCGGATGGTTGCGCTGGTCGGGCGGTGGAAGAGATGGATTTCGTTACATGACCAGCGTTGTCTCGTGGGAAAGTCATGAGGGCGGAGAGTGAGGGAGTTCCTGTTTAGGGAATGGACTGCGGAATCCTATGGAACGCAAAGTGATCTCTCGGCGTGAACACGAGCAGACCTCTCGGCGTTCCACGGCCGTCCATGGATTGAACTGGACGATGCTGGACTTGTGATGCTGGAGCTTCCAATTCACTCGCTTGAACGAGAGAGGATGGGATGAAGAAACCCCCAGAGGCTGCCTCTGGGGTCACCGCCGCCGCGTGCGAACAAGAACAAACAGCCTCTTGACTGCCTTGGAAGTTCTAAATTGACCCAGTGGAGAGCAATTGGCCTCCTTTATGAGCACTACACTCGTTTTCAATAGCACCTCCCGCCAGAGTCCACAAACGCACTATGCTTTGCTGGAGCACCGAATGCACACGGGTCTTGGGGTAGGCCACCCAGTGTTTAACAGGGAAAAACACGCTGCTTAAATGGAAAATTCAAAGAAAAAAAAAGAGTCAGTTCCGCACAGGAGTTAATCGTGTGCGCTTTGGCACGAGGTCACTGCTCCCCCTCTGGAAGAGATGCACGCCTTTTAACTGTTGACGGCACAGGCTGTGGAGGAGTGTCGGCTGGAAGAAGAAACACCAAAAACCATCAATTGAAAAGAACGTGACCTGTGCTCCAGACCACAGCCCGTTGAAGACGAGAGCGAGATGGGGAGCAGGATGAAAGAAAGAGGAGATGGAGAGCAGCGATGGATTGATCTGCTTGTGACTTTTTAGCTTGTCTGGAAGTGGCTGACATGCACGCTGGGTGATTGGCCCAGGCCTGGATGGATGAGGCCTAGCGCTGGCCCGGGATGCGCGCTGAGGGAGGGCGAGCAGCAAGTGAGCGGCAGTGACGTCGATGCAGCGCTCCAGAAATCTGCTGGGTTTGCTGGCCAGGATTTCGTCAAGGTTCGAGCACTTGCTGCTGCTCTCAGTTCCTGTTGGGAGGTCCGGCGACAGAGTGGAAAGGGCCAATGGGCGCGTCTGGGAGGATCAGGGTTGGGCGTGAGCATATTCTTGCTTTGTCCTGGGACAGCTTTCCAAGTGTCAGTGCACTGCATCAGGAAGACGGTTGGCTTCGCCCGTAACCAGCAAGCCTTCGATGTGTGGGGGGGGAAACCGTTCGACAACGATGAGTGGACGGGCACTGGAAGGCTGTCCCAGCACACCACCCATCTTTATTAATGCAGCCACAGTGTTAATGAGTGGAACACGATGGTTCATGTCCTCGAGGATAGGCCGTTGTGCAGCAATCCGCCATCTAGACCGCAATCGAGCCCATGGGAACGGTGTTGCTAGCGAAAGACGCCCTCTGCCAATATCCTCCAAGCTGGAGTAACTAAATCGACGGCAATATTGCCATAGCCTATTATCCTGCTGTCAGGGAATCATAAGAATACGACGGATCCAAAGAGAAGCGGCAAGGTGATATGCACAGTTATCCTTAACAAACGTGGTCTGTGGAGAGGCATTTCATCAGCACTGGTACGAGGTACGTCGCAGCTTGCATGGAGGTCAATGCCTCCATGGCGCAGTTGAAAGTGCGGGCAGATGAAGTGCGCTGTCAATGGCAACAGATGACTCTATGGAAAGCGTTTGTGTCACTTTATATGCAAGGCTTGATCGAAACCAGATACTTCCTTAATGGCAGGCTTTCCCTCCCGCGTGCTGTGCTACCAAAGCCAGCTGCAACCAAGATCCGTCAATGGGAGGAGATGTACTGAAGGTGCGCAAGATCACCCCGTTGAGGATGGTTTAGTTAACTATGGGGTGACCGGCAGTTTACCGTCCGGCTGAATTGCCCCGCGGCTGTACGCCGTACCAGTATGAAGCACACGACAGCAGCGTCTGGGGCCTTCCACGCTGTCTCCATTCTCTCTCTTGAACACCTCGACATAGAGGTTTGCTCCCCAGCTGGTGGTACCGAGTGAGTGATGTTTGGTCTGTTTGATCACGCACGGGAGTCGAACCTCGGGACCTCGGATCCCCGCAAACCGCTAGCAAGCGCGAACCAAGGCGCACGCGGCATCAGGCATGCCTGCGGCGGCTCACATAAATGCTCTGTACAGCTCGAGATTTGTTGCAAGTGAAAGGCTCTACAACCTATTGATCAAATTAGGCCTTGTCTTGAATTGAGCAATTTAGGTCTTTCATGTATGTGGCACATATTGTGGCACAAGAACATTGAACGTTGCTGACAATCAATCGTCTTAGTATCTCTTCACCTACGAGAACGAGTTCCTCAGTCAAAATGGGCAAGCGAGCCGCTTCTCCCGCCTATGTCCTGGGCGTGGGCATGACAAAATTCATCAAGCCCCGTGGAAAAGTCGACTACACAGAACTAGGATTCGAGGCCGGTGTTAAGGCGATGTTGGATGCTCATATTACATACGACGATGTCGATCAAGGCGTTGCTTGCTACTGCTACGGCGACAGCACTTGCGGTCAGCGTGTCTTTTACCAATTTGGCCTGACCAAGATCCCCATCTACAATGTGAACAACAACTGCTCAACCGGCTCCACGGGCCTTGCGATGGCTCGTACTTTGGTCTCGCATGGTGCCGCCGACTGCGTTCTCGTGGTGGGTTTTGAGAAGATGAACCCTGGCAGTTTGCAATCGCACTTCCAGGACCGTGCCAACCCAACGGGCCAGTTTGGTGCGATGATGGCTGCCACGAGAGGTATCACCAATGCCCCTGGAGCTGCTCAGATGTTTGGCAACGCCGGAAGAGAGTATATGGAGAAGTAAGGCTCTATCGTTTTGCACCTTATAAGCGTGATCTAATCACATACCAGGAACGGTGCTAAAGCTGAAGATTTCGCGGAAATCGGTCGCATCAACCACGAACACTCAAAACGCAACCCATACTCTCAATTCACGGACGAATATTCGCTCGAGCAGATCATGAAGGCCCCCATGATTCACTATCCCTTGACTAAGCTCCAATGCTGCCCCACCTCGGATGGTGGTGCCGCAGCTGTCATCGTCTCGCAAGCCTTCCTTGATGCTCGCCCCCATCTGAAGGAACAAGCCGTCCAGATTGCTGGCCAATGCCTTGCCACCGACACGCCCTCAGTATACGACCGTAGCTCCATCAGCCTCATGGGATTCGACATGGCGCGTTATGCCTGCCAAACCGCCTGTAAGGAAGCCGGCGTCAATGTCAAAGATATCAAAGTTTGCGAACTCCATGACTGTTTCTCTGCCAATGAGATGACTACTATCGACGCTCTGGAGCTCTCTGACCCTGGAAAGGCCCATGAAATGGTCCGTCGAGGAGATATCACCTATGGTGGCAAAATGGTCATCAACCCCTCCGGTGGCCTGATCTCCAAGGGCCACCCGTTGGGTGCCACGGGCATCGCCCAATGCGCCGAACTTACCTGGCACCTTCGCGGCTGGGCAAATAATCGTCTTATTAAGGGCACCGATGCAGCTTTGCAGCACAATCTCGGACTTGGCGGGGCTGTTGTTGTTACTGTCTATAAGCGTGCTGACGGCAAGGTTGCCGAAGCAGTTTCAAATGACGAAGTTGGTAGGAAGAACGGCCTTGGGTACAACCCGGCTGTGGAAGCAAAGGGCTTTACCGTTGAGCAAATGAACCGAGTCCTGAGCAAGGAGCATAGGAGTGACTGGGCCATGTCGGATACCTCTGAAAAGGTTCTGGCTCGGTTTTAAGGGGCACCTTGTTTTCTTTCGGATGTAAATGATCTATGTCGAAAATGAGGGATGTCCTTGCTTCATAACTGAATAGCGAATGTTGCTAGTTTTAATTCTACCTTATATCCATCATGTAAACCGTCCTCTCCTTAGAACCAGTCAGTTGCATAGTTAGGAGTTGAAATTGTGATGATCTTGTAACTACCTAGGCATCGAGTGGGTGACGTTATTTCGATCACTAACTGCTCCGTAACTACCCCGCCAAAGCTTCGGGCTCTCAGGGAGAAATTGCTAGCTAGCTATAAAATAGTTGACAACTTTTCGGCTCATTTTCTATAGATGCCAGTATCGCTCCGTGAATTCTCATCGCCACCCTTTTACACATCACGCAGTCGCAGATAGACATACGAAAACATGACAACCTCAAAAGGAATCATGTCCGCCGAGGCGAAGAACCTCAATCCACCAAAATACGATCCTATCTCCCTTGACGAGCTCAGCAAGTCCAACGGTACGGTCTTCGTGCCCTGTCCTCTCTTTTTTTTCCTTTCCCTTGAAGCGCAGATTTGATGTTCTTTCTTGTCTTCTCCGTGTCAGAAATCTTCCTAACCTGACCCCGGGGCGAAATTGGCCCTGTTTTTAAAAACAAACAGGTTCAGATCCAAGCCGTCCGACCCTCGTGGCCATCAAGGGAATCGTATTCGACGTCTCCGGAAACCCAGCCTACCAGTCTGGTGGAAACTACAACGGTACGCGCCTTTTTTTTTTCCCTTCAAGACGCATTTGGAATCTGCTAGGGAGGTCTTCAAACTCATCGGATAAAAAAAAAAAATAGTCTTTGCTGGAAAGGATTCGTCCCGCGCTCTGGCGTGCTCGTCCTTGAAGCCTGAGGACTGCAGGCCGGATTGGCAGGATCTGGGTGATAAGGAGAAGGGCGTGTTGGAGGAATGGTTTGCGTTTTTCAGCAAAAGATATAATATTGTTGGGAAAGTGGAGGGGGCGTCGAACCTTTGAGAACAAATCGCTGGAGATAGTGAAAGGGGGACGATTCGAAAATCAAAGGACCAGGCAGTGTCGGGTTTCTCTATCGCTAGGGCGATGAATCGAGTGCAGAGCGAATAGTCACCTGGGAGTAGGGAAGTATGTCTTCACGGCCTTCCATCACCTCAAGAATGTTGGTATGAAATGCCTGAGAGGGATTTACAGGACGAAATGTGAAGCTAGAGAGCTCAGGCTAGCAAACGTGACGGGTATACATTGATATCACGACAGAAAAGAGCGCTTTTGCGTTTACATAATTGATACCTATATATGTCCATCCAGACATGACCTTAGATCAAGTCGGAGCCTATTTCCCTTTTCTTGTTTTCCTCATCATACGCTTTTTCGCGATGATACGATTCCTTTTTGCAACGTGATTTTGGTCTTCGGATTTGCTAGCGCCAGCGGGCGCTGGCACTGGCGCTGAGGGCTTCACTCTTTTCCCATTCATTTCACTTGGTCGATCGGTCCGCTTTCGCTTCATTCCATGCTTTGATCCGCTAGCGTTTGTGGTAGCAAACGGTGTTCGTTTATCTTGTGGTTTAATCTCCTTTTGGGTGCGGGCTTTCACTTCTGCCTCTTGTCTGCGTTTCACGACCTGTGCATTTTCAATGGCGAATTCCACAATAAGCCGTTTCTTCTTCTCCTCTGGATCAACTTTCGAAGACCCAGATGCACCGACGGCGTGGCCATTGAGCCATCTCAGCCCCATCAAAGCAGACCTGTGGGTGCTGTACTCCACAAATCCGTATCCTCTACTTCTTCCCGCGCCGGCTGTTTCTGAGATTTTGCTTCCTTCTCTCCCTTCGAAGATGACTTTGGCCTGTTTGACTATGCCTTTGCCTTTGATTTTCCGCAACGTCTCTTGTTCTTTCATCAAGTCTGCGCTTCTGGAAAGTTCTTCTCTCGATAGTGGCTGGCGGAGGCCGCTCTTCACATCTTTGGCGAAACCAACAACTGCTTCTCTTGCTAATTGTTTGAGTGCTTTGGAATCGATATGCCTTGGAATATTTCGAACAGATAGTCGAGTAAGACTAATATGCAGCATCGGGTTACTCTTGATGAGCTTCTGGCGCTGCTTGGCGCTAGCTTCCCTCATCTTTACTTCAGATGGAGATAGCTTGGAATAGAGAGGCGAGTTTGTTGCAATCGTCCCCTCAGACAACAGATAAAGTCTCCGTTTGTCCATATCCCGAGCATCACGACGGGACGACCCTTCCGCCTCAAGTCTACCGGCCTCTTTTCTAGACACAGCCTGGGATACTTGCAAAACACGACCGTCCATCGTATATTTACCTGAAGGATCGGTTTGTTCGTCTTCCAGGACAGACTTCTTGATCGCTATTGCAGACTTGTGTTTTGATTCTTGCGACGGTCCCTGGTCCGTCCGCTTTGGAGCTTCTCGTATGCATGCTTTGGCATCGTCTTCTTTCCAAAAACAAACAAACGCCGTCCCTCTCGGGCGGTCTGTCTCGGGATCAACGACTACCCTCGCATAACGAACTGCACCAAATTGGGCGAAATGTTCACCAAGGGTCTCATCTGTTGCGCCGAATGGGAGATTCCGAATGAAAATGGTGGACGCATTTCGATCATCCTCTTCACCTTCATCGTCTTCTTCATCTTCCTCCTCTTCGTCTTCTTCACTTTCGGAGCCGCTAATATCAACGTGCTCCATTGCAGCATCAACATCAGAAACTATCTCGTCGGCTTCATCTGATCCTTCCGAGCCGTCCTCTACTCCGGATCCCATGCCTTCGTTGTCTGCGGCTTCGTCTTCCGCTATTTTCTGTTCGGAATCGTCTGTAGATTGGTGTAGATTTTGCCAAACCTCCTTGTCCACGGCCCAGTCCACGGCTAATGTCCTTCCATCCAGTTCTTTCCCATTAACCCCTTCAATCGCCTTCTCCGCATTCTTTTTCCCTCTCATCACAATGAAACCGAAACCGGAATGTCGAGTGCCTTTTCTTGGGATGTCAGCATGCTTGACTTTGCCGTAGCTTCTAAAAAGCACTGCTAGTTGCTCGGGCTCTTTCACACTCCACGGTAAGTTTCGAACGATAAGTTTTGGAGGCTGCGCGTCCTTTCTCCGCTGTTCCCTTTCTTCCTTCACTTTAGTCGCCTCAGCAGAAGGGACGCTTTTCCCAACCTTCTCATCGATCTCTCGACGGCGCGGCTCAGCGACTTCAATCACAATCTTCCGGCCGTCGAATATAGAACCATTTAGTTCTTCCAAAGCACGTTGGGCATCTTCGACGTCCGTAAAGGTCACGAAACCGTACCCCTTGCATTGTTTTGTTTGTGGGTCCGCAACCGCCGTCGCATGTTTTATGGGATAGGATTGAGAAAAGTATTCAGTTAAGGACTCTGTTGTTGCCGATGCGGGTAACGATCGCACGAAGAGCGTTCTGCGGACAGCTTTTTTCGACGTGGATTGAGCTACTTTTTCAGCAGGTTCGTCGTTCGGAGTATCCTGAAGAGGTTGTGGCTCTGATTCAAACTTGCCGCTATCTGACAACCGTTTTCTCTTGCGAGTTTCGGCCATGGTTGCTCCAGTAATTCCTCCAGTCTGGTTTCCCAATCTTCAGTGAAGCTTTTCAAACAAAATATTACCTTCTCCAAGGTAATAATCCTTACGATACAATACAGCCAACTGACTAACTAGCGGTCATTTACGATGCCTCCTTATCTCCGCTGTCGCCGAACGCCTTGTGAACTGTTGCCTGCCATCAACTTATCAAGTCGACTCTAGCAGAATGGACGACAACGAGTTCGATGACGTTCCAGATTTTGACTCCTTGCTCTCATCTGCTGAACCACAAGGGGCTCAATCCACTCCCAGTGCCCCCGCGAAACCTGCAATTCAGCCAAACAAAGTACAGCAACCCAAGCCACAAGTGATACCTAATCGCAGTGCCCGTTCCGCGATCCTGGTTTCGTCGCGGCAGAAAGGCAACCCGATATTGAATCATGTACGCCTTTTGCCTTGGGAATATGCCGATATCCCTGCAGACTATGTCCTAGGGGCAACGACTTGTGCGCTTTTCCTCTCATTGAAATATCACCGCCTGCATCCCGAGTATGTCTATTCACGGATTAAATTGCTTGGGGCAAAGTACACTCTGCGAATCCTCTTGATAATGGTGGACGTGCCAAACCATGAGGACAGCTTGAAAGAGTTATCTAAAACGTCTATTGTTAACAACCTGACCCTTATTCTTTGCTGGTCCGCTGCGGAAGCTGGCCACTATTTGGAGCTCTTCAAGTCGTCCGAAAACGCTCCACCAACAGCAATACGGTCGCAACAGGCACAATCATACAGAGACAGCTTGGTGGAGTTTATCACAACCCCAAGGAGCATAAATAAATCAGACGCGGCTAGTTTGATTTCAACGTTCGGGAGTTTGCAAGCCGCCATCAATGCGCAACCCGACCAAATTAGCTCAGTCCCTGGCTGGGGAGAGAAGAAAGTTAAGCAATGGACCGACGCCGTGAAAGAAGACTTCAGAACTCGGGACGCGGCGAGGAGAAAAACTAATGCGGCAAGAAACATAACCGTTGAGAAAGCTAAGGCCCAGGGTCGCACCGCCGACGAAGAGTATTTAGATGGGCTGTTTACTGAAGCGATGGAACAAGAACGACTGAATACTATATCTTCAGCAGCTGGCAGGGATACATCGAAAGCATTCAACACCGCGAATTCAAACCAAGAAAACGAAAGGGAGTCTCTCGGAGCTGAGCTTGGCAGTCAAGGTTTGGGCGACCGTAAACAAGGGCTGGACGATAGGAATGCTGGGATTATGGCTGCCTTAGCAAAGCTACGGAAAGAAGAGGGATGAAAGCGGGCGGAAGTGCATCCAGTGGTGCGCTGTGCTCATTTTTGATCTAAATACGGAGTGCATGCATGCCACCCTGGACGCCGGTCGAACAGAATAAATCAGCTAGTCGTCACTGATTTCCAATTGGGCCCAATTACGACTGCAGCTTATTACGATGTCGCATTCAATGACATTCCCGAGGCGTGGTATACAGAAGCGATAAGGAGGAAGAATCAAGCTGTAATTCATCAATTAGTTACGTTTCTTCTAGATGTATTTTTCGAGCGCGGAAGCTCTAAAAATAGCCTTATCACGTGCATTAGCGTCTCCACTCGAACAGATTCGGCAATGCGTCTTCAAACCTCAATCTCGACCCGCCTCGACTGCTGAACCGCTGAATCCATTGACGGGCGTGTCTGGCTGCCATTCACCTGCGTCTTGGACGCGCTGCATGAGCTTCTACTGGATGTTGTGATCCATGGCGTCTTCCTAATACTGCGGTCCCGCCTTTTACTTTTTCCCTGGCACCCAGGTTTCAACAGAAAATGGAATTATGGAAAAGGCTGCGGGGAGTACTTCTGCTCGTGGAAGGGCGCTCAACCTCAGCAATTCAAATGACGACGACGAGAATAGCTCGAGAACGCCGAATCCCTTGCATTCTAGCTCTGATCTGACTTCTTGTCGCGTCAGTCCACATACGGGACCGCCCCCACCCTGCAGAAGCAGAGATGGCCCTAGGAAGTTCGAGTTCGTTTTGGTCACAGATTCCGAGTCTCGTAGGCAGGTACGGCGCTATGCAATGCGCCAATATGTCCACCAGCGCCGACTGGACGGTATTGCCCGCCTAGAGTCGAACAAGGCACGAGTGCGTGGGTGGACTACGACGACGACTGGCAGCGAGGTGATAAGAGAGGAAGAGCTCGATAGCTCTTGCGATTCCAAAGCGAGTCCCAGCTCCGAATCGAGTGTCAGCTCGGTCAATTGCGGGAAATCGGATCCATCCCTTTTGCCTTCTGCTCAAGGCCAGGAGATCGGAATTTGCAAACTGTCTCGTGGGTCCCCAAGCTCGGATCCACAGGCTGGCCCGAGTTCTGGGGTTATAGATCCGTTTGACAGCTATCCGTTGAGCTTGAGACAACCGGATCAGAATCTTATCCCTCACTGTAAGTTGTCATATAATGCTAGTCGCCTGTTATTTTTTCACTTCTATCCTCATGATGTTGGGTTCATGGTTATGCATGGTGTACTCACAGCTTTCAAAAGTTATTACGAGATACCCTCTTATGATGTACAAGATGGGCCATGCGCATCAATATAATCCGATTCGGGCAATATTCCATCGAGTTGCCATCCATGATCCTGTTCCGTTCCAGGCGATGCTGGCCGTTGCGGCAAAACATATGGCTGGTGTCCAAGGCCAAGCCGATACTGTGCAGTCCTTGACCCACAAAATGAGGGCGCTGAGGTTGCTCAATGAGCGTCTCAAGAGTGATCCATGGGGGAAGCAGGAAGGTACCATCTACACCGCAGCTAGTATGGCGGTAATCGAAGTACGTGGATTGCAACTGTCCAGGCTAGTTTGCTAAATTAGCAATGTTCACGTCGCTAACACCTCCCTAGAAATGGTCCAAGGCTGATAATGTTGAAAGCCTGCATATTCGAGGCCTCATTCAACTACTTAGAAGGCGTGGAGGTATGCGTGGGATGCGTGCTGCGAGCCCTACGAGCCAATTTATGGAAAAGGTTCTTTACTGGTACGCTTTTGCTCTTTGCAGACTTTTGCAAACTCTTTTCACTGACAGGTAAACTCAAGGGTGGATTTCAGTTGCGCACCAAATGCCATTGTTGGGGCCTCGCTTCCGTGGACAGGGGATACGCCCGACGTATCACCATGCCTTCCATTTCCAACCCCGAAAATTCGTTCAGATGCATCAATTTCTTTTGCTGACCAGGACACTTATGACGCCCTTCAGTCTTGCGAAGATTTTTTTTCTTTTTTCCGTTCCCTCAATGACATACAAAAATCTCTTCTTGGTTCCCCTTCATGCGAAACTCGGCTCTCAAAAAATATATTGAATAAAGCTCCATTCTTCGGTGAGGTTTCGCATTTATATGATATCTTAACTTTCCTTCCGGACTATGACCACGGCATACGTGATATTCGCTACATCGATGAGTATTGTTGCATGGCATGTTTGCTGTATCTCAACCTTGCGCTTTACGATTATTATTTGACTTCCCGAGATTTCACCGAATATCTACAATGGATCAATTTTGAGGTTAAAAAACTTGACCCCTCCACCGGTACCAGTATCACATCTATTCTTTGGATGTTCCTGGGTAATGGAGGCTTCCCAGGCGGGGAAATCTCCGATGACGGGGAGCGAAACTGGATTGTGTCCCGAATGTTACGGCTCGCCAAACGGTTGAAGGGCACAGCATCCAAAGATTTGTGGGGCTGTCTCCGATCGACACTTCTTGAATTTTTGATCATACATCGGGACTGCGGTATTGGAAACGATTCTGTTAGTGGAGCAGAACTGGCCGCTCGGGCGCGTTGGCGCCATACTCAGCCAGCTATTTTACAAGAGGAAGCTAGGCTACGACATGCTATGACCGAACAGTTGTATGCTAACCTCTCTAACCCGAGTGCTGTTAAATCCTCCTCACTGGCAATCCCGGGGGATTAATTTGAAATTACCGATCCGCAACTTCGTCTCATGGCTTATAAAGATGGCTATGGTCGCACCTTTGTCCTTTTTACACCTTGCAAACGGCTGTATCTTAGCATAACTGGATACGTGCCTTATAGAGATACCCCGTCGGAGCAGTGTGGCTTATTAGCCGGAAATTGGGCAATCCGTCAACATTTTTATGACCACCCCGCTAGTCCTTACATGTGGCCTCAACCTCCAAGCACGGTCGGCCTTGTTGCTCTGTATTGAAATTTGCGGCTTGCGCATGGAGTCATATGAATCCTTGGTTTTGAGTTAGCTACCCATATATTTGATCTGGCGTGCAACTTTACCCGGTTATTGCACGAATTTGCCAGAGTGCGTTATAAGCCGGGTATCAGTTTCCAAAATTTCACCGAGGCTTATGTTCCGGCAGCATTTCATGTGTATACGGCACCATAGAACCGGAATTGATGATTCCCCCCTGAATTTCCTTCTCTTGCCCGTGCGCTGCAACCGAGCCCGTTGGAATTAGGTTGACCATTTCGTACCTGGTTTTTGACGCCGCGCAATCGCGCTTAACGGGCGCTGTCGCCCGCATAATTAACGAACCCTCATTGCTAAGACTTGTATCAAAGTTGGATATGAATATCTAGTGGTTAGGTTGAAGCAGACTTCCCCTTTGTAACAGGAGGCGTAACTACATCCAATCTGGATTATTTGTCAGTAGTTCAGCACTCAAAACCGATTAAATGATTGACTTTGCATGCTATTATAATTGAGAAGGCCATGCTTGTACGGAGTAGTTTCATAGAATATTCATTTTATTATAAGCTAGTTCATAGAGACCAGCCGGAGCTGACAGGGGACACTGAAACGATCGGTCTTGGCAATCTCACATCGCAACTTATGAACAGAGCTCTGTGGCTTTCAAGAGAAGGTTCCAACTTCTCTCATAACTAAACAAAAGATCACAGGATTCTGATTCATGGGTAGTTATAGCAGGACAAGAGCCGTGTTGTCTGAACAAACTAAAGGCCAAATAGCACAGCGAGGTATACATGCAGGCGCGGGCAGAAGGTGGCAAACGTTGACCTAGCCTTGCACGAGGTATCAAAATGGATACCGGAGAGAAAGAGGACGATATTTCTGAGCAACCCGTCTTAGGCTCCCGGGCGGTAAATCGTATCTTTTCTTTTTTGACAGGAGTATGCACTAATGGTATTCGCGACAGTGTGATAATTGCCGCAACCGCAAGGTAAAAAAGCCTTATATCTCTTCGATAACTTGGGTAACTACTAAACACGGGGTCTAAACGTAGATCAAATGTGACAGAGCTTCCCCATGTTCAAACTGCCGCATTGCGAAGAGCATTTGTAAAACCTCCCCACGGGTGAAAGAGCAACGCCAGAGGGTTTTGATTTCGCACCAGTAGTATGCTTTACCCTCTTGCAAAGGACCCGTCCCTCCCGGCATGTTATATCTAATTCCTAGCCAGTGAGAAGAAAATCGAAACCATAGACGAAAGGCTTACAAACATTGAACGACTTCTAAAAGACCTCGCGCTGTCCATTCCTGGACGCCAAACACTGGCTGATTCCCAAACCGCCAGTTGTAATTCACAGCAAACAGATAGCCCAAGAATTCGTTCCGCTATTCAGGAGCCAAATGTCATGACCCCCAGTGCCCATTTTGAAGGCGAATCCGCCTTCAGTGCGCATTCAGTCCTTGCGAGTGCTATATTTGAGCAGACCATGGGGAGTAGTCCGAATATCGAACAAAATCCGGCGATGATTCAAGCCTTGTCGTCGTTACGGGATATAGTGAAGGGCCAAATTCGCCCTTCGGGAATCCATACTCTTCGATTCCGTGGCCAAACTCCAAGGAGGGACCTTGATCTTTCTCAGCTGGAGCTCCCGCCGTTAGACACGGTCCTTTCAATGTTACGTCTCTCAAAAGGTAAGTTTCCTTCTGTTTAACTCCTGCCGCTTGAATATCAATAGAATCTTACTGATTTATCCAAGACCATTATCCGATTTTGTTTCTCACTCTCCCGATCGTGGACCTGCCGTATTTTACGCAACTTTGTAAAGATGTGTATTTCTGCATGGATGAGTATTCGAGCGCACAGTTTGCTACAGTCAATTGTATTCTCTCATATCTTTTCAAGGAATATTATTATTATGGGGGCGATGATCAGCCGAAAGATAAATTCAAAGAATATTCTGAATTGTGCGCATCGAATTTCGAAACCGTTATCAGCAGCTTTGATCTGCTCGTGGAGCCTAGTTACGATATTATCCTGGCTCTAGCTCTTGGGGTACGTTCTGCCCATTCACTGCCGACACAGGTTGGAGCGCTAATGCCACCAAGGCTTTTCATGCCACTGAGGTTTCAAAGATCTCGCTCTGCTGGAATTTTACTGCTATAGCGGCCCGAATGTGTCAGAGTTTAGGTTATCACCGCACAGCTAGGAAGGATGATGCAGGAGCATCTTCAGAAAATGCCACAATGGAAAAGTCCGTCTTTTGGTTTGTCTATCTTATGGATAAAAGCATGTCGTTGTGTCTAGGCAGGACATCCTCACTTCAGGATTATGATATTGCCGCTGAATTTCCGGAGCTGCCAGCAGACCCTGGCCTACGTCCCTGGCGCACGCTTTACCGGAACTGGACCGATTACAGTAAAATCGCTGGCAGGATCTACGAACTTTTGTTCTCTTCTCGCGCGCTTGCCGATACTGCCGCGGTGCGTCTACACAAGGCACAACAGCTTGAGGAAGAGATCAAGAGTTGGAGAAATGAAATTCTTCAATTCGATCCTGGCGAAGCGTATCACGCTTTTTTCTTCCAGTGGATGTTACCCGGCGCTGATTTAAGTTATTATATGCTTTTAACCTTGGTGTATCGCGCGGTACCTCCGTCACAGCCACCGGAAACTCCATCTGGACTCAGTTCAAAGTGCGTGGACGCTGCCCGAAAAGCATTACAACTTCATCAGCAAGTTATGATGACATTTCAAGGAAAGGATACATATGTGCTGAAAGGATATGTAGACTGGTTCGCATGCCCCCCCTTTAGTGAATTGAGGCCTCCTTCGACCTTTACTAGGCGTGATTCAGCTAGCTGATTTTGCATTTCCAGGACCTTGTTACAGTGCCCTTTTGTCCCGTTTCTAGTGACATTCTGTCATACCATATCATCGGGTGATATGGATGACTTGAGACTACTTGAAGAGGTGGCAACTAGTCTCCAAGCCGCGGGAGGGCTCTCGGAAGGTGCTGAGCGGTTATACCGCTTGTGTATGGTATTTTATCAGGTTGCCAAAGTATATGTGGATGCAAAACTCCAAGAGGCTGAAAATGCAAATGAAACTTCAGCATACCAGCCCGCCACCTACCCAGGGGAAGAATTCGACAGCTACTTGAATGCCCTTGGACTTGGGCCGTCGCTAGCACCCTATATGCCAAGGGGGGTGACTGGTGCTGGCAATAATAACAGCGAAGGAACAATGCCCGATTTTTTCGATGTCGATATGGCCCAATCATTGGAGGACTGGTATTTGGGAAACCGACATATGATGGGGTTGCTAGAATCGGATCTCTAGGTCCCTGTCTGTCGATGTAAGATATGTGTGATGGTGATTTTGGAAACATTTCTGCAATAATACATATGCCAGCTTATAAAGAGATTCTCTGTATATATGCTATCGGGCAGCTCATGCAAGCACTTGTGTCACATGCCCATACAATCAAGAGTGCTAAGCTCTACACATGTGGCACTAAATTGAATATCATCTCAGACACACATACATAATGCAAGAACAGCCTGCATTACTGTCAATTTCTCACTAGAGATTTTTAGAAAGGAGTCAATATGATTTAAAAACTAATCAAAACTGGTGAAAAAGGCTGCAGCTGCTCATTTGTGTGACAACAGCCAGGTCAAAAATGTTCTGGGATTGAAAAATACTCACGTATGCATACCCAATCTGCGGACTGTCTGTTGATGGATTGTCATAGAATAGAGAGTAACAAGTTGGTCATGGGGAACCTATACAGAACTTAAATTCTTGTATGTAGTGAATACCAAGTATGAATATCACTTGTTCAGAATGTTTATCAGTACATGACCCCATATTGGGTTTGTTGCGCATTCTCAGCTTATATCTTTTCTAAGTCGATAACGTTCTTATAGATTGGCGCAAAGTTTGTCTGAATCCACACCACACTGTATCGGAAGCTGCGACGGCCCTTGCCTTAGGCCCCTAGCCACAATAAAGATTGATAAGAGTATTGAAATCGGGATTTTGGAGAAGTTGGTCTGCAGTCAGACGGTGTTTGGGTTCAAGGGCGAAACCTCTTTTCAGAACTGAGAGGAGAAGCTTCATCTCAGTTGAACTAACTTTTGGTTGGTGCAATTGAAGTCGGTCCTCAAGGCCAGTAGCAGTGGTATTTTGGTCATACCATCGATCCTCACTGAATTTCGGCCAGAGATATTTCCCTTTTAAATCTGCGGACACAGGGCCTAGACATGCAACAACATCATTGAAACAGCGAAAGAGAGGGCCCCCAAAATAAAGATCTGAGAAGACACACATATAGCTCCACATGTCACAGGAATAGTGAGGCGTGGCGCCATGAAGTCGCTCTGGAGAGCAATATTCTTGAGGCGGAATCACAATTGGTGCATCTGACACTGCCAGGCTACCAATCTGCAGTGCTGTGCCAAAATCCGCAAGATAGAACTTCTCTGAGCAGAATGATATAGGAACTTTTATTGGTGCCACAAGTTCTCCCGGTTTCCAAGTATTATATGGGATCAATTTTCGCTGAGGTCTGCCGAGAATCCTGTATTTATCCACTATGCTGAGACCTTCAGGGAGGGTACTACCCCACAAAGCATTCATGTCATTAATGTCTAACAAATACATTAGTTTCCATATATTCAAAATGATTTGAGGGTAAGTCTGACTACCTCGGTGAACAAAGCCAGATCTGTGTAGGCTGTCAATGATTTGCAGCAGTTGTTTAGCAGCATGCATTCGAGTTGAAATGGGCAGTTGACGTCCCATAATAGATCCAACACTGGGGCCAAGAAATGGAAACACAAAGGCATAGTGATCAGACTCTGGACCAGAAAGAAGAAAGACATCTTCATACAAGACCAATTGAGATTTATCCTGCACAGTCTGATGTAAAACAGTCTGGATTTGATATTCATCTTCTCCAAAAGTGCCTGATACCATAATCTTGATTGCAAGATTCCTGTGGCTTCTCAGGTCTTCAGCAAGCCAAACAGTAGAGAAGCCGCCATGAGAAATCTTATGAACTATGCGATATGTTTGATTGAGAATCTCTCCAATCTGGATAGGGTAGTATTTGCGGGGGGGTACTGCATATCGAGTTTCTTCTTCGGCTTCGGATTCGATGTTGACTGCATCCAGATGCTCGCGCCGTACCGGTCTGCTAGACTCAGTATCCAGGCTCAACAAAAATGTCTTAATGATATCTTGAGACGTTGATATCACCTTAATGGCCCAGACTGGACGTGTAGGCAGACTAGCTTATGTAATCTGTCGCCATCCCGATTTGGACTAGTTAGAAAGCCCTGCGGAGTTACTTAAGCCAAACACAACTTTTTCCGAGCAAAAGATTCTTTTTCTCTTCTTCTTCTCCTCAACTCCTCGCTCAAAGAATCGCATTCAAAGCTTACGCTCAGAGCCTTTCACTCTCATCTGAGGTGATTGCTCATACCATATCTAGCTTTGGGAGAAAGTCCCCGGACGTCCTGCACAATCTATCGTGTCAGGCAATGCGGAAACGCGCCGCCATAAAAGCAATTGATAGCGGCTTACGTCTCTCCTTGCCTCTCGCCCTTTCAGACTCGACCCTAGCCGTATGAGCCGTCTGTACTCTTCTCCGCTATCTCGTCGCTCCTGTTGGACTAGGCTTCGTTGGGTTTACTTCGAGACCACCCTGCCGTTTCGGCGGAAGGGACAGGGACGATGATATGAGTCCGCGCTCGAGGTAACCCTATCAAAGTTGTTGGTCCTCTGGGTGCTTTGTGGATACTGGGGAGGAGGAGGCTTCTAGGGGAACGGATGGAGTCTGTTTGGTGAGGTTCAGGTAGGAGGTGATTGCTCTTCGTCGTGGTTGGATAGCTATGCGATTGTCTTGTCGGCCTGGGATCGTATGGTTCTAAGTTCGATGGATAACTCGATGGGGCTTATTCTTGAGGCGAGGAGTTCAACCCTTTTTTCTTTTAGGATCTGTAGCTTATGGAAAGCGGTGTGGGTGCCTGTGTGGTTCGGTGACTCCTATGTGTTTCCAAGCCGCCTCAGCCTCCCATCACAGATGCTCTGTCAAAGGGGTCGGATCCAGTTTACAAGTTCAAATGACGATAACATTTTATAGAGTCAAGCACAGAGGTCCCACCTTTCTAGGCAAGGACTGTTGAAGACTTCAACTATATCTGATGAACATTTCATGTCTAATGGAGATTACCTGCGTTGCCCCTGTCTTAATTCTTTGCGCGTCTTGACGTCCCTCAGTTTGGTTAATGTACTATACATAATGGCTTTTTGTACTTTAAAGATCATAAACATGAAATCATAATTCCTTTTTCAATGCCATCGGTTGGCTTGGTCGCCCTTCAGAGGTCCTCGCAACTCCCCGCTTGGTCATTTTGAGAATTAAAGATTGGATCACAACACCGAGAGCGTCACCCGCAAGGCTGACAACCGTCGTGCAAACCCCGCTCCAAACCTGGATACTGACGGTGCCCAGCGGCGCTCGTGGAAACGACAAGACCCATTCCACTTGCCATGGGACCCATCCGCGAGGAAGTTCAAACATGGGTGTTTTCGAGTACCAGAACTGAAGGAAGAATTTCAAACCGGTAGTGCTGAAAAATCTCACCGATTTCACCGTTAAATCGAACGAACCTTTGTGCTTTCCAAGCGCTTTATCTAAAGCAAAAATTTAGTAAGGATTGCTGCATGACGGTTCACAGCCATCAGAAAACACTCAAGCCGGGTATAGACATACTTTTAGCCTCATACTCCTCCATGGCCTTGTCATGCCGCCTTCGCAGCTTTGCCCATTTGGCAAATTCATCTTGGGAGCTCGTGGACTTCATTTCACGCTTCAGTTGTACGACCTCCCCCTTCAGTCGTCTTTGCTCCACGGCGGTTCTGGAGGTGTTATTGGGAAGTTTGAGATATAGAAGCCATAACTATTGAAGCAGAATAACATCAGTTTTTGTAACGGAGCACCTGTTATGCGGAATGTAGATACATACCAGATTGTCGACTGTAGTGGCGCCAATTGTATTAATCAAGTATGTCACAACGTGACTGAGGAAGACGATAATGAGAAGGGAGGCCATGATGACAGCGCGCAGTGTTCAATTGTTGTCACAATGTGGGAGGCTGCGCATCGGTAGATTGGGGGCGAAATATTCTAACTCTCGAAAGTATCCGGCGGGAGCATCAACGTTCAGACTTCATCGTCAAGGTCCGCGTTTACGCAAAACTCCGGACAAGACGTGCTGCGCTGGCGATTTGAGATCTCGGGTTTTGATCTTGTTTCTCTTTCTGCTTGTTGCCAGCAATGACGATGCAGCTTGTTTGCTTGGTTTGCACCATCCGCCTGTCCAGAGCACCTTCAAACCAGCTCCATATCGAAATAAACAGCCCTTGAGACGATGCCTGACCCCGGGGATATATATAAAACCCTGACGGATATTCTTCTTAGCAGAAACAGACAAATCTATGATATTGAGATTCTCCCACAAGGATTTGGCCCGCTGCTGTGCGATGGCGTCAACGTCGGAATCACAAAACGAGCGCTTGTTGAGACATTTCTCATTGCCAGACAGGTCTTTTTCAGCTCTATAAAGAGTAGAAACTTCAATCAGGACATGGACATTTCAAGTCCCGAGCGCGCATCTGGAAGTCCTTTTTTAAGTGAGAGCACAAGGGTAGCGTCGGAAATAATCCTGCTGTTTGATTCTGAGCACTTGACGGCTTGCAATTGGCGCAAGCGGAGGTTATTTGCTTTGAAAGATTCCTGGTCGCCGGATCATTTTGCTCAAAGTCTAGGGGAGGAATTTTCCTTCACTACCACCTTGCTTCGGTCTCCCCTGCACCGACATGCTAAGTCTCCTACCCTCTGGTATCATCGGTATTGGGTCATGACCGAGGCATTAAGACTCGACACTCGCCATATGCAGTCAGTGCTGCTAGCACCGCACGCGACGCCTTCTGAGCAAGCGAACATGGATGATTTGAGAATTAGTGAAGCGCTTCTCCAAGGTCAACTCGCAGTAGGCCTCAAGGCCGGGGAGCAACATCCCATGAACTATTACGCCTTTAACTATCTACGGGAGGTATTTGCCTTACTGGAATGCCGTTTTAAGGGGGATTCAAAAATGCCTAGTCGAGCAGAATCCTCTGTTGAAGGTTTCAAAGCGCTAGCAAGAGCACAGCTAGAAGGAGTGCATAGATGGTGCCTCGGGCACCCACGTGATATATCAGGTTGGACTTTTCTAGTCTATTTACTTGAGATGATGGATGATGCGCTGGTTCAGACGGCCACTGTCGAAAAGACCGTCGAATACGCTCTTACAGTTGGTTGGGAGGAAGAGGCATTATGGACATTTGTCACTCTTTCCTTGTCAAGGTTTGGTATCGATTCAGAAACTATCTCCTCGGCAGACTACAACATCACTGAGCAAGGGGGCTGCAGATTTGTTCAGCCTACCAAGACCTCTTCGCGTTGGGCCAATATAGCTGCTATGGCAAAAACTCGTTCAAATAAGGATCGAGGTGAACGCCCTTCTTAGACTACCCAGTTCCTTGAAAATGAAGCACGAATTCAGTTTTCGTGCTATAAAATTCGAGTTTAGCACGGGGAAGATAGATTAAAATGCTTGGGTTAAAGTTGAAACCACGCTGTCGCTAAGTCACTGAGTTGGTTTGTCGTTTCGTCGTCCGAAAGAAAGAGAAAAGTCCAAAATCCAAAATCCAAGTATTGCACCACTCCCGGTTCCGACGCGGTATCCGACGTATTTATTCCTCCCCTCACGTATGTCGTAAACCGCATGAGGGCGGGTGATTCAATGCCGTGCATATGAACCTCTGGTCATTATATATCCAAAGGAATGGAAAACGAACTATTTCTTTTTCGCCGACTCTTCCTTTTTTGCATTTGCTGTACGTTGCGATTGTTAGGTAGATCCCGGAATGAATAGAACTTCAGGGGTAGTTGCTCTGCACACCTGCTTCCTGTTTTGCCCGCATGATCGCAGCTTGGGCCTCTTTCGTCCGCGCGAATTCATTGCCAGACATGGTATTTTTCTTTTTCTATGAGGAAGTTGGGTTAGTTAACTACGGCTAGCAAGCAAAATTGCAGGATCAATGACATCCAGAGCGTCCGTACCTGCGAAGCCAGCTCCTTTTGGGTCTTCTCACGAGCTTTGTCACGCTGATTTCCGCGAGCCATCTTGGAGAGTTGTAGCTTCTTGACTATCCTTCACGGACTCAGGAGCGACCTGCGAGCCGATGATGGTTGACCGTCGAGGTTGGCCGGTGCCTTAAATACGGTGAAGCTGGGGGTGGGGCTGCGCTGTTTGCGCTGTTTGCTCGACCAAGCCCTAATTTCCAGAAACGGACACCCGTCAACCTCCGACCTCCAACCTCATCTTCTTCTTCTCATCTTCCCATCGTCTCTTCTTCTCTTCTCGATACCCGTCGCTGCTCCTAAGAATAGGCCGCATGGAGTCTCGGGCACATATATTTAGACACGCGCTGGGAGTTGAAGAGCCGCTCGTCAGGCCCCCACATGCTGCTCCAAAGCCAGCGCCAAACAACTGGCCTATGAGCGTGCGGGTTTGACTGCAAAACCATCAGTTGAGGAATGAATGTGTGTTTCAGCGTTAACATGGTCAACCCGCCCAACTGACTCTCTCAGCCAGTCGATGAAGAAACTTTCTTGCAGGGTGGGATTCACTCATGTCCAGAGAGCCTTGGATTGTCCATTGCTTCTATCCGCCTTCATTCTTTGCGAACCCCTTATGAAACATGGAGCTTGCCCCTGGCTGCCCATTCACAATGTGGCGGAAATTGCCAGAATCCGAATGATTCACAGGTTTTAGTGATCCGGGAATAACACTTGGAATCGAGTACAAGAAGCGGTCACCCTCGCTATTGTCCGGACGCCTGCTCAATGGACTGGCTCCTACTTTCTCCCATTCGTAACCTCTGTGTTTCATGAGTATTTTTTCATGGAAGTTCTGTTCCTCTCATTGTGATCAATTGTTCACTCTTTAAAGATTTCTTCATCTACTCCTCTTTCCTCTCATTTGGAAGAATATTCCTTGCTTTTCCTTTGTCCTTTGAGGCGTCCTGCACTGCTGCCTTCAATAGGCACATTCAGCACTATGTTGAATCCGCAGCGCTAAGCCTTTACTTTCATTCTTCCAAATCTTTTGCTGCCTGTCAGGTTACTAGGCTCTTCAATACCTTTCTAGTGAAGCTCCTACATCTTCGCTGATTACGATCTTTTTTGCTTCTACAATTTCTCTTCTCGATATACACGAAATATAACCGCTCGAGTCTCTTTCATCTCCCGATTTTCACTAACAGTATACCGACCATCTACTCGAACCGATTTCGCGTCGCCCGCTTCTTTAAGGATGGGTTTCATTAAACTACCCTTGGCTGGTCCAGGGTACGTGATCCTGAATGTTGTCAGGGCCATGAACATCGTTGCTCTTCTCGCCGTAATCGCTGCTTGTGCTGTTATGCTGGTTAAAACGTTCATTATCAGCAAATTCTTTCTCTTCGACGCCGTAACACATGTGGTGGTTGCCAGCGTCAGTCGTAAGTGCACTCAAAGTGACCGTCCTGGTTTGCCCGTACTCAGAAGTCCTAGTCTTCCTCATAGTTTCCGAGCTGAACGTATTCCGTGGATACTTCAATCGCAACTGGCCGTTGCTAGGTCAGAACTCGGGATTCGTCACCCTCGGAGTTACCATGATTGTCATCGGAGTGTCGACTCTAGGAAACCTCAATAAAGAAGCAACAAGCCAAGAGTCTTTGGGGTTGGCGTTTTGGAGGATTGTCATCTCCTCTGGGATCGTTGTGATAATTGTCGGCACTATCAATATCGTTGTCGTAAGTTTTATTTCTTGATCGGTTTTAGGGTCTTTGCTCATGTCTCTTGTCAGAGCTTCGTCTTCCAGGACAAAAACATTGGAGTCACTGCTCGTCATGTCCGGGCTCATGGAGCAGTTGCAGAGCAAAAAGTCATCACCAGGGATAGCAGCCACAAGTCGTTTCAGCTTTCGCGTAAAGATTCGCTGCCGACTTACCGTTCATCGTCCTCTAATTACTCGAGCCCGAAATCGATATCCACAAGGACTGCCTCGATGCGTGCTACTCCCAGAATCCCGATAAAGATCTCTTCTCCGATCAACGACAACCCAGACCAGTTCGGTAGATTTACAGCGGAGCCAGATTTGGCTGTACCGAACCTTGCTCACCACCCTGCAATGTATTCCGACCGAGTATGAACTTTCACGTAATAATGGGCTGTGTGGCGATTGAAATATTGTGCGCTATCGTGTGGCTCTGATATGGCAACAGCAGGGGGTTCCTTTTTCCATTTATCAAGGATTCAAAATCTGGCGGAGTGCGGCGTTCTAACTCGGAGCATTTGACGATATGATCTTCCTCTTACATTAATGTACTTGTATCTATCCCTGCCTATTCCGTCCTTCAGCGAGTTCCATTTGTTTCCCCTGATGTGAAGGTGGACATAAGAATTTACTATTTTTAAACAATATTGATAGCTCCCTTCTTGGCGTTGGTCTCATCATCTCGACGCCAACGTGGAATCAACTGACAACCAACCAGCTCCATCACCGCAGCACGCGTCTCGAGACGGGGAGAAGTGACATTTGTGGCATCTTCACCGATTGTTGATATTCATTCCTTTCGCATGCAGCGCCGACCATGTAATTCCGCCTTTCAACATCATTCTACATGCTGAACCAGTCCTTTCGTTGGATTCAAAATGACGCTCTTTGACACGTACGCTCTCTTTAACCCTCAACCCGGCGAGCATGGCACAAGCTGACAGGAATCGTACAGCATCAAGTCTCTCACTATCTTCTTTGCACCCATTCTTATACCCCGTGCCATATCCCTATACCGCTCCGTGCGACAATCCATCGCGCAACAACGACATGTCCCTCCAAAGCCACTCCCCCCCAAGAGCTCCCGCGCGCTCAACATCCTCTTCCTCTCCACCGCCCTCTTCCTGATCCTCAGCCTGCCTATCAACCCACATGCTCCGGCGCCAAACATCTTCGCCCTCACTTCCTCGCGCTTCTCAACACCCACAGACCTCATCTTCAAGCGTCTCGCACGCCTCCGCCCCCTCACGGACACCGAAACCCTCCTTCGCGCGCAATTCGTCCTTCCCCAAGCGCGCAAGATCTACCTCCGCTTCGGACCCGAGACGCTTCTTTCCTGCCCCTTTTGCAGCCCCGCGAATCCCAACTCATACCTGATCTATTACATCCCCTTCAACATCCTCCTCCCGCACCTCTTCCACCTCCTGGTCATCGGGATCGTCACGTCCGCACCCGTCGTCGGCACCGCGACGGCCCGGTGGCGGAGCATGTTCTTCTGGACCGCGTTCATCTTGTTCCTCGCCGAACTGAGCTTCGTGGCCGCGTACGATCCGTACGCGACGGGAGCGCTCAACATGGTCGCGATCCCGACCAGTTTCTACACCCGTCTCTACACGGTGCGAACGCTTGTATTCACGGTTTTTGACGGACTGTGCGCGGCGCTCATCTACCTCTCCGGAACGAACCGGTTCTTCCTCGGGGCCATGGCACCCTCGCCGTCGGCGGACGAGCAGATTGACGAGTTTGCTGAGGCGGTGGGGACGAGTCTGGCGAGCGCCATTGGGAAGCTGCATGCGTTGGGATTGGTGAAGAATGCGATTATGCGTGACCCCGTGTTGAAGGGGAAGGACGATGCAAGGTGGGCGGAAATCATTGCGAGGAGTGGGGGGATGGTAGGCGAGGACGGCACGAGTATATTGGATGACGAGGAGGTCGCGCAAGCGGTTTCAAGAGTTACCAAACGTGCGCAGAATGCAGGGCATGGCGGTAACGAAGCTGGCCTTTCGAAAGAGGGATTAGACAAAGCCACCAAGTTCATCGAGGGTGTGACAGCTGGACTGGAACTCGAGAGCTAGACAGCATGTGGAGTACGATTTGCCATTCTGTCTTCGCTACATGTATGTATGTACAATAAATATGCGATTTTCGATAGATGCATTCAAAAACGGAGAAGTTCATTGTTTGCAGAGTTGTATATACCCGGCTAATCCCACTATTTACCTTGAAAGTGCCTTATTATAATGTAATATCAAAAGAGGTGTATCTATTAACACAGTTTCTCCGCCTTCTGGACATATAATCCCATTGTGAAGCCAAGAACTTTTAAATGGCTTTCCGTTGCCTTTTTGGCATCGTATGCAAACCGAGAAGTCATGAGGCTTCGACCTCCACAAGGGGTCCCTCATATGTTCTCCGAGCATACGCAAAATAGTACACCAAGCTAAATAGCATGACGCCCACAATCAAAACACTGCTATAGTTCATGTCGATAGCATTCTCCACCGGGGTAGCGGCTGGGAAGAAACTGAAAACAAGAATCACGAGAAGGTAGCAGCAGGCAAAGACATTGATAAAGGGGCCAAATTTGCCAAAGCGCCAGGGGCCCCAAACTAGACGAGAACCAGCTGTATTTGCCAGCATGTTGGAGGAGTCGGAGGCGTATGAAATGCCTCCGGCGAGGCGGCGATAAAGAAGCAACGCAATCGCAAGGAGGTAGCTTATATAGAGAGCGGCGACAGTCAGGGACACGACAATGTTGAAGGCTGTGAGAGAGCCTATGGAGATGAGAGATAAAAGGACGGAGATAAAAGTAATGGTCGCAATTGACCACACCGGAACCATTGTTCGTTTTTCAACCTAAATGTCATTTAGTTCTTCTCCTTCCAACATTTTAAACTGAAGCAATCTTACCCGCGAGAGAATTCGCCAACCAGGAACACCACGGTCACGAGCGAATGACCATAACATTCTTGATGCGGAAGCAAGGAACCCAACATTGGCGCACATTGCAAGGACAAAAATGATACTAGCCATTGCAGCGGCTCCTCCGGTGTTGCGCGTGGCTTGTCTGAAGATTTCCATGAACGGAAAGCCTGTGGGTGAATCAAGAGCAGCTCCGAGATCCGAAGTGCAGAATAGGACTGCAATAATCATAGAGAAACCCAGGCAGCCGTTGATGACTAGGGTAAGCATGATGGATCGCGGAACGATGACAGAAGGACGTTGGATTTCTTCGGACATCTAAAGCATCATCAGTAGCCGACCCAATGAATTATAGTGAGAAATAAGCCATACATGGTAAGCACCATCAAGTCCTATGTCGCTTGTCAGCCAGTTTATACCCCAAATCTTTGAACTTGCGACTCACCAAGGAAAGCAAACGCATTTCCAGTCAGGCCGACCAGAAAAGACAAGCCTTGACTTGACCAATTGCCCTCGTTATTGAAAGTTTTGAAAACCAACTCTGGGTCCACTTTCGACGACAGCTTGACCAGGGGGATAAGAACAGCAAAGTATCCCAAGATGTGGAGGATAAGGATGAATCCTTCAATTTTGGGTAGAAGTTTGCTGACGACTGTGTTGATAAACACAATGAAAACAAGCACCGCCCAGAATAGAAGTGTTCCGTGCCAGTTTGCGGGTGCATAGTTTGGTTGAGTCAACGCAATCAGGCCCTGTAGGAGACCACTTGTAAGGGAGCAAGTGGAGGCAATGGAAGCCAGCCATCCAAGAACCGTGACCCATCCTGTCATATAGCTAAGGAATTTACTCCATCGTGGCGGCGCAAGCATAGCAACCCAGTGATATTGGCCGCCAGATGTTGGAGCCATCGAAACCAATTCCGAGAGAGAAGCGAAAACCGCAAAGTTGCCGATCCACACGAAGATATAGCCATATATCAAACCAGCATATCCGCCATTCTGCAGGCCGGTGACGAACAAAATCAGAGCGCCTTCCCAGGTGATAAGTACAGTGCAACTGAAGCCGAGAATGGACATAAACGCAAAGTTTCGCTAGCGAAAAAGAGTCAACGGATGTGATACGTGAGGCCTTGTCAGCATGAGGATCAGTCCATACCCTTAGAACCTGCTTCTTCCCTAATCGAAGAAGTTCATCGCGATCCCGATCTTGCGAGAGCTCGCTTGTCGCGGATTTGAAATCAACTTTGGCCTGATGGCCATTGAAAGAGCTAAGCTCTCGAGCCGGCTCCTCCTTCATCATTGCAAAGGCCCCCGAAGTTGGATGAGACTAGGAAACCCTCAAACCAAATGATTGACGGAACATCAATGAGAGTAAAATTGCACAGGAAATCCCAAGGTTCCCATATAAGAAGAAGAAGAAGCAGACAGGAGGATCGGGGCAAGAAAGGGAAAGGGGACGAGGGAGAGGGGAAGAGAAAAGGGAACGGAAAGAGGCATGAAGGATGTCTGGAGAACCAGAAACGAGGGTCTCGACTAATCATGGATGCGATAACGCCAAAAGGAAGAGGAGCAAGCTCTCGGTACACGGAATCCAAGTCATCTTGGGCCAATAGTGCATGGTCGTCGAGGATTGCTGCCATGCATTCAAATGGACATGGTGCCTGGAACCAACTAGGGTCTGGGGGAATTTGCCATGTTTTCACACGGCGTGGGGAAATTGAAGAGACTTGCCGCAATGGTGGAAAGGAGCCCGGTGAACACTGAAGGAGAGATTCCTGAATTTGGGGCCGTCGCTTGTCGGAAAGGGCTTGCTGGGCTCACGATTCTGATTAGCCTTGCATCCAAGGAGCCAGTCCACACATCCGCATCTGCACTATGAGACAGAAAAGCCGAGGAGGCATATCGTAACTTTGATCCTGGGCCCGCGAACAAGGGTCTCGGGTTAGTGTGGAACTCTGATTTGCAGGGTCGTTTTCACGCGGCAGAGATTGACACCAAGGTCGCACTTGATCCTTGATCTGCGTGGTGGTTCATTGGACCAGGCCCGTCGTCGATGAATTGCTTCTGTGAGGGAGGGACGGGCGATGCGGCGGCTTGCCACATCACCGGCAACCAGGCCCGCCACACAGTCCGGTGGCACGTCAAGGGCCGCCTCTCCAGGCATTGGACTCTGCGGATGCTGCTGGGCGAGAGGATGAGTTGATGCATCCTGGGATGGTTGTTGGAGGTTGAAGAACACCCGAAAGAGGCGTGTTTGCACCGTTTGCAGATCTGGCGGTGAGCTGAGGCAGTAAGCCTAACCGGGCCTAGCGCCGCCTCCTGTCTTCTTTCTTTTTCGTCGCTTCCACCGATCGAACAGCAAATCTGGCGCGATTGTGCGCGATGCTGTGCGCGAGTCCGGAGTCCGGAGTGCTCGTAAAAATAGCTACTAGCCACATGGCTTACAGATGCACTCTGTGCGACAGGAACTAACAACTACTAGCTTTTTCCGTCCAGAGTTTCGAGCTTAAGTTCAGTTGCGTTTTGGTGTATCAGGAGCTTGGGGGATACGAAGGCCGCATCAAAATCCGTTTAAACTTATGGAGTACGAGTTGGGAGGAAATATCCTCCGAAGCGAACCTAATTTCACATGCGAGAGACGCCGCGCAGCGCCAAAGTCCGTTTCTCGCCGGCCACTTTCGAATCGAAATCACCCTATCCAGATCTCAGGCGCCACCGTTCCTGAGACTCTTCACAGGGACGAGAATCTGTCTTGGGGCCAGAACGGTTGAGAATAACATGAAGAATCAGGGGAAGTGCGAGTTCTTCTAGTTTGTCGCCCAATTTGACTTGTCTGCTTGAATGCCGAGTTTTGCATTATTCGAGCTGTCGAATGCCCCAGTGTATATGCAGGCCGGCCATGTTCAGTAGTTAGTTCAAATCAATCCCGCTCCCATTAATGCTGCCAGTTTCAATAAATCCACCATATCCTCCAGGATCTGAAAAACGCAATCTTGCGCTCCTCCGCTCGGTCAACAGTCGATAACTGGCCAATCACGGATCCATGCCGGCTTGCTGCTGCAAGTCGAGCGTCCGGGAGTCCTCAAATCTTTACGAACTCGCCCATAAGCCACAGGACCAGGGTCATGCCAGCACCTTGGAGCTGTGATTGATCCTCCATCCACCCTGCCTCGACTTGAAAAAGAGATTTTCATTTCTGCGACAATTGGAAGCCAGGATTCGGGGGAACACGGTCACCCAAGAGAGGACCAGAGAGCACCCCGGTTAACCAGGACAGTTGATTCACGAACAAGTCCCAAAACCCCGGCTAGGAGAGGCGTTTAATCACAGTCACAGCCTGATTCGAGAAAATCGATCTGCTCTCTGGAGCACTTTGAAGGCAGGAGATTTGCGGGAAATAGAGTTCGATACGAAGGCCACAAAACGGGTCTTTTTAACTCTGTCTGGTTCTTCGCATCAGTGGAGAGTTCAGCGGGAGACGAATCTTCTTGCTCTCTCGCCGGCGCCAAGGGCGACCGTGCAGCTCATTGCGATCAGGATGGCCCCAGCCATAACCATGTTGATAAGCCACTCTGCGAGTCTGCGTTGCCCTTCATGGGCTCCATCCACAGCGTGCAATGATGTATTATCCCACGGACTCTGAACGCATCCTTCGAACTCAGACCGTCGACTCGGTGCTGGGGGCCAAGGAGGAATTCTGATGGAATGCTCTTCGGAAACAGCCGGGCGGCCTTCCAAACTTCTTTGCAAATAATACTCGATACCAGAGCGGCCATTCGTCTCTGCACTTTGCATGTGTCCTCTGGTCATGCGTAGGAGATCAGCAAGAAACACCCTTGATGAGGGGAATCCTTGTGGCCACAGATTTTGACCTGCGTCTGTCACACATCGACCTTGTCAATACCCAAGGCTCCCCGGGACATACATACATATCAAATAAATAATCCTCCTGTCCATCCCATCAAAATTCGATTGGTATTTGATTTTCGATTTTTCTCCCCGTCCTAAAAGCTTTCTTTTCGCCTTGTGGTCGAGTTCAGTTACTGTTGTCTTCGATGATAATGGTGATGCTTACCGCCCTGTTGTGACATCTTGACGCTCTATTCCCCATTTCGCATTGATACTTGTGTATTATCTATCATGAGAAAAGGGCCTGTGGATATTGGTTCCATTTGACCGTGTGAATGGCGCAGACTTTGATCACAGACGTCGACAAGTCTGCGTTGGTGGATATTTTCGTCTGGATATTCTTGGTCACCGCCATCCTCGCAGTTATCGCTCAGACGTCCACAAAAGTCGTGATTCGGAGACTTCTGACCGCTGAAGACTATTTGATTCTGGTGTCTTTGGTGAGCACTGGCCGTTTTGAGTTCTTTTCGCTTGACTGTGCTAAGACCGTCGTTTAGATATTTGCTATCGGACAATCCATTGCCGTTGGAATCCAGAACCAGAACGGGTGGGGGAAGTATGTTGACACATTAAGTGAATCCCAGCTGCAAACAGTCCTAAAGGTACATCGAATGCCATCCTGAGGCCTGGCTTTCCGTAAACTAATGGGATCTCTCTCAGGCTGATTACGCAGCGAGTTTCTTGTCGGTTGCAACCATTTGCTTCACAAAACTATCACTCCTCGTGCTAAATCAGCAATTCGCCCTTCTAAAGCGGTATAAGTATACAATATATTCTCTTGGGATTACAGTGATTCTATGGACCGTCGCATCTGTTTTCGTGGTTGGCTTCCAATGCAGTTTGCCCCGGCCTTGGGACTATGTCAACAACGGGTGTATAAGAAGGGTATGTGATACATCTTAGATGCCGAGTATCATATAGACAGATCAGCTAACAAAGTGGCGAAAGACGAACTTCTGGAATTTCTACGGGGCAATCAACATTATAACTGACGTCGTTCAAGTTGTCCTGATGCTGGTCATCACATCTCAGATTCAAACCTCGACTCGTCGCAGAATTACCATTGCATCGGTCTTTGCAGCCCGTTTATTGTATGTTGACCTACCCCAGAGAGATCCTCTCCGGACGGAACCTGTACTAAGAGCCATAATTAGGGTTGTAACAGCGGTAGCCTTCCAGCTCTACTTCCTCAACCGGGTTCAAACCACCAGAAACGCGACATTTGATTACTGGCCCATGTCCATCTGCAACCAGGCCGTCTTGTCACTTGCGGTGGTCACAGCTTGTATACCGTTCCTCAAGCCGTTCATGGACAGCCTAGAATCGGGTTTACTTCGTGCGGATGACCAGTATCGTCGATCTGGTAAGGGAACATACCGCTACAATTTGTCTGGCTCCAAATCATCGGGCAGAAGGGCAGGGCGCAAAGAAACTGATGAATTTAATGAATTGGGCGTGCTGAGTTCAAAACGTAGCCGTGCATACAACGGTCACGGATCGCAGGTCGAAAGCGGTGTCGCCGACTGGGAATCGAACAGCCAGTCGAGTCACTCCCGGATAATCAAGGAGACACGAACCTTTGCAGTTGACGTCGAAGTACGTAACAATCATAGCGAAGACGGGATATCATTACGATGAGGGGTATCCTTAATGACAACAGTTTAAAAAGCAATATAGATACCAGGCAAGGCGCACTTTTTTTTGCTTTTCTTCTTCCTTTCGTGTCCAATGTTTTACTCTACAACTATTTTTAATCTGGACATAATGTACATACATAACCCTTTTCGTTCTACATCATGTAGTTATATACCCTCTTGAGCTTTCGGTTAACCAGCAGTCGAGCTGTCTCTCTCTGCACCCGTTTTCGAAAAAAAGTAGTCAAGAAAAAGGTAGTCAAAAAGCCTTTTGGTATTTCTCGTCGGTGCAAGGGTACTGAGGGTCCTATTGAGCCCGCGATATCCGAATCCCTGCATCTGGACTTCGCGCAACCTAAAATATCCGGGGAGGTTGACCTGTCGAGAACGGGTTCTGGATGCTCGTCCAAGGACATTCATATGCATAATACAAAAGGATATCGTCAAGGATTATCAAGAGCAACATTATTTTTTATTCCTCGGACACCGTCAAGCGAGGATTCACATGCAGCTTTTCGCCCGTGGTTGGTCTTCAAATTATAGGGGGTAATCTGTACTCTCAACCATGGAGATATTATCATATCGGTGAGGAGGCTGTCAACTGGCTGATAAGTCTACGATGATAATAACAATAATACCATTCACAGGGGACGAAACCCAGGACCAAACCTTGCGGCAGTTTCATCTCAGACCCTCGCCGGAAGCACTCCCCGGGCCCCCTTGCCGTGGCGAGGTTTGTCTCTTCAAAGTCCTCCCCATCGTCAAAAGTCCAAAGCCGCTCAGGCCAACCGGGCATTTTCTCGCGAAGGTTTGCGCCCGTTCAAGAAACCTTCTAGAAGAAGGCCATCACTCACAGATCACTCTGGGCAGTGCTGCGAAACAGTTCCAGGGGCAAGGTCCTGTCCCTGTCGTGTCCCTGTAGTGAATATGCACCGTATGTACAAATTAATCGTGTATGCAAAAGCCGCGTCTACTGGATTTCATCCTCGACTTGGAGGGAATCCTGTGTCCTCCCAGCGCGCACTGAGGTTACATCAACTTTGCATGTCGTTGCACCTCTTCGCTGGATATCTCTCCTTTTTTTTTGGTGGCGAGGATGCATGTCCCCCACACGCCATCAATCAAACTTGGTCTCACCTCGACCATTCAGTCGGGACCGAATTCTCATCGTTATACCCCAGGCACGGATCGAAGGCATCCCCTCTCGTCCCATAATTGTGCGAGTAATTCAATGGGGAACTGGCCCATGCCTCGGCGGGTGCAAGAATGTGCCTAGATACCCTATCACTAATCATATAGGAGTGAGTGCAATCTCGAACAATAATGATCAAGAAAAGGAAGGTTGAATCTTGTCCCGTCAAACGTTGCTTTCTCCAATCCGCCTGCATCTATCCTTATCGTTTCATGGCCCAGGGATTGCATACGAACACGAACCGGGAAGACAAGCCTGGGTACGCTCTAGTGAGATGTCGAGGTGAACCGCCCTTTGACAATAATAGATATGCCTTATACGGAAGACTGGAGCGCAGCATCTAGCCGCTCTTAACATCCCAACCCTAGTTCCGGTAATTGTCCGGAAGACCAAGCGGAGCAGCGTGATATATCTCGCGACCATCGTTCAGAAGAAGACTACCCTGGAGCCCGATTGAATCCCCCGAAGAGAAGCTTTCAAATTTCGTTTCGTTGAGTTTGCAAGAGCCCAAGAGTTGTCGAAGGCAGGGACCGCGGCTGTCGTCGAGACACATCTGAAGGTTCAACGATTGCATTCCACGCATGGAAGCACTATGTCTGGGTGAACCGTTTTGATCTTCGAAAACGTCTCTCTCTCCCTATCTCCGACCCTTCTCATGGAAGGGAAGAATTGATTTTTCATTTCCCTTTGGGAGAGTCATGGGTTTTCTGGTATGTTTGTGGCATCGTGCAAAGTCCCTCGGTTCTTCATGGTTCCCAGGAATGAACCCGAGTTCCCATTCAATATGTGTATCGGCCAGTGCGACCAAGCCTCCCCGGAGAGGTGCGGTTCCCTCTCAGTTTGACTTGTTAACCAAATCAGCTAGTTACCATGTCAAAAGCCTGGAATGTTCAAATCTATGTCCGCATGAGGCATCATCCGGGGTGATTTCGTTCTATGTTCTGTCAGCACAAAACTATGGACGGATTCGATAGCTCGACATCCCCTACTGCAGTTCACCTTCAAGCTTACACCTAGCAGAGGTTTGCTCGTCGGGTTGCGAGCCGTTGGTTATGATTTTAACCAGAAGACGGGTCTGCTTGCTGAAAAAAGCTGTCTGTTTATAACCTCCATCTCCCAGAAATCTTTTTAGCTCGGCTGAGAATCTTTCCCGAGACCAAACCAAGCGTGATGGGAATGCTGTAGGCAGAGGCTACCCGTAGCCTCTCCGCCAGCGTCGAATTCCCATTCCTCCAAACCCTGGTCGAAATCCGCCACTATCAACGCGAAATTGGCCGATACCCCAAAGAAATCCACGGTTGTGATACCGTGTTAGGCTGGGAAGGCACGGATTTCATCGGCACAAGGCCATTGTTGTGGGATATTAATATATAAATATTCTTCTTAGGCCTCTTGACTACAGTTTTTAACCGGACTACACACCTGTGTCGGACGATAACCTTGGCCAGATAGAATATCTGACCATGGTAGTGAGGCTACTAATCATGACTAGATAAGGCCTGCTTCGTTTAGCATCATTATTCAAATGAAGCGGAGCGGGAAGGAGGAAGACTGAACGGTCAATACGACATGCTATATTGCTGAATGCATATCATCAGTTGATATAATTTTGTGGGGTTCGTAATGATAATCTCGAGTATGGATGTCTGTCTAAATCGTAAATATTGACCTAGAGCCACATGTATTATGAGCAGAAGCATATGCTGCGATATGAAGTACACCCGAGATACGTTATTCTACAGTAGTCTTGAAACCCAAGTGCCAAATACGTTCAACTTGTGAAGGCAATATATTTGCAATGGTCCCCCTTTTTTCAAAGCGCTAAGTTGGATATCTTTGTCTTGGAGCCGAATTTTTCGTCGGAGGATGAAAGCAATTTTGTCAATGTAGTTTCCGCGTGGGACGTGGAGGAAAAGAAAGGTGACAGAATGCCCGCAATTCAGGAAGTTGAGGACAGCTGTCCAGAGACATAGGATATAGAATACTGCGTTTGATATATGTAGTGGTTGAAGCTTCTGAGTGACCGCTGAAGTCGTGTATGTGGTATCGGCGACAACTAATAGAGGCATACCATGCCTTTGCTTCCGCCCCGTGATTCCATGCCCACAAAGGTGAATGCAATGCAGACGTCCCCAAGTTGATTGCTTGCGAGTCGGAATGAGAGTTACAAACAAGCTCACAGCTTAAACCAACAAGTCAATCGGCAGTACAGTGATCAGCCGACCTTCAAACAAGCGGGACTTCTTTTCTAGGTATGGTTTCCGCAAAACCGACTGAAGTTTCGATATAGACTTCACTTTTAGATCTGTCCGAGTGGGTCCTGGAAGTTGTAGCTATGATTATGCTAATCAGGATGGCCTTTCTTCACATATTATTTATTCCATAGCTACTGAGTCTGACGATATTTTTGAGGTTCATTGGAACGAGTTGCGTCGGAACCATCAGCAGGCGAAGAAAATGGTTCGGCACATAAGTGTTGGAGCCCTATAGGCAAGCTTTCGAGGGAGCCAGCCAAATCTTGTGTCCATTTACAGAGCAAGGAGAGCGGCTGGTATCGATCCATCGGTTCAACCTCGAAAAAGTCCCGCACTGACCGGTTGAGCGAAAGGCAAGGATGATGCAATCAAGCTGAGTGCAAGTTCATGAGTCAGGTGGTCTGAATAGAATTGCTACTGCAGGAACCACCTTTTGCGATGGGTTGGGTGCAGGTAGCCCTCTGCAAAAAGTTGCAACTAAGTTCATGGTATTGTTGCTCATTGGACGTATGAATACCAGCAAACGTTCGATAATGGTGGCTACCTTTGGTCCACGGTCATCGTCGCCCCATTAGCACGAGCCCGAAGAAAAGCTGCTGGAAGTATAACTGGCGGATAACATCGATGGTAGATTCGGAGACTTAACCCCACAATGGCTGTTGTTGTTCTGAGTCTGCAGACATTGGACGAAAGGGCAATGGAGAATCGTATAGAGTAGTTACTAGAGATCAAACCTCAATGGTCAGCAGTGAGAATCGATAGGCTAGGGAGTAACAGGGATGTGCACAGATTTTCGACATCACTGCTTTTTGAACAGAAATCTCAGGACCAGCTGGCTGCGCGGCCTTGAGCAGCAAAGGGGCCAAACGGCATTGCTTGGGAGGTAGATGAATTCACCAGCCGTGATTTTGTTCAGAGAAAGAGGCATGACGGTCCTGAGAGACAGAGCCAGCATCTCACCGTGAGAAATGCGTTGATGTTAATTGGAGAAGAGATCGCCAAAGCGGTGAGATGGTGAGACCAGCTTGTTTGATGCTTGGAGCACATCCCCATCCCTCAACAGGTACCCAGTACCTCCTTTAATTAGCACCATCCACCAGGACCAAAGTATCCAGTACATCTGCAATCTAAGCCCTCTGCACGGACGGGCCACCAAAAAGTACCGTCTTGTATACAGAACTGTATCCCCAGCGCCTCAACCCGCGAGAATTGAATCTTTGTGAAGAGCGCTCTCTGGGATTCTCCCCCCCGCTGTTAGAGTTAACGGCTACCTTTTCTGGCCCGCCAAGTTTCCGGCTGTTTCTTCACTTTTCCGTAAGTCAATCTCGCCGTGTGCTTTGTTCTGTTCCCTCAATTCACTTTCAATCTTCACCCTTGTGCCGGTTCTTTTCCGCCACTTGAGCAAATTTTCTGACCAGCAAGAAAGCATAGACGGCCCTAGGCTCTATATTCCTTCCTCAATTCTTTTGAAACCGTGGCAGACGCGATCTCCTTCAAGCCTTTGCTCTCTGGGGCTTGCCGACGCCGCTCCCCGTCCAATTCTCACCGCGACGAGACCACGGGCTTTTACTTCCGCTGAGGTTGCGTGGTGTCGGGGCCGCCGTTGAACGACAGTTAGCAATGGCGAAGCCGCTGCGTAGCCATCGCAATTCAGGTACAGAAGTCGAGACTCGCGTTTCAGCGCCGGAGAGGAAATCTATCAGAAAGGATGCCTCGCTGCGAGAATGGCTGCTCAGCAATCAGATCGGTAAGTCGGCCCACCTAATATCCAGCTGCATGTTCAGTCATATAACTCGAGAAATCACGTTAGGAATCTCCCTTACCATCCTTACCATGATATTCGCCGTCCACAACCTTTACCCCTCGCTCAAGCCATATACAGTTCCTTTCTTATCTCTACCCCATTACCAACCAGAAAACGGACTCTATGTTCAGGGATCAGACGATGTATACTTTATAAGTAGCTCGGTGGTGGCTCTTGTCGCGATTCGAGCGATATTGATTGACTGGATTTTCCAGCCTCTTGCGCGGTATATGGGGATGAAGCCGAAAACATCATTGAGATTTGCGGAACAAGGATGGTTACTTGTATACTACACTGTATTCTGGTCATATGGATTGGTTAGTGAGCTGAGGCTTCTTGGTTATTATCGCGTCGCTAACATACCTGAAAACAGTACATCTGGACCCAGTCAAAGTACTGGATGGATTTTCGGGAAATTTGGACTGATTGGCCATCGAGAGAAGTACCCGGCTATTTCAAGCTCTATTGCTTGTTGCAGTTGTCCTTCTGTTTACAACAAATCTTCGTTATCAACGTTGAAGAAAGGAGAAAGGATTACTATCAAATGTTGACACACCATATCGTCACAAGCACCCTTCTCGGAGGTGCCTATGTCTACAGCTTCTACAACGTGGCCAATGTTGTCCTCTCTATTATGGACATAGTGGACATTTTATTACCGGTGAGCCGATCCTTCCTCGACGATTGAAGCATCTCACTCTAACTGGTCAACAAAGGCTGCGAAAATGTTAAAATATGCGGCTTTCGAGCAACTTTGCACCATCGCATTTGCTGTCTTCCTAGGCACATGGTTCATTTCTCGCCACGTGATTTATAATCTGTTATGGTGGTCCATTTACCAAAATGTCCCGGAGGTCATGCCCTTTGGATGCTACTCAGGTGCCACTGGTCAGAGGCTTGTTGATGTAATGCCCAATTCCTGGGGTTCACTTCTATACCCGTTCCGAGATATCAAAGGGCCCATTTGCATGAGCTTCCGCATAAAATGGGTGTTTCTTAGCTTTCTTTTCTTTCTCCAAGTTCTTTCTCTACTTTGGTTTGGCATGATCCTTCGCGTCGCAATTAATGTCCTCCGAGCAGGTTCATCCGCAGAAGACACCCGGAGTGATGACGAAGGAGAGGAACCCTCAGAGAACGGAAACGCCCCGAATGGGCAAGAATATCACAATGAGAATGGCTGGAGTAAATCCGTCATGGCTAATGGTTCGTCTCAAAACCACTATCCTGTTCGAATCAGAACCGCACGCGGCCGGGTCACGCTCAGCGACCATAATGACAGAAAAGCCCTCCTTGGCCGGATCGGATGTGACAAACCTTCTTAACTAACCAATTCTTTCTAAAGATTCCCTTTGATTTTCGCTTTTTGAGCATTCGTGGCTGCATCTGCGTCTGGTTGGATTCATGCCGTTGCTTATACCCGTATCGTTTTGTTCTCCGCTTGAAAAATGACTTGATACTGTATCTCCCAAATTCTGTCTCCTTCGGCTAGGCGGGTGCATTCTGAAATTTCCAGACTTTCTTACTTACCCTGTACGAATTAGTAATATGGAATCTTCCCCTTCTGTTCACTTTCTTTTCAAAAAATTGGAGGAGAAAACCTTTGCTCAAGTTTGATCAATTAGACGGACGATATGATTGCCACTGATTTCCTTCTTTTGCTGTCATTCTATTCTTTGGTTTTTTTCTGCTTAACCCTTACTCACCTTTTAATATCGATGGGCGATTTGGTGACTGATCTTGCTGTAAGGTGATATGGGAACAGCTTGAATTCAATCTGCCGCACAATACTGTCTATACCCCGGTGATTCAAGTGGCTAACATCATAACATTCCTATATTTCTGGTATTCGAGCTCAACTGCTGTCCAGGCGTCTGAAGATCCTGACTGCATGTCCTATTTGAGACCTGTAAATACTTCCCCTCAAGCCCGAAGTGTGTACTGTACATACATGACCAAAATGGGACTGGAATAGCAGCTGATAAAGTAACTAAACTCTGATGTCTTTGGACATTACCATGTTCATTTAATAACCGTTGAGTTTGCTTTCACTTGCGGATTCGAGCGACTGCAAAACACGATCCAGAACGAGTTTTGAAATGGCTACCTAATCAGCACATATTTTGATTTAGAGAACCCTGTAACAACCATAGCTACACTAGAACAGACGCTAGAGAGGTTTTATATCTTTGTATCATTTCCATGACAGTAGTATTCCAAAGAGGAGAGCAGGTAGATAGAAGCGGAAAAGTAAGCACTGCATCCTAGGCTCTGCCAACACAATGCCACCTGCTTCGACTAAGAAACCCTCTTGTAGGGCACCAAACTTGAAAAGATGCCTACGGGTCCAGTCTCACTTCGAATTCCTATCGGAACCCGTAGATTTGCCCGGCCCGGTTCCGGTCTCAGTGTCTCCCCCATTCAACTGCATGTCGACAGCCGCGACAATCCCAGAGTCTCCGACTTCCTGGCTTGGCTCCATGACCGCAAGGAGCGACTCGATCTTCCTTTCCACATCGGAGAGATGACGCTCAAGCGCCATAGCTTGTTTCTCGGCGCTAAAAGGAAGTGAGCTTGTAAGCTAACATATTTTCAAGACGAAGCATTCCAGGAAGAGTACTGAGCCCTGAGGATGGGGAGTGTCCAATCTCACTTTGCAAGGTCAATGAAAGCCTAGTTAGATATGTCAATCACCCTAGCCCACTGAGATAGTCATGGGAGCAATGTCGGCCAGGCGAAGAACGTACCTGGGCCAACCCTTCCTCGTCGCTCTTTGCCATCGCGTTCACATTAATGAGGGCAGGCTTCGGAACTCCCAGTATTCAACATATTTAATAGATCCTGGGTGGAATGGTCGGAGCTGCAGGTGCTGACAAACCGCCTCAGCCCAGGAACGGATTTTCATATATGCGGAACCGAACTTGTTGATGTCCAGTATGTAACTACCTACGGAGTACTTGGCTACATTTGGTTTATACAGGCCATGATGGATCAGGATCCTTTCAATGATAGCAAGCAGAGAGTATTGTGCAGCAGAAGATGTCAATGGGACATTCAGGTTTGAACGTGTGGGCTAGTCCGTACAGGGTACATATTTATTCGAAACATGGCTTGCTAGTAAACAGGAGCATCATGCGACTTGAGCTCAAAATCTCTGATCATGCTACCCCCTCATGCCTTGCTTTTCTTTTTCTTCTTCGGTTTCTCTCCTGACTCGACTTTCTCCGGTTTGCCCTTGGCTTCCTTGACCTTTGGATCTTTGGACTTGCGCTCTGTGGCCGTGGAGCCCTTTACCTTGGGCCCTGCTGCCTGAGGAAGCTTTTCTATATCCTCCGCCACGGCGACACTAGTTTTCGTTTTGGGTTTCTTGTCCTTTTTATTTCCTTTGGCTTCAGCCTGACTATCCTTGCTATCGATCATTTTAGTCTTTGTAGAGGTAGATGTAGATTCCTTGGTCTTTTCAGGCTTAAGTGCATCGTCTGTATTGGCAGACCTCTTGCCCTTTGTCGATTTGGTGCTTAGATCCTTAGGTCCCTTCTGCTTAGAAGGTTTCTCCATGCCCTTTGCAGGAGCTTCAATGGCCTTGGGAGCTTCAGTGGTATCGTTATCAATGGCGTTCTGCTCAGCCTCTGCCAAAGTTTTCTGAACGGGGATATCATCCACACTCGTCAGCGTAGGCAAGTCCAGCTCATATCCAATAGCCTTCAGCTTTTCCACTTTCGCAAGCCTCTTGGATTCTTCCTTTCCTATCTTTTTCGACCACTGAGCCCTTGTCCTAGGGGCCTCAAGTTGCTTCTTCTCGATCTGGTTCCACGGTACCTTCTTAAATCGCCTGTTCGCCCCTTTCCAAATTTGCGGATGAGGGTTCTCCATAACCCTGCATTTAAGGATATGACCAAACATGAGGTAATTGTTCATCGTATCAGCGACGATTTTAGCAACCGATTCCGATGCGAATTGAATAAACCCATGGTGCCGCGAGCGACCCGTCGTCCGGTTGCGGGCTAGTCTCAAATATTTTATTTCACCGAACTGGGAGAAATACGCTCGCATTTCGTGCTCGTAGAAACCATGCGGAATTCGCCTATACACCGAGAGAGTATTAGTTTATATCTTGCTAACTGCGCATTTGGGTACCTACCCAACATAAACTGTGCCAGGCTCCTCTGGTTCATCGGTGTGGTTCTTCTTCGCTTTCTTCATTTTCCTCTTGACCTGTTTAGAGTCTGGAATCTGCGGAACGTTCTGTCCAGGCTCAAATCCTTCGTCCTCGGAAGCATCTTCGTCTCCACTGCTCTCGAAGCCCTTGATCAAGTCGAGAATCTGCTCATCTTCACTTTCGTCTTCCTCTTCTACAGGAGCTTCAGTTTGCTTTTTTGGTTTTTTGGCCGGTTCCTTGGTTTCCTTGACCTCTGAGTGTTTCGAAGAGTCGTTTTCAGAGTTGGGGGTAACATCCTCTTTCGCTTTCTTTTTGGCGGGTTTCACGGGTTCAGTTGTGGCTTGCTTTGAACCTTTTGCCACAGATTCTCTATCTTTCGGAGTACTATCCTCGTCGTCACTGAGGAAATCGGCTGCGCGCTTCCGTGGTTTGATCTCGCGAGCCGGCGCACTGTCTAGTTTGAGTGGTTTCGGGGTCTCGCCATTAGTGACGCCCTTGGGCTTTTTATCCTTGGGAGCGGTCTTTGGCTGGGCCTCGACCGGGACCTTTAAAGGTTTTGTAGGTTTTGTAGGTTTTGCAGATGCTCGTTTGGATTTTTTTGACGGCGGATCAGTTTCGACTGCGCTGGAGCTTGAAGCAGCTGGAGACGGGTGTTAGTGACGGTCAATAAACCAGTGCAAAATCCACAAAATACCTTTGCGCTTCTTGTCTTTCTTTTCGGCAGCCATTGGACCGTCAGCGTGTAAAATTCAAGCCTGGAGAGGTTTGGATTTTTTGTATTTTCCTTCAGTTTTTTATTTTTATTTTTTTCTGCTGGCACTTTGCGCCAAGACTTCGCTCGTGCCAAGACAGCATGCAAACAAAACAAACCAGGGAGCTCCATCTGCTGCTCTCCGCCGCCCTGGACTTCACACGAGAACATCAGTGCGTGGACCATGGGCAAGCGAAAGAGGAGCAAGAAGGACAGGCCCTTGACGCATGCTGAGATATGGGATGACTCTGCGCTGATCGAGTCTTGGGAGGCGGCTGCAGAGGAGTACAAAGTAAGTTTCTCTTCCGCAAACATTAGGTTGCTTCTGTCACAAACATGGCTTGCAACCTCTGACATGCCGTGTTTCATCAGCTCTATCACTCCATTCAAGCAAAAGGAGAAAACGTCCAAGATGCTCTCCAGGAATATGAGGCTAATCAAGCTGCAAAGGCAGCTGAAGAAGGGAACGGGGATGAATACGTCGAGGAGGCCGGTGCCACTGCTCAAGGAGCCGGCTTGAGCACACCCGCGGCGCCTGGTGAGATTTTGGAAGAAGAGGAGAACGGGCAAGAAGAGGCAGACTATGCACCACAAGTATGGGTCTTCTCATGTTTCTTCCCCGATTTCCTGTCAATCACAAGCTTGCAAATGTGCCCATGAAATATATGTCACTGCATATCGAAGTGAGGTCTAACCCTGCCAAACAGGAGCCGGCATTAAAGCGGCCGCGTCAGGACGAGGCTCAAAACGGTGCTCCCATCAACCAGCCTGAAGCTAACCAAGCAAACGGGACATTCACGAGCATTCCGCATGCAGCCTTAGGGACAATCACCGCACCCAATGGTAAGCCAGGCCGTTCCAGAGTCCATTCTAGATTGATCTTTTTTCGCAGTGTACTAATTAAGTCTCGGTGTTTCGGCGGACAGGCCAAGAGGATGAAGGTTTGAAGAACCTGATGACGGCTTGGTATTTCGCCGGATATTACACGGGGCTCTACGAAGGGCAAAGGCGAGCAAGCCAGCAACAGTAGCTTTGAGCCACTCTGTCTGTATTTGGAATCGGGCCCACAGCCTGAATGCCAGGTTTAGTAAGTCGTTCGATAAATGCAGAGTATTTGAGACAGAAACTGCGCCGCATGAGGGGCTCAAGTCCCAAAAGAGCATTATTTTGGAATCTTATTCATGTCGATTTCCGAAAGCGGGCGTGTTCAATCTGGTCAAAGTGGCTTGGGGTTTCATTTTGGGGAAAATGCCATGCGTCGGCGGAATGACAGGGACAGCTCGACGTCCTGTGTGGCCCAAGCAATCTGATCCCGCCTTTGAGGATCCTGAGTTCGTTGTGACGTATTCTTGCTCTAAAATCTCCGAGTCGCTTCTGCTGCCAGCTCGATTCCGCATGAGCGATACGCAAATCGCGCTCATGATATTAAAAAACGGCTTGGCCGGAAACCTGGATTTTCAGCAGCAATAAATTAATGATTCTTCTATATTTGTTCAATTTCTTGTTGGGCTGCCATCGCGGTCCCTTTGTCGTCGAGGTGCGTGCTCCTTACACCCTGAAACAGGGAGTGTGGTAGCGTGAGACTATCGCGACACACCCTCAACTTCACCAACGTCAGAGCTCCCAACTTCAATTCTCCGAGATCTTCCCTAAAAGCAAAGATATCATGCCAACCAAGATCTTTTTGGCTGAATGTGGTACCTTGGCTGTCTGATGTGAACATGTCTAGCCGTCAGTTTAAGACAGGATGTGTTCCAACATCGAGAATCGGGAAAGCCCCTAATTTAATGCTACATTTAACAATGGACAATTCCCCCTGCGATAAATCTGCCCTCGTCTCTGTTCTTTTCTTCCTCATCCCAGGAACGAGAATCACTTGTGGTGCGACGTCAGCTTTTTCTCATATTCATTCTTTTGTTACTGGGCTGGATTCCTTTCGTTCTAATACGGCTTGTGCACTATCTTGACGCCACGAGCAGGTTCTCAAGTTTATCAATACTTGTCTCTCGATTCTTCTCTCTCACAACAGCTTTAGACTGGTATATATATTTCCGGAACAAGATCCTTCGCTTCTGTCCATCGGCGTCTTTGCCCTTGATCTCATTATTTTACATTCCCGTTACGACGATCAAATTACGAAATATGACTCGATTACTCCCTCTGCTTTCGCTGGTTGCCGCGGCAGTAGCTTCATCCCATGAAGGCATGGGAGGCGAAGGTATGGTAGGTGGTGGCAGTTCGCTGCCATTCAACCTGCCAACTGGCAACGAGAGTCAGCTGAGTGCAGGAGGACAAGTCGGTGGAGAAGTCCAACTCGGCGGTGGAGGCCAACAAGGCCAGCACGGTAGTGAAATTCAGCTCGGCGGTGGACAACATCTACAGCCTGGTCATTCAGGAAACGGGGGTAAAGGCATTGTCAGAGGTGGTGGCGGTTCCAACGTCATCACTGTCACCATCATCACCACAAATAACGGCGGTGGTGCAAATACGGAGGTGTGGAATAAGCCTCCAATGCAGCAAGGAACAATCCATCAGGTTCGCAATCCCATTGAGCTCAGAAAATATCTTGGAGTTGGACTTCCACTAATAGCCTCTAGGTCACCGTTGGAGGCGATGCAGGCCTTGTGTTCACACCCGAGACACTCAACCCTGCCATTGGCGACATGATTCATTTCAATTTCCAATCCCAGAACCACACAGTCACGCAATCCACGTTCGATAGCCCGTGTGCTCTGATGCCAGGCGGTTTAGATTCTGGGTTTATGCCCAATCCCAACAACACTGTGAATCCGCCACCAACGATGATGTTCCAAGTTACGACCACGGAACCAATCTGGATGTACTGCAAGCAAGGCCCGCATTGCGTGCGGGGTATGGTCTTCAGTCTCAACCCTACTGCTGAAAAGTCCCATGAAGAATTCAAGAGAAAGGCTATGGAGTCCGGCGGCGAGGGCGGAGCAGCTCCACCACCACCGCCACCAGAAGCTCCACCTGTTGAACCACCCGTCATTGGAGAGACACCCACGTCCTCCGTCGAAATTCCCATTGGCACTGGAGTTCCTGGAATCGGTGAAATTCCAATTGGAGGAGAAGGAGGCCAAGGAAACCAAGGAGGCCAAGTTGTTCCTGGCTCTGGAAACATGGGAGATGGTGCTTGCTCTTGCTCCTGCCTCTGCGGAGCTTCGGAATTCCCTCCTGGCGCGGGTCTAGGAAGCACTGGCGGCTTTGGAGGTATGCTTCACGGTCCAAGGAGATGACACTTTTCCCTTTACATAGGCTAACGTTTGATGATTAGGTTCTATCCCAATGGCTCCCGCTCGGAAGCGAGCCGTTCTTTTTTGGTACTGAACACTTGAGCTCTATTTGATGGTTCTACACCCTGAGGGCCATCGCTATTAGGACGCGACTAAATACCCCCCCTCTTTCGACGAGTTTGTGCATGGCGTCTTTTTGTATATTTTCTTCCTCATATTTTGAATGTTGAACATTCCTTGCCTCTTCTTGGAAGTTTCTCTTGTAATATCATTGACGGACGGAATGCAGTTACTTTTCGTTCACGAAAATCGGGTTGAATTATGAAACCGAACCGCTACTTTTCCTCGCATGCTGTATGCAAATACGTGATAATATGGCCACAGAAATCAAACATTACTCTGCCAAAAGGATAAGCTCTTCCAATTGTAAACGTATCTAAGCTATGAACCTATATATTTATTTTTTCTCGAGTGGCGTTGAGACCCTCTAATATCTCTAGCAGAAGCCGACAGGTTAATGTCATTTGATTGAAATGTTTGTCACTCATTCCATGTCATGCCTTATGCGAGAAACGGCAGACGTAAGACGAGAAGGACCAAGAAAATTGTAAAATTGTAGAAATTTCAATATTGGCATACTTTTGACCTCGATAGTCACGGAAAAAAGGGACAAACGAGACTTCGATGATGCCGCGCTGCAAAGGGCACGTTACATATTCCTTTTGCATAGTTGACCCAGTATAAGTATCGACGCATTATGTGTTCGATCTGGAAGCACCAATGGGGAGTTTCTTTTTTGAAAGCAATGCCAACCGTCGTGCGTAACAGATTGAAGTCCCAGTATGAATTGTCGATAGAGCCTAGGTTAGTATTCTCAATTTGCTTTGATAGTAGGTCAGGTGGTGAAATGGATGCACGGATTTCAGTCATTATGGTGGCACCACCACGTGCATGTTGCTTGCCTCAACAATAACAGTCTGTGTGACGTAATCATTGTTCCTGGATAGAAATGAAATTCGTCCAAGGGGATCAAAGTAAACAAGATAATATATCCAAAAGCGAACCCACCAATGTTCATTGACCACGTGGTGGAAAGGCTGGAATTAGAGGGAGTATGTTACTCCCCCTACCAGTGCTCTCTCCGCCCTATGTATGTACTTTTATATAGGTAGTTACCAAATATGATAGCACCTGAATCCTTTGATTAGACCTTAAGGTCTGCAGCAGCAGTATTTATGAGCTAGATGTTTTTGTGAGCATGGAGAATCAACTTTGGAATGGGATGCATCTCACATCTATTTTATACGGCTCGAGAGCCTTGTCAACTTCCTCAGTGATGAATTTCTCGACTTGTTGCGGCGCCCTTCCAGTGAAGCTACTTGGATTTAGAAGTCCATCGAGTTCATCAAGAATGGGCGCGAAAAATGGTGTCCGTTTGATACGTTCGATGAGGTCATTTTGCCCGCCCTCGTTCTTCACGACGGCTGCAGCTTGGTGAGATAGCACTCGAATTTCCTCATGACTCTCTTGACGGCTTACGTCATGGCGAGCCAATGCCATAATGATGTTCTATAATTGAATTAGCTAAAGCCTCCGAAAAGTAGAAGAGCAGGAATCATGCGATTGAGAATACCTCGGTGGCCATAAAAGGAAGTTCTGCTGCAACCCGGGACGCAATGACCTTCTCATATACGACCAAACCGTTAGAAATGTTGTCCAACAATATGAGACATGCATCCGCTGTTAGGAACGCCTCCGGGAGAGTGATGCGACGATTGGCAGAATCGTCCAAACTGCGCTCAAACCACTATATTTTGTGAGCTTAGCCTAAATACAATATCTCACGACCCATACCTGAGCAGCGTAATTGGTGAGACCATTTTGGGTTAAGCATTGGAGGTGGCGCCCAAGAGAACAGAGACGCTCTGAGCGCATCGGGTTTCTTTTCCAAGTTAGAATGTATTTTTTACTGATTCAACAGTTGTTGTTAGACGAACCTCTTATATGCCATTGCTGATGAACCGATTTGGTCCTTTTCAAAGGGCTCTTCCATCTCTTTCATCGCAGCCAAACGACGGATATCGCCACCAATGCGTTCACTACAGGAGACATTAGAGTGAGAACAACGCACAATTGTGGAAAGGATAATTACCAGGTGGCCCCAAATTCTCCCAAGTAGTTAATGATATTTGTATCAACTTTCCTGGTATAGGTTTGGGATGTGATCGTGAAAGCCTTATGAAAGCCGGCCTTTTCCGTCACAAGTTGGTCAAGCCGTTCAACAAGCTCATGCTGACCCTGGAATATCTGGAGAAAGGACGCCTGAGTCCCTGTGGTACCTTTACAGCCTCGGAACCATGAAAGAAGTGATTTCTTTGCATGTTCAAAATTTTCGAGATCCTGTAACATAGTCAGTATACTTCAAACAATTTCGTCAAAGCCCCATACCATAAGTAGATCTGTGATGAAGAGACACATTCTTTTGCCTGGTTTCATGTTAATGTTCCAGTCCCCTCACCGTTTACATGCATTTATCGGGAGAAACCTACCGACCGTAGTGAGTTGTGCCGGTTGCCCTAGCGACAGGGTTAGCGATATTTGTGTGAGCTGTGTCGAAACAATGCTATACCATGAGTGTATGCTAAACAAGGGAGGTCTTTATACTGCTTTGCGAACTGTGACAGTCTCGCAATAACCGTAGCCAGCTTCTTTGAAAGGATATCCAATCCATCTCGAAGGAAAATTCTGAGTCCTGTTAGAAACTCTTTTTGGCAGCAATCGAATGTGTTCTCACAAGTCGGCATTGTCGGTGACATAGCACGAGGTCGCACCGAGGTGAATGATGGGAGCAGCGGCGGGGCAGGTTTGTCCATAGACCTATAGGGACATCATAAATACTAATGTCCTTTCCAACTATATAATGGTATCCATACGTGGACGTGCGCCATCACATCATGTCGCCTGCGCTTCTCTTCCACAGCAGCATCAGCAAGCTCTTGGTCAGTAATGGTCTGGTGAGCCCGCAACTGCTCCAAAGCTTCATTGGAAATATTAATTCCCAATTCCTGTTCGGCCTCGGCCAGCCATGTCCATAATTTGCGCCATGTTGAAAACCGTTTTCGCGCAGAGAAGAGATGCTTCATCTCCGTGCTACAGTAGCGGGTATTGAGGGGCGATTGGTAAACGTCGAACTCTGAGGAAGACATTGTGGCAGGAATAACGCAATTGGACCTAGGATAGATGTTCAACCAACCGCTCTTCCCGGTCCGCAATATAGCTTGTCGAGGTCACGAATCGCACAGGACATAAAGGTACCCCAAAAGGCGATTTCAGAGCTGTGGAAGCAGACTTGGGAAAAGGAAGAAAAAGATGAGTTGAGGTTCACTCAATTTTGTGCTTCACTAGACCTATTTGGGCTTAGTGTCTGTGACTTGCTAAATCCAGTTAGCCCATCGAGCCAACCACAGCTTATCTAAGCCTCCCTGCAAAGAACAATAGTGATAGCTCTGGTGGACAAGCAGCATTAACCAGGTTAGGGTGACGCAGGATTTTGTTGTCGGCAGCTTGTAGCTTGAGGGGGTTGATAAAATTGTAGAAGTGCTGCCTCGTGATGGACATGGCTGGCCGAGGCCGAACAGGAATTGGGAATTAATATTAGCAGTGAAGCTTTGGAGCAGTTGCGGGCTCACCAGACCATTAGTTACTGACAAAGATGCTGCTGTGGAAGAGAAGCGTAGGGAGCATCTTGAAAATTATTATCGAATATTAACTTCGGTCTACTATAATATCAATGATTGTTGGTTTTTGCAGCCCGTTATCTCTGGCGGTACATTGGTTTTTATTTTACAAGGGCAGCTCGAGGTACTCTCCCGAATCTAATATAAATACTCCGCACAAATGAATCACCTAGGCCGAGCAACTCATATTAAATCCAAGCACCTTCGAGAGTAGCTGCTCTTTACAGAGGCTTCACCCTTAAGAGTAGCTGAAATACTCTTACTCGTGTTGCAGCCCGTTCTCTGTATGTATATTGAATTATCAACTGATTTTGACTACTCCCTCCGCGTCAACTTCAAGGAGAATCGCTCAAGATTCCTTCCATATTATTAGAACCAACCCAGTAGATTGCGCGAGGAATATTGTCTCTGCTTGCTGGGAGTGAAGCCGATTTCCTCACTAACTAGTTACACATCTCTCTCAGCATAACTTTGAATCATGCCCTCTAGAGTCGGCTCGTATTCCTTCAACATCACCTTATCGCCCTCTAACACGGTATTTGCCTGCACAAATACCTTGCGAGGGACCTTTTTCTGCAATACAACTGGCCGGACTTTCTGGCCCCACCATTCATCCACAGCCGTGATTCCATCGTACAGCTTTTTCCCTTCTCCAAAATCCGCTGTGGATTTGTAAACGTGGAGTTTCTGTAAGTACTTCTCGACGGCGGGACGTCCATGGGTCAAAATCTTGGACCTGTCAAGGTGAATTTCGAGATCTGACAGATCGGCCTGACTGTGTTTCAATTGAACAAAGTCGCCCCCGGCATCGAGAAACGTTCGAAGGATACTGAATCGTGCTTGCATATGCGCTTGTCCCCACTTCTGGCTCTTTGGATCCCAGAATTCTAAAGCCACGACACCGGCACGTGCCATTGTCAAGTAGCTCGCATAAAGCACATCTCCTGCCTCGCCGTTAAGGTCTTCTTTACCATTTCCGAAGCCAAAAAGCTCCAGAATACCGAAATCGCAGCCGAGGGCCATGGCAACGCATTCTGCACGGCATTCCTCGTATGATGAAGCGATGGACCCAAAAACGGAGCTCCAGGTCTGTCCGGGCTTGTACCATGTTGAAATGGGTTTGTTTGTGATGGGACTTAGAGGAGGATTGGAAATATCGAAATTGTATTCACCGGGAGCTGTCTCCTGCAACAATTTACCGGTACCATGCCCTAACAATTCGTGAATACCTACTTGAACTTCGAATGCAGGATCTCGATATTTCCGAAAGAGTTCCAGATCTTGCTCGCGGATAAAGGGTATCGGTTCGTTGGGGGCTTTTGCACTCAGAACATTTCCAAGAGAGACGTTCTTGAAACCCAAATTCTGACGAATATCATCATAGTTGGGAATGTTGATTCCGGCGGGGATACCACTTCCGGCAAAGGTCAAAACTTCTAATGAAGTAAAATCAGGGCTATGGAACTTGTCCTTTTCGAAATCTTTGCCCCATGGTAATTTTGGGATAAAACTTTCGGCCTTTGCGACTAATTTGCCAAATGCTTTTGTCCGATCCTGGTTGACCTACAAATTGTTAGAGAGGCGTAAGGTTCGGAATGGGAGTCGGAACCAACCATGGCAGCAAAGCCTTCCCACTCTCCACGAACGCCATGGGGATCGCGATATGTTTCCACGAACCCTAGGTCTGACTCCACCATTGGGCCTTTATCTTTAATCCAAAATCGCTGGCTTTCCTTAAATGCTTCAAGTGACCCCGTCCTAAATGATTTGGCGTATTCATCATACATTTTCTTTTGGATTTCGTTTGCGGCATCCAGACTAGCTTGCTTGGAGCTTTCTTCAATCTTCGCCATTTGCTCGGCATAATCACCATAAATCAGAGAAAGATGCTTCCCTTGGAGCTTCCCGTCCAAAGGCCATCCGTTCACATCACCAACATCACGATCGCTGCCGGCAGGGTTCTTTTGCGCCGAAGCAATGAGGAGCTCAAAATCGCCATTTTTGGTCTTTCTTAGTCTCGTGTTTTCAAGTAGCAGCTTCTTTTTCTCTAGGAAATCACCGACCAAAGTGATTTCTTCTTTTGTAATGGTGGGAGAATCGGGGTAGTATGTTGTCATATGGCCATCTTCTGGGAATCCCAAATGCATAAGAGGAGGGGATGAAGTTTCATATATACCGCCGCCAGATTTAGATGCCGTCTCAAAGGCATCTTTGGTAGCTTGTGTTATGGATGCCAACTGTTTGAATATGTTTTCCGGGATCCTAGGGATGAACTTGGAGTCTCCAAAGCCCTTGTAGTTGCCGCAATTTCCTAAGAACTGCGCTGCATACTCCAAAAAGTGTGTTACTTCCTCTTGGCTAACTCCGGTCTTTTCACCAAGGGATTTCCAGTTACCGTTACAGGCCCGGTAAAGGGAAATGATGAGATCGTAGATTGGCTCGGATTCAGGAGAAACCTGACGAAGAGTGATCCTCGTACCTAAGAACGCAGCTCTGTGGCATTCTTGATCGTTAGCGCAGCCCTTGACACAGATCAAACAATTCGAAGGTGCGGAGGAGTGAACAGAAAAAGAAATAGTTAATATTGAAAAGTACAACGACAATATGAGATGGACTGATGCTAACACGAAGAAAAGCAAAAGGGGAGTAGGAGATACGCCATATTCTCCACCATCGCACCAGAGCACCCCTTCCAACTCACCTGCTAATGAAATGGGCATATCTTTTTAATTTCTCGTCTGGTAACGCTTCGAAGTGCGGCTTGATTTCAAGCCTGACGACAGTCGGCGGAGAATCCGCGAGGTACTGCTCCTTCGTTTTGGTGTCCATGCTCGGAAAGCAACTAGGTATTCCACTGATTACGGAGGTGGGGTTTGATTGGGTAGAGGACGCAATGCCTGAAGATAATCTGGTAAGAGATGACTGTATGTGCGGGAAACGAGCTGAGGATTGGGCTCTGAGGCGGTGGTAAGTGAATGAGGAGCTGGTGGCCTGTTTGATAGAGGTCCACGAGCTGCGAAGAGGGGTCATTCCCTCGAGCCAATCGCGCCTGCAAACGAGCGACACGGAAGGTGCAATGACGTGAAGACTGCGGGGGAAAGAGCGGCCTCAGTTGCATTCTGGCCCAAAACAGCTTAACTTGTGAACTGGCTGGGTTTTAGTGGCATTTGCCTATTGTTTTCTATTCTACAGAAGCATGGAGCATCAATGATCAGAGTCGTACCGAGGTGGATGTAGTTTGCTTTCTCTCTGAATTTTTCTGAATTTACAAATCCAGCTACTGCTAATCAATCGCAATCTATCATGGGGCCTCAAAGCAAACTCTCATATTTGTCAAGTCCCTGACCTGGTCGACCCCCAGGCCTCAATGGCAGTTGGTTGTGCGACGGGAGCCCGGAAACGTGGTTATTATTCAATGCCCCAAGCCTGGGGGGAGGAGGTATCGATAGCGAGGCGGGTTTGGGGCCCATGGAAATGGATGCGGGAGGAGGAGGTATCGTGAACATTGAATTCGCTTGCTGAGCTGTCTGCTGTAGAGGGGCCATTGTTGATGGCGCTAAGGGAATAGAACTCATAGGTAGCTGCGAAGGCTTTAGTCCTGTGGAATTCCATGATGAGGGGGCCATCTGCAATTGATTCATGGAAGTGGAAACTTGTCCGCTAGTAGGTTGCAACGCTGGAAACGAGCTGATTTTGGTATCCGGTGTGATGGACCGTTGGTTGGAAGCTGGCATTAAGTTGTTTGAGGCTGAAGACCACGAAAATTTAGGGGCAGTGTTGGCTAACGTAGACTGTGCGGAGGGCGAAGGGCTTAGGCCCCAGTTATCCAGAGAATCCTCGGCCTTTACGCTGCGGTTCTTTCCTAGAACAAGGCGCTCAAAATCCGCGCCTGGGCTTCCCAACCCGTTGGTATCAAGGCTGGCTGGCATTCCAAAAGGACTCGAGGTGTTGTCCCGAGAATTATCGGCATTATTCGACGACAGCTCTTGGAGCTTCTTGGTCTGCTCTCTTTCGATACGAGATGAGAGTGATTTGATCAGGCCCATGTAACCGCTGAATTGCTGGACGTTAAGTAATGGTCCTAAGCTGAACATCCACATAATCGGAAGGACTTCCAGAGCTAAAAAGTCTGTATCCACAATCTGGCCAATTTCCCTGAACACCTTCAGAGCCGCCATCATTACCGCGGGTTCTTTGGTCTTGATGGCTTTCAAGAGTGGAACTACCTTTTCCTGGATGGTGAATTTGTCAAGTATGGATCTTGAACCAGAACTGGGCGAGCGAGATTCGCTCACATTGCCCGAGAAGTCGTCTGTGGAAGCCATGGAGTCCGTAGCGCCGCCACACAAGATCACGAAAGCCTCCAAGCCACGTATTTTGATTGTCAGGCTACTCGTTTTACTAAAAACCAGGGCGATAGGAGGAAACACTTCATCCTTAACAGTTGAGAAATCAAGGACGGGAAGCATAGCCGGGAGACATCTCAAAGATGCATCAACCAGGGTATGGGTAGGGGATTCCAGACCTAGATGGATTAGAGGCCAAACATCTAGGAGGATTGGTTAGTTGACTGGATCTGGACGCCTCTTTCAGGTACGCACCCTCTTTGAAATCTTTTCCGGAGCAGTTATCTGCTAGCAGCTTTATATTTTCCAAAACGACCATAAGGCCTGCCTCTTTACCAGTGTCTCGATCCGCTGCGCCACCTTTAGTACCTGGAGAGGCCAGTAATGATTTTAACTGAGGAATCACTCTGTCTGGCACAACACGGCGTCCGGACGGAAGTTTGTTGATAATTTTGAAAACATTTTGCAGGATAAGTGGCAAAAGCTCACGATCTTTCGCTTCATCTAGCAACGCTGGGAGTACTTTTTTTTCCAGGACAGAACTAGGAAATTCCGGTAGAACACGCTCGAGACCCCGCATAAACTGGGATTTCTCATTTGGTGTTTTGGCAGGAAACGACTCCAGGAATCGGATGGTAGACACAAGAACATTATCAAAATATTGCGCCTGTTGAAATTCACGGGCATTCATACGTTGTGCCGGCCTTCTCGTTATTAATCTTGGAAGGACCTCAGTCAGAAGACTTCTTGGAATTGGTCGAGAGCACTGGAATGAGTTGCTCTGAGAAGGGATGGTCGAGGAAGACGATAAGAGTTTCTTGTACGTGTTGATAGTATGGTGGGATTGGATAGGGGAGGTATGTGGTGAATTGTACAGAGCAATTATAATTAGTCCAAGGGAGAATAGATCGGCTGCAGCAGAAACGTTGGAGTCAAGGACGAAATCCGGTGAGGAGTAGTCCAAATCCAGCTGGACCGAATAGGGAAGCTGATTGTCATAATATAGAATTTCAGAGAGCGCAAGCGGAGGTAACGGAGACGTCGTTTGGGGATCAGTTGGCCCAGCAAATGCAAGGCCAGATATTTTCCAATCAGATTTGGAGTTGATATAGATGGCATCGGGCGTAAGGTTACCATGAACCAAGCCGGCAGACTCGTGCAAGAACTCCAGGCCTTTGCCAATTTGAAGTAGTCCCTTTTGAATTTCAAGCTCATCCATGTCGATGTCTCGCCTGCTTCTCGAACCATTAGGATCCTCAACTACAAATCGGCTTGATCGACCGCCGACACCACTGGCCCTCTCCTGATCATCTTTCTCCCGTAACACGCCGGCCAATGACGCGGTCAGAGGCTCAGTAACGAACATCAAGCTCCATTTCGAGTCTCTTCAACTGGTTCCAGGATCTGGAGAATAGAGGGATGTCTCAGTCTGGCAAGGTTGGATGCCTCTCGCTTCAAACGCTCAATCACCCCTTCGTGCAGTTTTTTGAGGTACGAGGAGCTGGAGCGTGAGCCGAAACCACCCGCCCGATGCTCTAATGATTTCCGGTCAAAAATAAAAACAGAGGCCGGGGCTCCGGTGCTTTTCTTCTTCCCGTCATGGACTTTCCAAGGCCCGGAGATAAAGGAGGGGGTTTGAGAGATTTGATAATTGGCGGAAATATTTGAGCTAAATGATTTCAGAGCAGAGGAAAACATGATGGCGCAAGAAGAAGTATAATCATGTATGCAAGAGAAATGTGTTAAGTATTCGCTGGAACCATAAGCCCATCTATATCAAGTCATGTCAAAAAAGGAGCTGAAAAGCAAGTTCACCCGACGAGGAGGCGGAAGACATCATTCCATTGAAGACGGAGGAATAAGAGTATCGCCAACTGTGAATGCTAGTGCTTGTTCAAGGCATCAATCTCCGGAAGTTCAACATACCTTATCCGTACTGCTGTCTGGGGATATATCAAAGCAGCAAGTTAGCAGCATCACCGAGCGCGGGTTAATGGCCCGGGTCGACGCGGGCGGACCACGTGACATAGAGGCTCGTATTATGTAATGCTACACGCTAGGCTGCTTCCGGCTAGTGTCTGGGGCTCCGGTTTTGCTCCGAGCCGCGATGCCGCGCCGGCTTCTGATTGGCTCGCGATTGATCATTCAAAGGGCGGAAACCTGCCCTTCACAGTCCGGCGCCGCCGTTAAGCGCTCGCTCTCTTTGGCAAACCGCTCTCAGTGCGTCTTCTTCGAGTCATCTAGCGTCGCTGGAGGTCAAATTGGACACCTCTCCACTCCAAAATCCTTTCCTCTCCGCTTTCACCTCTTTTGCCGCTCTCTCTGTGTCCGCGCAGTTGCCAGATTTGCTCCCAGTCATAGTCTTCTCAACATGAAGCACCTCCTTCGACTAGGCCGGACGAGTACGCGATCGTTTCCCGGTTGCCCCTCCCATTCTCCCTTTTTACGATATAGCCTCAATGCCACCTGGCAACGGTGCTACAGCGCCTGGCAGCCGCCAAGCAGAAGTGAAGGGCTCCCAGATATCGATGCTTCGAAGCTCACCGTCACTAAAACCGCTAATTCGAAGCAACTTTTACCCCCAAAAGAACTTATTTTCGGTTCTACTTTCACAGGTTTGACCTCTATCAAATCCAATGGAGGATGCTGCTAATCTGCGTTGCATAGACCACATGCTCCAGGTGAATTGGAATACCAAAGACGGGTGGCTTGCGCCAGAAATTATCCCCTATCAAAACCTTAGTCTTGACCCGGCCACTTGCGTCTTCCACTATGCGTTCGAATGCTTTGAAGGAATGAAAGCCTATAAGGGAAAGGATGGTTCGATCAGATTGTTCAGGCCAGATAAGAACATGGCGCGACTCAACAAGTCTTCGAAACGTATTGCATTACCGACCTTTGATGGCAACACCATGATTAAGCTGATTGGTGAATTGGTGAAGCTTGACAGCAGATTCATTCCACAGTGAGTCTTTGCTCCCGTGGGTCTCTTGCCTCAAAAGTACCCTGCTTACCAGTCTACTAGGGAACGTGGCTACTCCTTGTATCTCAGACCTACCATGATTGGTACTCAGAAGACACTTGGTGTTTCGCCTCCAGGCTCAGCCATGCTTTTCGTCATTGCAAGCCCTGTTGGTCCTTATTATCCTACCGGCTTCAAAGCTGTGTCCTTGGAGGCCACAGATTACGCCGTTCGTGCCTGGCCAGGGGGTGTTGGGGACAAGAAACTTGGAGCAAACTATGCGCCCTGCATTGTTCCACAGCTTGAAGCTTCAACCCGTGGGTTCCAGCAGAATCTCTGGCTTTTTGGCGAGGAGCAGTACTTAACCGAAGTTGGCACCATGAACCTCTTCATCGCATTGAAAAACAAGGAGACTGGCCAGAACGAGCTCATTACACCTCCGTTGGATGGCACTATTCTGGAGGGTGTGACGCGTGACTCTGTGCTGACCCTTGGCCGTGAGAGGTTGTCTCCTAAAGGCTGGAAGGTCCATGAGCGCAAGATCACTATGGCGGAAATTGCGCAGGCAGCAGACGAAGGCCGACTGATTGAAGTTTTCGGTGCCGGTACTGCCGCCATTGTCAGCCCCGTTCGCAATATCAGCTGGAAAGGACGCCTTGTCGACTGCGGGCTGAAGAAAGATGAAGAGGCAGGCAAGGTTGCGCTTGATATGAAGAACTGGATCGAAGGAATCCAGTATGGTGAGGAAGATCATCCATGGAGGTAAGTCATTCCTAAAAGAGCTTCATTGATTTGAACCGGGGTTAATGATTTCGTAGTGTTAAACTGTAGGAGGGTATTTCACAACTGGTGAACAAAGATAAATGACCTCTGGATTCGGGCGGGTTTTTGATAGCGTGCCTTGTCGTCGATTTTGTCTCCACAATATCTGATCTAGATTTCGGTTTGCGCTTGGAGGCGTCAATTATAGACCCAGATAAGCTTTGATTTCCATACGTTTGAACGCTGTCCGTCCTCGAACAGTGATCTGATATTGTGCCCGTCCTAGGTCTCTAGTCAATATAAAAAGCACATGATAATAGTCTCAGGGCGACTCGATCCAAGAGTATGTAATGTTCTTTCTCTTCTCACAACAGGAACAACGATACCCTCATGTGCATACCGACAACATCGGGATGAGTGCTGCTTGTTTCATGTTTCAGGGGCACAGCTAAAGCACAAACTTGATTGCATGCATCTTCAGTCCAGTGTAAACCCATCTTGGCTAGGGCCCTTTTTTATCATTTCCACTCACCGCTCATTCATGGCCACTAGAAAAAGTTTAGCCATCGCAATCCCGCCATCAATTCCAAGTTTCATCAAAGTGGTATTTACATGCGGACAAGATCATTCTTCTCGAATCCGAGGCGGCTCAATCACCACAAGTAGGAAGTCGCTTGGACATGCCATCCTAGTTCATTGAGTGGAGACCACAGACAGGCGGTCTTTGCCTCTAAGCAGAAAATTGGAATGAATATCTTTCGAATTTTGAACCGTGGGGCAGCCAGTATCCTTGGAGCATGTCCCTCCATGCTTCTCAGCGTTATTCAACACGGGAAATCTAGTTAGCCTTCCAAAGCATCGGGGGGGGGACTGAGCCCTCGTCAAAAGGCGCATCGATGACTAACTAAACCGCAAGAAGAAAAGCGCCCAGATTAATTTCGTGGGCGGGCCTGCTGCAAGACTGTGGCTCAAGGCGGTTCGTGCGATGCCCTCAAGACCGTTTCTCGAAGGCTGAGTTTTGGCTCCCACTGTTTGGGGCTGTTGACTTGCGCTAGTTAGCAAGTTAGTTAACTACGTGTGTGGGGAACCGGATCCCACAAGTTGACAGCGACGGACCGGTGCGGCCCTTCAAAGGCGTGGGTGAGACTTCAGTCGTGCGTGCCTATTATTATTGATTCGTGCACAGTCGTTGTGGCCTGGAGATGCGGAATGATCCAGAGGACCAGAGCTCAAGGTACGGAGTTTAGATAGTTAGCCACAATCTCCACCCAGCAATCTCCGACGATGTTGGAATCCGGCAAAGTAGAAGCGCCGCCCGCCGAAGCTCTGCACCCAGGATCATGGGTTGTTTTGGGAGTGCTAAATTTAATATTGGCAGGGGAGTTGCATGGATTCTCCAAAATGACAAAATGCAGCCAAGCATTCCTCCGTACTCCGTACAATGGGATTAATATTCATTTTAGTCAACGCTGATAAATATAGAATAGTATTGAAGTTGAGAACCTCTCAATGAACACGATGCTGTACTACTTCTTTCCATTTGAAGGAGAAACTCCATCCGGCTTTCTAATACCAAAATAGAACACCAGTTGATGCAAAATATCCAAAGATTCATAAGAAATTCGTAATCGTATGACTGAGGTTGTTGGGCATATCGGCAAAGGGACGAGAGCCAACGGAGAACTGAGAATAGATGATTGATGGATTGTATAAACAAACTTCCGGCGGTACCCGCCAGGAAGGTTAGCCCTGGTGGTAATTTCTCTGGTTGTATTGCTTGAAGGGGTCTGGGTCGGAGTAACCGTTTGGATCGTAGTACCCGTAGCAGTAAGGCTCCGACATGGGAGACTACAAATGCAGCTTGATTAGATGAGATCTAAACTGGACAAAAATAGTAATGCGTACCTGAAGTTGTTGGTGTACAGGCAGGGTTGCTTGAATGCCCATTTCTGTGTAATTCGTATTGTTACTTTCCAAGAAGTTTCCCACATCAGCCATGAAAACCCGGTTCCCAACAGCCTCAATTTGGTGGGATGCGGTGGTGTTGTGAATGTGGCCTTGAGAAAGCAGTAGGGGTTCATATGCGGTAGTTGCTGAATAGTACGATGGCTGCGCTGGATACTGAGCGTAACCGTAGCTCTCGGAGTATGGTAGGGTCGAAGATGGCATCTCTGGCGTGGAACTCGACAAGTACGGCTGTTGGTAATCATACGAATACATCTCATTTTCTTGGTTTCTAGCCGCAAGCTCCTTGGAAGTCATATCCAGCATGTGTAAACTGTGTTGGCTTTTGCCTGCCGCTACTCGATCCTGTGATGGCGGGGTTTCCGAAGACGGTCTTGACGAAACTCGAGCACCACCACTGCCGTCTCGCTCTTCTTTGTCCAAATTCTCCATTCGTTGCTTGAGCTTTTTGCCTAACATGAGTTAGTCCAACCGTTAAGGCGTAGACAGGAACAAACGTAGTGACCGTACGATAATTTCGTTGAGCAATCCGATTTTGGATGCGGCGTCTTTCCGTGAGGTCTGTGATTTGCGTCCAATCTTCGTCGGGGAGCGCATTATCGCTAAATGCGCTGCTTCCTGATATCCTTGGGTACGGGTTGGGCTGCGGTGAAGTTGAGTACTCAGTACGCCGGCGCATGATGGCGGGATATTTGCGCTTCGTTCTCACGCCCTCTTTAGTAGCAGAAAATGAACAACGTGATGGTTGAGAACAATGCTGGGCAGCTAAGAGATTCAAATTGGCAAAAGACAGACAGGCCATCTTTTCAAGATATCTCACAGAGATTTTCTTGACTTATATTGTCCCGCAGACTGCTTAACCGTTTATAGCGTTCGGATGCTGCAAGGGAAAGATGGGTTTCAAGTGGCTGCTGCAGGCAACACAGAAAAAGAAAATAAATAAATAAAATAAATCAACAGGCAGGCCAGAAACTTTCAGCCTGCGAGGAGAGCTTAAAACACGAGGGAGCAGGGTTTTGATCGGACGAATTAGTTAGATCTTCGTTTTGTGGCGCCGAAACCCATGGTTCAATCGAGGCACCCAGGGGAACGAACCGGCCCTGAGCTGAACATGAGATACGTCACTCCGTAAACGGAAGATTCGAAGAAACACTGAAGAACAAGCGGCTCGGCACTCGCGTGGGAAGGGTCCCATTTAGCAACGTTTCATGACTCAATGGCGTGGGCCACACAGATTATTGGCATTTTCAAAAAAGAATGGCAGGTTTCAAAAGAAACGAACCATTCCTATTTGCTGCTCGAATGTGAATCTTGAAATGACAAGCTCCAGAGCGGAAGAGCAGTTTCATACTAAGTCAAAAGCCGCCAAGCGCTTGCTGAGCGCGATTTGCTTAACAAACCCATCCATCTCAGGATCAATCATATCTAAGAAAAGAAACCGCTCACGAGGCCGTGACTCAGATGGGAGTCTGCCTTGTGATACTGAACAAGAAGCCAGCAACGCGGGTCTGCAGGAGGTATGGAACCCGAATCTTCCGTTGCGCGAAAGGGTGCTAGTTCGAGAAAGTGCCGGCCGGAAAGCTGAAAAATCTCGTACTAACGAGGGAGCGATCCAGGTTGCCAAAGCCAGAGACGGTTGGCGTGTTGGCACGATCGTCGTCGTTCGAGAAGCCCACGTCCAAACGCCAACACGCGATGAGGCTCAGGAAACAACGCGTGCACGAGCCACTCGGGGCTGGGGCCTATCGCGTCGCGTGATATACGACTCGCCAAGCCACTGCTGGCTCCCCTTTCAGCTCAGCCAGGCAGGCCGCCATCAAGGATTGGATTGAGAAGCCCCCTTCACGGCCATTATTCTGATATCCCCAGTCCTGTCGTTTTGTCGGCTACTTCGCTCGGATGCACCGCCTCGAAACCACCCCTTATCGGCGAGCAGGTACGGAGTACATCACGGAGTACTCTGGACGTTTCGTGGGGAGACTCGGCGACTTGCGCGATCTCCGCTGTGGAACCCTCTTGGGTCGAACTTTCGCTTAATTTGATATGGAATGGATTATTAAATAGCACAAGGCTGCGGGAGAAACTTGACTCCCCCTTGACTCTTGAGACCGACCCTCCCTCATGGAGACTGCATATCAGCTGGAAGGACTCGGTGTCGAACTCCTCTGCTATCCCCATCCGGAATCCCTCAATTTCGCTATTTTTGGAAATGACACTGGAGCCAGTTGGCTCGGCTTCAATCACCAATGTTGCAGTGAAGGTCCGCGGAGGAAGTATCGGTTTCGGGCCTGTCCATCTTCCCAGGCTATAAATCGACACAAGGGTAGGAAGCGCAGAGGAGACATGCGGATTATGGTAACAGTGCATATTTTGAGAAAATTTTGACAGTGCAGACCTGGGTTATGTGACAGGCCATCAACCACACCTGACCTCTCTATCAAGTCGAAGGACAGCAATTGACCGGCAAAATTGCTGAAGAAGTGCCCAGTCATCGTCTGTAACAATACTGTCTGACAGTCCCTTTCCAAAGCTGTACTTCTTTGTGCCATGGCATCGGAAGATCAGGCGGGCCGCCACTTGCTATAAAGATAACTAAACCGCGGTGCGAACTGACACCATGGATGAGAAATGAATTTTCTTCAGGCTAAGCCAAAAAGAAAAAGGCAAAGTGTAGGGTCGCGGGGAAATAATACTGGTATTCCTATTCTTGGTGTTGGAATTTTTAACTTGGCTTCCCAAAATGCTCAGCTGATAGCACCGCAAAGATAAGTAGATAAAAGTCTGTGATACCAGAGAACAACATTTGAAATAGGGTCGTATGATTATGAAGCCAAGTAACGAAGTTGGGTTTATGCATCTCAAAAACCAACAGTTCACAAAAACTCAAGTGTAGAATTTCGAAGTGTAAGACGATGATTAAGATTCGATGAAAATAGTCCCACAGCTGCCGGTACATTAGCTATCCCGCTCCGCCAATTCCATTTGTGTTCATCGGGTCAACATTGGCGGAGGCGCCGACTCTTCTTTTCCGGATTGGTGCTTTTTTCCGACGGTTAATTGCAGCCTGTTGCGCATCCACGGCCTCCATTTCGGCATCACCATCACCGTCACCCGAGTCGCGTTGAGACGCGTGATAAATGGCACTTTCGTCCAATTCATTAATATTATCAGGCTTCATTCTCAGCCACTTCATTCTTGGGCCTGACTTTGCACGCTCTGATACCTTGAAGCCATATATTTTAGGTTCATAGATTTTGCCCTGTCCTAATCCCGGAGCCAAATTGTCTGTCATGACCCCGTTGATTTGCACTGGCTGACCTGAAGTCGAAGTTTTACCACTTCCTGCTGAGGGTAAACTTGTCACCGGTCCGTCTGGTGAGCCTGAAACATCAAGCTCTGGGAACGTCATGAAGAAAAGGCACCCGAATGTGGTGCCAAAGAATGCACCGTCAACCGTTTGAAACCGGCTATTTGGAGGCGTATATAAATCCTGGCAGCTTGGGCAGTATAATTTCACAGTGTCGAGTCCAGGTGTATCCGTTCGCCCAACCGGCAGCACTCTGCAACCGTTGCAGAAAACCCGAGGGCAAACCCCAAAATCCTGGCGTTCATATTTTTCCAACATTTGTTGAATACCCTGGCGAGAAGTGATGTATCGTTGGTGAATCAAACCGTAGAGGAGCTCCGCTGAAGTTTCGATAGCGCTCAAATCGCTCGCAACCCGTACATGCCTTTGCTCACTTGGCCTTGTGTCTCGAATATCGTCTAATAGATCGTCTTCCGAGTCATATTCATCCTCCGGCTCCACGTCTAGGATCATTTCCAACGCTTCTTTGAACTTGGGGACCTGCGATTGCAGCCCTGTTAAATTGAAATCATCCTCGATGAATTCCTCCGAAATCTCGGCAAAGTACTCATGGCCCATGAGGGAGCAAAATGCCGTTATCCATGACTCCGTGACACCTGAAGAAATCGACATGGCGGATGAATCTGTGCTTGGCCCGTCGAGCTCCAGGCGATTGTGTTGGCTTAGGTCAAGCTGATCCAGGCCTTGGACCAGTGAAAATAGTGTCGTCCCCAAAACGATTCTTTAAAATCAAACGCTCATAGAATAATATGGTGGACGAAGAGCTGAGGGGCAAAACGGCGCGGCTTTGTCGCTGAACGAACGGGCGTAATTGGGAGTACCGTGAACAGAGCCGTGTTCGGTAGGTGAGGGGTTGGGGGAAAATTCTCTAGTCAGTACGCAATGGCTATCTTAGACAATGCCTCTAATGAGGAGAGACGCCTGATTAGAAGAGGCGAAGCGATGATCTCCGTTGGAGGTACCGGCCGACTGTCAAGCAATCGCACACTTGAATTACGTTAGAGCGCAAAACTAGGTAACTTAGTTAGAATAGACATTGGAAAAAGTAGCTCACATTAGAGGCACTAACAAGCACAAGTAACCCTGCTGGCATATCATTCATTAAATCAACACACTCTGACGTCCGACGTGGGAGAAAATCGAGGGATCTGGAGGCTTGTCCCTCTTCCCTTATCTGGTGGGATATCAGCCATCGCCCTGGCTGCATCACGTGATACCTGCCAAGCCAACCCAGGAAGATAGGATGGATTAAATCTATTGACTTTTCGACGAGTTATTATATGAAGTTCAGCTTCATGCGATGGCCTTTTTGGTTGTCATTATGCCTTTGCCTCGATTAGCTTTGGGAAGACAGGGGGAAAGACCCCTAAGATACAGCGGGGGGTGCTTTTATATATATCTATTTCTAAGCCATGTACAATACTACATCTTGATGTGGTATTGAGAGTTGGATACTATATTCTGCTAAGCGCACTTGCGACATTCGCACTGTCATTTGATTGTCATGGCGAGGGGTAAATTTGGAGGAGATATGGAATAAGTATATAGCCACTGACCGCATCTGTAACCAACAGTCATAACACATTCCTCAGGCTGCAGTCAGGGAAGGGATGTTTCATCCCGTCTTCAGAGCACATCCGGAACCGGTCAAAAGGGAATTTCCATTGAGTCCATATCTTCCTATGGCTGTTATAGGTATATGAAGCCGAAATTTCTAGTACGACCGACACTTAAAAATGATGTATACAGAGAGGTACTCTAGTAGATATCAAAGTCCAACCCGAGAACCCCAGCGGAAAGTTCAAAACAGGTCCCGTACAATTCGCGAAAATTCTCCCTCATTCGCTAACCCAGCAGGGAGCCCTTCAGTAATATGTTGTAATTCACCTTCATGATTAACAAATTCCCCGTTGATCCCCTCCGGGCCGCCCGTGTGGAGATATCCTCCATAGGCGCCCATAGCCTCAAATAGATTCGTTAACTCATTGCTCATTTGGAGTCCGTTCACAGGGCTGTTTCCCAGTTCACCATTTGGATTTACCCCTGAATAGGTCGCCGACAAAACCTCTATCGGGTGGCCGGCCAACCCAGCCATCGCTACAGCGGCAGTCGAATGCGGATCGTTCGGCTCGGTCCCGAGGCTTCGCGGGAACAAACCCAGTTTTTCCCCGATTTCTCGTAGGCCTTTGATAGTTTTCCACAGCCTTTTGGATACGTAGGACTTTGTGCTGAAACCCTTGACCAAATCCAGAGCCATATAGAATTCATCTCGAACTTGCCGGTTGAATTCAACTGGAGCATGCGAGACTGCTAAAAATAGTACCGCTAGAGCAGCAACGAGAAAATAGTTAAATAGCATTTGCTGGGACCGATAAATGTCTGTCGTTTGATTGAGCCGAGTTAGAACGCGGATCGTATCCTTTGCAATATCGACGACAGTGTGTGCATACGGCATATTTTCCATGATGCTCGTAGCAGAATGCAGGACGGGGCGATAGATGAGGATTCGCAAATGATTTCCACGAATATGCAATACCAGGCGTAGTCGCTTTATCGCCCTACTGACAGGTTCGGAATTCGGGGAGGGCTCAACGGAATAGAATCTGAGTCCTTCCGGGACATGTTTCATCCATTGGAGGACCTGGTAATCCAAGAATTCAATTTTATCTCTCTTTATGGTTACCGTGCCTTCGGACCCAACCCCGGAATACCAGATCTTTGAGCTGAGGCGACAATATGCGACCATTGACCTCAAGTATGGAGCAGAGTCATCCTGTTGAAGTTAGAGTTGAACACGCGTCACACAGTTGTCAAAGAGAACCACTCACCGGTTCTGGCAAATACGGATCGATATCCTCATCTTGAATAGTAAATGGTAAACCAGTCCCAATGCTCCATCGCCGGTCTAAGCAATAGATTGACCAAAAGAGCTTGTTTACTGCAGTAAACTCTTCTTCGGTGGTGAAAGCTTTCAGAACAGCATCCCGGCGGTGGAGACCTATCTCAACACACATTCGCCCCGCTATTCCAATTAAACGGTACGCTAGAGCATCTTCGTCGGTGTGAAAGTGATAGGTTGCCTGGAATACAGTGAGATACAATTAGGCGACAAAGCGGGTGCCCGTTGGAATTGAACTCACCACAAGAGCAAGTAGTTTTATAGCCTTGATGTCGCCAGGCTCCCAGATGTTAGCCTCAACATTGTGTTTGACGCTATTATAAAACCGCGAGCCCAACGGGCTTTCGCCTCCGCTTTCCAACACAAGAGTGATCGCAAGCACCATTTTTAGGATACTCGTGTCATCATCACTCAGGCAGTCGGTGCCGGGTTTAAACCGCTTGGTGAAGCCCGTCCGGTCAGCAGCTTCGAGAAACGTGAAAAGAAGATTGGTTTGTGCGATAAGCTTTTCGATATCGAGAATTGGATACATGAGCCCTATTTCCTCCTCGTAGTTCCTACACAATCGAATAGCTTCTTCACGCTTGATGACCCATAACGGATCTTTGCTGGGGTGAGCGAGCAGCTGCGGGTAGGACGCCGACTTTGGCGGAGGTGTCTGTGCAGGTGTCGCATCCTGTGTCGTGAAGAGCTCCTGGGTCGCATCGTCAACCGGAGCGATGCCCATTGTCTGCAAGCTCGACTTTGCGACATCAAAGTTGAAGGCCGTGCTTGTCGGGCCATGGAACCGTGGCTGCTTTGACCGGGGTTTGGTCGGAGGAGCATTTTGGCTCTCATAAACGGTGGGCTGACCGGATATCGATCGCGACGCTTCTCGACTGTACTGGCTAGGATCGATCGGAGTCCCCTCCGACTTGTGATAAAGTTCAGTGATATTGGAAAACAATGTATTGACTTGTTCCTGCAGCTGCTCGATGTGCTTTTTCATGGATCGAAACTCACTACATTCCCGCAAGAAAATAGCAAGTTAGATTGTCAATCGTAAAGCGGGAAAGAAAAGAAGCCAACGCACTCGGAATCCTTGAAATTACTACTGCAGCAATTTGGGGCATAGAGGCCTAAAAGTAAAGATGATTAGCCATGTTGCTGGCGGCAGGGACGCAAAGATAAAATCAATCGCCATACATTCCAGAGACAGATGCCCACATCGCTGGCAGGGCACCTGGCCATTGCATTTAATCTTGCGACGCTTGCACTCATTGCTACAAAAATTCACCATTAGTCGAAGCGGCCCTGGTTAAGAGGGCTTGCAAGTCTTGACGCACCAAGCAAGCGAGATGTATCGATTCCGCTTTGTCCGCGTCTGGGTTCCGCTGTTGGGTTCCGCTTTTCGCTTTGTATCACCGGTGGAATTCGCAGACGAGGCCTGGGTCTCGCTCTGAGCGGGAGCCGGCGCGGAAGCGCTCGACGGAGGGGATTTGGTAGACATCACGATGGGCCCTGTGTGCGGAGGAACGACATCGACCGTCAACGGCGGGCTGGGTGGCCTGGAGAACGGCGCCGTGCTGTGGGACTCGCTTCAACTGTTCTTTTGGGAGGGGGATTTCGGCTTTCTGGGGAACCAAACGCCGCTTGGCCTGTTTGGGAACAACATCGAGTTTGCGAGCAGTGCCGGCGAGTTGCAACGGCGACGAAGCTGCAATTGCTCAAGGGATGAAGAGGCTCCTCTCCTCGCCTGCGAGATTACCCCGATTTATCGCGCTCAATACGCTGGGCGACAGCAGCCTCGAGGCGTTCCGCGACGCCTGCTTCAGACCACAGCTGCCCATTGTCTTACCACGGTCGCAGTTTCGAGATCTACCAGCGATTTCGCGATGGTTTGCTCCTTCGTCCGTCCCTGGCGGCGAGCATTGTTCGCGACGCTGTCTCAACTATGATTACCTCGAACCATACGGCAACTGCCACGTTCCCCTCGAGTTGACCACCATCGCTCCCACCGGAAATCCCAAGCCAGAAGAATCATTCAAGCGATTCCATGCGCCATTGAGCCTGTTCCTTGACTGGACTCGATCTCTTGGAAATTCCAGCACTGAAAGCCCGTCTGGAAACGCTGAGAGACCCGTCGCTCCAAACGTCCGCCTGTACCTTGCTCAATGCCAACTGCTCGACCTGGCAGCCCCTCTACGGGATGACTTCCCGGTTCCGTCCTATGTCGCGAATGCAGGGAGAGGGGATATTTATGACACCAATGTCTGGATAGGGATCGCGCCGACGTACACACCCTTACACAAGGATCCGAATCCCAATATATTCGTCCAGCTCGCGGGCACAAAGCACGTGAGGCTTCTCCCTCCAGACGCCGGCCTTGCCATTTTTAGTGCCGTAAGAGAGCAGATAGGGAGAAGTGGCGGCGCTCAGAATGCGGCGTTCCGCGGGGAGGATATGATGCGTGGCCTGGAGAAAGACTTGTTAGACCAGGCCATATGGGGTCCCCCTGGAAGCAAAGATAGCGAGGCTCCAATTAGATGTGACAAAGAATGAGCATATGGCTATGAAGCCGTGGTTACTGCAGGCGATGGAATATTTATTCCCAATGGGATGGTGGCATAGTATTAAAGGCGTTGGAGAAGGCATAACTGCATCGGTGAGTAGCATTGTTCCCTTATTGGCGATATTCTATTTCGCATCACTGATAAGTCCCTTTATTTGCAACCACTGCTACTAACCACTGTTTCGTCATGTTTTAGGTCAATTGGTGGTTTCGTTAGTGAATGTGATGCATCCAAGAAATAATTCTATCTCTGCCGCAGGAATGCCATGGGATTTCGATTTTTCTAAATAGCGGCCGCTACAAGCTAGAATATGTAGTCCGTGGGTTGAGAATCACACAGACCTCTAGTTAGTGGTCTGATATTTTGACCACGGAAAATATCCGCTGATTTCCGTCATTTCAAACATCCGTTCTTCAGAATACAGCCCTTGAAAGTTGACACGGGACTGCAAACATGAGCTACGGAATTACGATCATGCCTAGTGTTATCTATCTAGATTCTCGTCATATTAAAATATCAGAGAACCAGACTCATGGAATATGTTCGATTCTCAAAGTATTGACAGAGGCTGCCACCACAAGCCCACATTAGAGTCGTGAACATCAGCAGAAACTATACAAAGATGTTGATTGGACATGACGGGTCTTGCATTAAATTCTATCCTGGACTAAAACAACTTGTCAAGAATCTTTTCCATAGTGTTTCTATAGCGCACAACATATTAGCATACGCTCAAACATGAAGACACAACAGAAAGGGGAAATCCTTACCTTGGTGGCTGCGGAACAAAATGCCTTGTATACTCTTCAATCTCATCCAGATCCTTCACCAAATCCACTTCGGTGGGTCTAAGGAACTGCGTGCGTTTGATGATTTTATACCCTATGAACAGCATAGGAAATATGAATATCATCAAATACGAGAACAAAAAGGTTGGTACTTTCCAGTTACCGGGCAAGAAAACCGTATATCCGCTGACGACCGCCATGATAGCGCAGCCCAGCAGGGCGTACCACGCCAAAAATGGCTGCCAGGGGGATTTGAACGGCAAAGAATCACGCCGCAGCCCTTGCGCATCGCACGCCTTCTTGAATCGGATGTATGTAAATGCCATTACGGAAAAGTTGATCAACTGCGATGCCGTAACAAGACTCACGAACCATTGCAGCACCACCGCAGCGCTATTGGAAACCTGCAGGAAGCTCAGGAGGGCAATCAGCAGAACTAGCCCGACAGAATACATCGGCACGCCGGATTTGGTGCAGCGAGTGAAGATCCGAGGAGCTTTCCCTTCGAGAGCTAGCCCGTAGAGACTCCTGCTGGCGCAGTAGACGTAGCTGTTCCCCGCGCTGAAGGCCGCCATGAGCACCATGGCGTTGACAATATGCGGGAGCACTGGGATCTTGAGCCGGGCCATCGATATAACATACGGAGATGCAGCAGCGCCTGGCAGGTCTTCGAAAAACGCGTCTTTCATGGTCTGGTCATTGTAAGGCACGTTGATGCCAACAGCGAGACTTCCGAGAATGAAAAAGGAGCTTAGGCGATAAAACACCGCGTTGTACGCGCGTGGCATCGACTCGCGTGGATTTTCAGCCTCGCCTGCAGCCATGGAGACGTAATCGGGGCCGGCGATCGTAAAACCCGCCTGGATGAGGCACTGCATGAATCCCATGAATCGGCCGAGATCTCCGGTCTTGTAGTACTCCGCAAAGGACCCAGGTTCGCGCCAAAATCTGAATCCAAACCGGTCTCCAATCGGATTCCCTCCAAGCATGGTAATGAAGGTGTACATGATCAAACCAATGATGAGTAGGGCTTTCCCTAGAGCCAGCCAAAATTCGGATTCGCCATACCATTGAACAGCGAAGAAGTTGACGATACTGGTTTGAAGAAATTAGATCTTTAATCCGCCCAAGGGTCGGATGGCAAAACATACCCGTAGATCACTATTACTATGGCAATGATGCCCGCAGCAGGGACAACATCGCTCCAATAGTGGATGATGAAGTTACAAGCAACGATTTCAAACGGCACCATGGCAGCCTCGAAAATGAAGAAGTTATATCCCGCGGCAAAGCCAAATGCCTCGTCCACGTAACGACCTGCGAATCGGATAAAAGGCGAAGAGATCGGCAAGTACGTGACCATTTCAGCCATGCCTATTCTCAAAGACAAAGGAGGTGTCTATATCTTAGCAGAGTTTCCTTCACGGGGGGGATATCAGGGATGGGGTTTGAATGTTCGCCAGAAAAACGAAAGATATGTGAGGCCGCATGGGGGTTGGGGAGTGGTGCTTATTGGGACATTTTGATTTTGCAGTCATCCTCAGTCTTGGGGATCGGCTTTGTTGCATTCGGAGTGCAATCAACGGAGGGAGTTGTCATACACATAGTAACCGCCAAGATGAAGGTACACCTAGTTTGCACAATTGATAAGATTCCATTTAGTTCAGATATCATGAGGAAAATACGCAGGGGTTGATTGCAATATCGCCAAGTATCTCACTCTGAGAGAGGCTTTTAAATGAAAGGAGGTTTAGCTGGAAAAGCAACATGTCTCCATGTTTATGCATAGCAAGCAATAGCCGTGATCTCTCCTTAGCTCTATCTTCCTACCTTTACCTCTGAGAATATAAAGCATAGTCACCTTGAGCCAATCCAGGAATCAAGAAGCACCCACAATTTCCCTCGCAAAAGGAAATCGAGGTCAATATCTCGAAAAAGGCAAGACATACCACAAAGTGAAGGCGATGAACAGGCTGGCGGGCCCGCCATACATCAGCCCTTTCCCAATTTGCACAAACAGCGCAGTCCCAATGGTCCCTCCGATTCCAATCAGCTGGATATGCCTGGGCTTCAGCTTGCGATGGGTATGATCCGCCGCAGGCTTGAGTTCCGCAACGCTCGCATCGCCGCTAGTCCGGCGACTTCCATACGAGGAAGCCGGGCGCTTCTCCAGGTCCGAAGAGCAAGATGCCGTAGGGATGGATTTGACGGCGCTCGAGAGCGCATTGTGGGGTAATGAAGCCGCATCCCCGGCACGGGCCATGATGCTCAGGGACTGTTGCCACGGAGGATATAAGGTTCCGGCTCTGGACCAGATAGAGGACGGTGAGAAACAAACCAAAGCAGGATTGCTAGAACAAATAAAGGCTGGAAAAGAAGAGATATCTTGAAGAGAGAAAAATCTCTGCGTGGAGAGACGACTCTGGGGAGTTCATTGTGGGAGCCCCACAGCCCACTATAAAATGGTTCGAGAAAACTCGAGAGGCAAAACACAGTGAGTGGGGGGGTATCATGGATGATGATGTCGTGCTCAAGGATAAGTCTCTGCTGCAGCCAATGTGCCAGGACGATGACGATCATCTAAACGTTAGAATACGGAGGAGCTGGGAAACGATGGCGAGGTCCCAACTGCTGCCAGTCAGTGGTCGTTCGCCGCAAATCAAGAAGCGTGTCGATCGGCGCCGGGAGCTGGTGCCAAGACATGTGCTGTGGCTGGCTGGCTAACTGCTTTGGGCTAGTGCCTTCGGACATTTCCGTCGAGTCCCGTGACCGGAACGGCGGCATTATATTCCGTACTATTGAAGAACAACCTGACATCTAAATGAGGCACTCGTGTATTTTGTATGCACCGGTAGTGTCAGGTCAAGGTCCGGTTCGAATATTATATACATCCTTTTTGGTCTTGCTACTATACATATTCCGTACATGATTTCTGAACGGTACAGCATTAAAGGCTCATGAATCATCAAAGTCGTATCGCTTCTAGCGTAGAGCACGTCAAGAGCTCGTCTATCTAACTTTTGTCCCTTCGTCTCTGATCCTTTCACAGCCAAGAACACTTCTGATGCTGATGTCGGGAGCTGTTGCACTTGAGCAACAACCGTGGAAAGCCCAGCCCGAATGCAGATATGTAGGCAAGCGAAATGGTGAAACGGTCTTCGACGTCGGAACCGAGCTGAGGTTATCGTGATCAAGTCCGCCTCTGACAGAACCAACCAAATGGGGCAAGGCTGGTCGTTGGCCCAAGAGAACATGTCCGACATATGCACTAGGCTCTAGGGATAATTTTTCCCATTTAGACGCACACATCTGAGGCTGAAATTGGCTCCAGTCACCGTATGGATTCGACCCGCAAATGTATCCGGTAGTAGGATATAAAAACTAGCTACCTAGGCGCTGAGCCTTTTGCGGCTGGGTGGTTCAGAGGGCTCCTGTAAACACGTTAGACCTGAACATGTTTTAATCACTCAAAATATCAAAATACACATACCGACTGCGCCCGTCGTTTTCGCTCTGATCCCTGAGGCCTACCAAGCGCTGGTGCTTGGAATGACGCTGCCTCCGGTCGTCGCTTCAATCCCGAGCATACCACGTTCTTAGCACCTTTGATATGTATGCCGGCGTCGATATTGATCTCGACGGGGCGGGATCTCCCCGTCTCCCGATCGTCCAAGATACCACAGGCTTTCAAGGCCGCCATGACGGACGAGGCGATTTGGACGGATTTTGCCTGGCGCTGCTGCTGCAGTTGCTGCATATATTGGGGCTCGGATGGGATAGCCTGTCCCTCTTCGGAGCTCGCACCAGAAGCCGGAATGGCAACAGTGTTTGCTTGACCATCGATGGTGATTGAGGTGTCGATCTTCAGCACAAGTGGAGGTAGTGGGATTCCATCGTCCTCCTCTTCGTCAAAATCGGCCGAGTCATCGTGTGTCTGAACTGCTGCATAGGGAGGAGGTGGAGCAGGTAGCGAGGCCTGGTTTTGGAGGCCTGCCAGGAATTCCGCCAGTTTGAGGTTCTGATGACCAATTGAGTCTGAGGGAGGAAGCATTTTGACGGCTGTGTAGGGGCAGCAAGTAGAGGGTGATAGAAAAGAATGAAGTCAAGTGTGTCTGGCACCGTTGTACAGTCGTGTTGCGAGGTCCGATGTAGATGATGATGATGATGGTGGGAAGACCTGGCCGAGAACACTTGGGTAATGGGGATATATTTATATGGACACCAAGCAGCTCATATAGCAAACACAGTGATATGTAGGAAGGACAATGGAGCAATAGTATGGCAGAGGAAATTGCAAAAGCGGAAGTACCATTGACAGGGCAAGTGAATGGGGATGAAAGCCAGGGCGGGAGTGGGTTCCTTTTGAAGCCTCCCCACGGCAGTCAATGGACTGCGATAGAATCCGGGATGGAAGGGGAAGCTGTGACAAGAATAAGAGCAAAGAAAAATAAAAAAAAAATAACGAGGAAGGCGGCTTTCCGATAGAATGTGGCTGGGAAAATGTGGGATCAATAGGAGCTGGGATAATTATAGATTGCCGATGGAGGACAGAGTCACAGAGCCCTTCCAGAATGGCAAACAAATATAAATCACTGGTTTAATTACACGGTCGTCCTGGAACAGTCGCAATCATGAGACTGGGCTGCGGGCGCCATTTGCCGTGTTTGGAGATCACTAGGCCTCAGTAGCCGCGGACGAGGGCAGCGGTGAAGCCAGCGACAGTGAGTATCTGACACTGTGATTGGAACATGGCTGGGGCAAAAAAAAAAGCGAGGTTGGAACACTGAGCCAGGCTGTGATTCACGGGGTTTCAGGGAAGGGAATGAATAGGCTGGCGACTCCTATTGTTCGTGATTGTTGTTTCTGGTCATCAATAGGGACTGCCGGCGATTGGCCCCGGTCCCGGGCCTGTGCCCCTGAACAACAATAACCACGGCAGCACTCCAATCTCCAGGTCGCTATTATCATGGCTATTAATATGCCTGGCTTTGACGCCCGATCAATAATAACCAACTCACTGGCGCTCCCACAGACCAGGCCCATGGAACCCAGACAGCGCAGCAAACTTGCCCCAGGACACACGAGAGAATGATCGCTGAGTGGTCATCTATTTTGGTGATGCTCTCTGCCAGTCTGTGTTTGGAGTCTACCTAGGTGACCTTGTTGCTTTTTTTCAAAGGAATGCTGTTTTGGGTTCGGAGCAATCACCAAGGGCCGTTCGCTGTTACTCAGGACTTTCAGCAACAAAGAAAACTACTGAAATGGGCTGCTAGTACCACCAATGCGTCTTCCCTCATATTGAAGGAAGCACGCTTGCGCAACATACGGAAACCCGCTATACGGTTTGAAGGAATATGCGGCCAGCCAAATGCTTTACACATGTCCCGATCCGACACACTCACGCCGCCAGGCCACTGCTCACAGACACGGAGGCATTCATATGATGTATGGGTACTTCATATATCAACGCAGCATCGGAAACTCGCTGCTTCTTCGGGCGACAACCATCCTTATCGTTGCGCCGCCATGGCCATCGCTTGGACCACCCTGCGCCGCTGGGTCACCGTGTTCCGCTTGCCCAGGTATCACCGGAGCTCACAGATGTGTAGATCACGCCGGGAGCACGCTTTGCGGCATTTTACTTGAATATGTATCAGTCTCTTCCCAAAAAATAGGTAGCGGATGGAGGGTTGCGATATCCACTTGGTGATCGCGCATCGTAATCCACTAGATATCATTGTGTTGGGCATGTATGGGGGCACCTGACATATTGGTCCCCGTGAATTGCCCACCAGATGAGCGGACAGGGGGTCTGGTCATTCGAGAGACGCGCGACTGGGCTTTGT